TGGTATTAATTTCACGATTAGAAAGGTGAATCTTATGTTTGTTTTCATTGTAGTTGTATGGATATTCTTTTTTAATAAATACATGATCCAAAATCCCGTGTTTTTCGTGTATAATGTTATTATGTCAAGTATTGTTTACGCAACTGTCTTATCACAGGCGACCCAAGGTCACGTTTCGAGAAAGAGCCAACGATTAATTCACGAACGCGTCACGCGTTGTGTGACTCAGAGTAAGTTATTCTAGGAACCGTGGAAAATTTGAACACGTTTTAAGGAATAGTATAGGGAACGAAATATGGTCGATTTACAACGATAAATATTTCGAAATATGAAGATTTTTCTCGAAAAATCAATAAAACTTAATCATACCCTGTGTATCCGTTGTAGTTTCTGGCGATTGTTGCTGTTTTAACCTTGCTTTACCATCACTATTATTCACGTCATCTACTTTTATTACATTGGTAAAATCTGTACAGACATCACACCAACCAACTCGCGCGCAAAGTAAGAAGACTATGTTGAAGGCTTGAAATTATATTACGATCGATTTTCATCAAGAAATGGGCCAGGAATTTTCCACAATAGTGCAAATAATCGTGAAGGCTGATCGCGGAAAAGCGATTGCGTGACGCTCGGTAAGCTGTAAGATGACATGTTATTATATACCAGACGTAAAAACTCTTCAGATTCTCAGTCTGCATTTTTTACCCACTCTGCAGTCTATATTTTGTATCCGGTCTGCAGTCTGCTATCTACATTTTGTACTAACAGGCATCCGTGGCACAAATACAGTTTATTTTTGGTTACATTTATTCGCACAACACACATAATCTACCACAAAATACCTGTGTGTGAGGTAATTCGACATTTTCATTCTTTCCCGCGTTAATAATCTTCTTTCCTTTTGTAAGAATGTAGACCACTTACAATGTTTCAAGTAATCCACCCACCCTAGAAAAAATATCTCTTGTATGCATAGCATGCCTATGTTTTGAGACAGGTGTATGCCCTTGGCCAGACTTAAGCTCACCATTTCAGTATACTAGTCCGACACGCGTAGTATCACTACACTTGATTCCACGGATCCAGTACCATCCAGGTATCCCAGTTACCCTGCTCACAGGGTCTAGTTTTATCCAAAAATCTCTGTTCTTTTGTCACATGCCCATGAAAATGTCTCGAGAGGAGGCGCATGTTGTGGTTGTGACATCTTCCACGCCCCTTCCTGTCCTAGCCAACTGCGCGTTCTGACTTCACTCGCGTTTAATTGCCAGTATTATAAAAACAGGAAGGCATTTCTTTTAATTGTCACACAAGAACAGATGCTTGTGTTTACCAAAGGCTTCCATGGACTCTGATCTCTAATCACGAGCTGTGTCACACCAAAGTGAGACGTGATATGGTGGGTTTCTGCCCTGTATACAACCCGAATGAGAGCGGAATCAGATCCCAACGTTTCAAGACAATCTGTCTCATCATAGCTATGTCCATAAAAGCTAGAGATAAATCTAGACAGCGAAGACAACAATGCAAACTCCTACAAAAAGAGTGTAAGGTAGCAGCAGTCTAAAAGACGCAGCCCACGCTTTTTTTTTTGTTTTTGCATACCATGAAAAGTGAACAAACAAGGCTATCACTAAAAGAACAGGAAATATTTCAGGAGTATTTGATACGATTGTGTACAATAATTGTAATGTCGATTGATAGGTAAAGCCATTTGGTGACATGATGAAGTAATTAAGTCGGTGTGTAGGATTTATGCAGATATTTATGTAATTTAGCATCAGTATTCAGACGTTATTGTGTCCTCGGGGAGTCCGTTCAACAAACAGAATTCCTCAACCCTGAGAACGTTTTTGTAAGCTTTAGTCGCCTATTCGCCAGTAATGTCTAAAGCTGTTTCTGTTCGAAACTCAGCTGGAAGCAACGAAAAATTTTCGTCCAAAAAAAGAGAAGAAAACGGCTGCTCTTTAAAGGTAAGTGCCAAAAAAACTGCGTTGACACTCTGTACCGCTTTGCCGCCTAAACCTACCTTGATTTCACTATAATTTTACTACTTTCTCTGTCATACTCTTGGGAATGCGTTGTGGGAATACCCGCACTAGCTATTTTTGTTGAACTTAAAATCCCGTGTGGAAATCTTGACGACCAAAAACAGTGAAAGCACAGACTTAAACGCCATGTTTACATCGCGCTGTTCAAAATGCCCGGTGGCTGATTTGCTATGCTTATGAACGAAGTCGATAATTAATCTGCTTCTTATCATGGCAAGCAGTTAGAATGGGCAAAACAATATTTAGTGGGCTGACAATGCATGTCGTCATTGAAATCGCTCTTACAGTGTAATTTTTTGATTCAAATCGATAGAAATAAGAAACATTTTTCTACTAACTCGTTCGACGAACTAGAAATTATTTGCGCTAATTTTTTGATAATCCAAGGGCTTTTCACTTGTCAACTATAAGCCTAATTAACAACTGGTTTACTTCACTGAAGTATTGACAATCGTCAGACACTTGTCGATTTCTTTATGGCACAGATATTTTGCAGGTCTACACCGGACGGCAAAATTTTGTCTCTCCTCGCACTAACTTGCAATCAAATCAGTTTCAGCTATTTATTAATTCCTTGTAATTAATAAAACTAACTGAAAGGCTGTTTTCATGGATTTCTCTGTAGAGTTTTCTTTTAAAATTCCTCTGGACAGGTTATTACTCAAAATATTTTTTGCACCAAAAGTTGCAAGATCTCTTCAGAACCTTCTCGACCGAACAAACTCAGCGATAACGAAGTAAAATAGGGGAAATTTGCAGTAGTCATTTCTAAGCGTTATGTAATTCTGTATGGTCGAGAATTTACAAAAGTATCTTTCCTTCGCCGGCCCCTGTCGAGACACTATTATTGTTTGCCTTCAATAACTAAAATTTGACAAAAATTTGCGCTCTCGCGAAGAAAAATTTTGTATTTCTTTTTGTTGACTAGCTTGGTATAGTCTATCACAACAATACATACAAATAATTTCCTTCGAGTTGGTATCAGCTTTTCGACAAAATGACAGAACGCTCAATAGTTCATTAATTTAAGTCTTAAATTTCACAGGCGAAGCCGACATAGTTCCTGGGGCTAGTTTTAAGCAAAAAAAAAAAAAACAGAACAATATTTGTGCCATCACTTCCTTAAGGAAAATAGTCTATCAGAGCAAAGATTACCATTCAAGCTTGGGTGCGCAATTTTTTGAACTACGAAAAGAAAAATGCAGCGAAGACAATAAAACTTGATCAAGTTTTGATTCAGACGAGGTACAACTAGCAAAACTTTATTTTTGTGTTTAGAGGTGGAGCTGTGCATTAGTTTCAAAACGTCGACAAATTATTTTTGAGAGGCAAGCAGACAAGAGGGAACTTTCTTTTTTAAAAATGGGAAGCATGCTAAAAGCGCCATGAACAAAGGCCGGCGCCATTAAATGAAACCTCCATTCAGACGTGTTACAATAAAAATACTTGTGGGTACGCTGTTTGACGTTTTGAATTTCTCTCGCCGTCGGTCGCCGTTTTTCTGATATGAAAGAGTGGTTCATTTCTATGCAAGCATCGTATCTCCACATACCACCAACAACGGCAGTGCTGAAATGACAAGATTCAGTCAACAGTTTACATTGACACTCACTTGTTTGCACTAAAAATAAAATAATCTTAAGTTGGTTTGTCAAGGATCCAAAACTAATAATTCCTAACAGGTTGTACTCATTTCATAAAAATTACGTAACTGTACGACGGAAAGGCCGTGAACGTCGGTGAATTTCATTATGAGAGTCTAAAAGTAGGAGTATATTTAAATGAAAAGTAATTTAAAAACCTTTGAATGACATTCTCTATGGTTTGCGTGCTGTCCAGCCTCAGAGTTTAGTCCACGATAACTTTCCTTTACCGCAGTAATTTATATAACAGTCACAAATTTAAAACTCTAATGTTATATATTAGAATCAACGCGTAATTTCCGATCTTAATAACCTTCTTGAGACAACTGTGAGAAGGTTTTTTTTTCTGTGATACTGATCAAAGAGCTATTCTCAATAAACATACGTTACATGAAAAATACAACAAGTTTTCTTTCAACTAACATAGTTTCTGCTAAGCGCGCTATTTGTAACTGTGCAATAGCTGAGTTATGGCCAAGTTTACAGCAGCGTGTAATCTGTGTTGAGTGCAAAGTGAATAGCTTGTGGCTCCCACGCGAACATAATAGATATCACTGCTGATTTATGAGCATTTTTAAATGGAGTGAGGAAAGCAATCCCGTTGCAACTGTATTGGATTGCGTTCAGTGCCCTTGTACACAGCGGTGTCACTGGAAATTCATCGCCAACTAAACTGTTTCACTTCCCGCCGACGTAGTCAAACTGGCTCTTAAGGAAATAATAAGATTTACGATAACTTTGTAGCATTGGATTTACTTCACTGTGTCCTGTGACTGGCAAAAACGCATTTTATTTTCACGAATAACAAATCTCATACAAAACCATAAAGCATGCCGGTGATTGCAAACAGAAGAGAAAGTGGACTGTTGAAACTTAGCCGCCGGCTGCGTCGATTACCTTTGCTGCCGGTTGCAGATCGCAAATCACAAACAGACATTACGGAAGTTTAGGGCTCGTGATCAAATGCAAACTCAATTTTTAAACCATTTCAGACTTTGTGACTCTTCAAGCAATTTGCGTGTTTTTTGTTTGAGTTCTCATTGTCTCCCCCAACAGTTTCCTTTAATTCCTGGGGACCAGTTATCAGTTGTATCCGAAAGGTGGGGGGTGCACAGAATATAAGGGAGGGGGACCCCCATGCGATAAATTATGACGGGGCCCTTTTCGGTTATTGTGATTACTTTCGTTTTGTCTCGTGAAAATTGAATCTAAAAGTTCTTAAGTGTGTTTTTTGCGTTATCCATATCAGTATTTCTATTCCTTTATTTCAAAGTCTTCAGATGAACAGAAAGGAACACTTTCAATGACTCGACTACAGTTACACCCAGATCCCAACATGGACACGGACAACCGACTGGGAAACTTGGAACCGGAATCGCTCCAATCCCCAGGCGCGGAGTCGCAGATGTCATTTAATGTTTACGACGCTAAAATTTCCGGTAGAGACAGCTTCTTAGGTGCGCTGCCTAGTAGTGCAAGCACCATTGGCTTCTGGTCAGATCACCACAGCAAGGGCAAGATGGACAATTTTACCGTCCGAGCTTACTCGAAACGAATACGCCAGTTGACTCTATTTCTGGCGGTCTTCATCATCGTGTCAATGGTAATGACTGCGCTATTCGTTTGGAGAATGTCCTATTACAAACTTGAGGACAAAACCGATGAAAAGCGTCATCTCGAACAGGTACGATTCCAAACAATTGCACTTCATCGATTCCAAACTTGAATTTTTATCCTAATTTCTCAATCTTAAATTCGTGCGTATGCCCGCCACCCCACACCAAATCAGCGAAATACCTACCACTGAATTGGATTTACTGTTGTTTTGACGGCATGTAATATTAGAATTTTGATGCAGACAAATGTGACAAGATATTATTTTTATTATCATCTTCTCTTACCCATAAATTTAAGTATCTAGCACCTTTTTACGGCATATAGTTTCAAGTGATATCCCACAAATGGTATAATACGTGATTTCTCTGTTCGTCTATTTGCATAGAATTTTCTGCATGTTTTCTGTCAACCTCTCTTAGTCTTGTGGATTAGGATCTGAAAATGCGGTAATAACATTGATAATTTACCAAAACTGCAACAGGCTGTGTGGGTGGATTTTGATATAAATGAAAGTTTTCGCTCCTTAATTGTAAAATGGCAAGTGGGAACCAAATATTCCGTGAATAAAAATGAACGCACAGCTCGCAAAGACAAGATTATATTACCATTAAGACACACCCAAAATAAAGACCTAACGCTCCTCTGTTTGAAGTTTTCCTTAACTATATTGCTTCAGTATCTGGTTAAATAAAAGTATTATTCTAGTTTATTGCAAAAGCACATCTTAATCGTTTCATCACATCGTTGAAGACCAGAGCGATGCTATGGCGCTGCCAACCGATAAAACTGCCTTATCCTGTTTTGAAATAACACGTACACTTTCCGTTACAGTTGTCAAATGAAGATCAACCGGCTGCATTCGTAGGAAAACATTTCTTTCAAAACAATATGTTTACACTTGGGATGCAATATCAGCTTCAAAATCGGCTCAAAATCTAACGAATCTTTTCCGCGAAAGTACACCTAACGTGCTCACATTGTGTTTAGTGTTCATAATATAATATTACTTAAATTGTGCATGAACCGTTTGTTTCACACGATTTGCAATTACTACATAATCGGCGTTAATTTTCAAAGAGTGTTGAATGTCAGAGCATTGAAATGACTCTCTCAGCGGATGTTGATTTTATTGCTAAATATTCTGTTGGGAAATCTTCACCACAGTTCAATCGAAGGTTTTAAATCTATGAAATGTGCTGTAATATCACTCATGGCTGATTGACCGTTAGCAAGAACAGCATTTCGAAAGCAAACTGCTTCCTAAAATTTTGCCTATCAGAAACTTCAAAGGAAGCGACGATTGTAAACTTTACCTTCCGTAATGGACCCGAGTTTTCGGCACAAACCATTATGCGAAAGGCAGGCTTCACAAATAATCGTTTCATTTTAGCATTTGAGAACAAAAAAGTAATCTAAATCTAAAGATTTGATTTTCAGCCTTTATTCGTATTTTATTATTTTTTTTTTGTATTTGCTTCACAATCCACACCACGTAGAGTAATTGATACGGATAATTTCATTATTTTCCCAACTCGATTAGCCGTTAAATTGCTGTTTGATTATAAATAAATATCATTAAAAAGAATGTCTTCGGTTGAGATTAAATGCGTGTTCTGTACAAACAAGACTTGAGGACATATCGAACAATATTGGCCGGAAGTCATACCGGTATGCGACAAACGTCACCAAAATTAAAATCTAAAGTTTGTTTTGTGACAACCTACTAAGAAACCAATAAAGTTCAAGTGAAAAGCGATTGACACCTGTCGTGTAATGATGCCCTTTCAAAACTAGCGCGCAAGCAATTTTCTCCGGAACATTCTAAACTTTTGTAAACTTATTACTGACCAGCTTTGAATACAATCGGATTTCCCGATCTTTTGCTGGCAATAAGTAGGTTAAGCGCCGGAATCGGTTTGGTTCCATCAAGACTTAATCATTATCGTAATCGGTAGACGTGGAAATCTCCAATTATACAAGAGACATCATAAACAGCGTTATGACTATGAAATATTTTAAAATACAATTTCTTGGCTTTTTTACGCAAGAGTTCATATCCATGCTGTTCATCTCAGTGACGAAAGAGTTTTGCTCATCAAAATAGCATTTAGAAATATAAATTGACATGTAAGATCGAAATTCGAAACGTGCTGACAACAAATAAATAAAATGTTTGATGACTTGGCAGCTCAATTTTGATTGCTCACGTACTACACCAAAGATTATGTGTCCCTACGATCGGTGGTCAAGGTCCAAAACCAAACATAAACTATGATTGGAACAATTTGTCGGCTAACTAAAACAAAAATTATAATTGGTTGGCCTCGCTTGGCTTTGACTGATCAGCTAAGTTTTTATTCGCAACTGCAAGCTCAGAATATAATTTCTCGTTACTGTTTGTTGTTTGATGCTTTCTAAATTGGTTAAGAGAGTAACTGTGTCATCATTAGTTTCTGTACCATATTCGTGACTTTTCTCGTTACATTAATGCGGAAACAGAGAGTATGCAGATATCAAGGTCCGTTTTATTCTTTGCGAACGTATTACCTGAGTTCCCCTCCGCTAAAAGATGGAAATCGATTCCATAAAGGTAACTATGTGTTCCTACTTAGAAGCCAATTGTTGCGCCAAGAAGCGCCTGCCCCGTACGAGCAGAAGCAGTTCCACTGGAACCTTTGCCGATCAGTATTGAAGAAGCATTAATAGAAATTGAGCGTGCATTGAAGGAGGCCAACACTAAGGATGATACGGTAAGACATAACCTGGTAGTTCAGGGATTAAGTTGGAATTAGAAAGGATCGAACAGCCCCGCACGGTAGGGTCGCATAAAGAGAAAGTGGTGTTATATAACCCATTTTCTCAACTTGGGTGACAATTGGTGATGCAACAATTCCGACTTTTGGAAAGAGGTAGGACATGTTGTCGTTGACTGCTCTTCGCTTTGAGGGAAGGGACACTTCTTTCCAACTGAATTTTGACGTTCTGGCCTCATGGTGATTGTAGGAATTAGAAGTATGCCTGTGTTATTTACTGATCATCAACATCATCTTTCACTTAAAATCATTAGCTTAACATTCCTATTCTAGCAGTATGGAGAAGTTTGTCATTTTGGACCTAGTTAAACGGCCTAGCCTGCGACGAGTCTCCCATTGCTCAGTGTGGAGCATTCATAGTACTAATCGGAAGGTTGTAGATTGACTCCAATTAAAGCACTTGGAGTTCTTTTTTTCTGAGTATGTCTGTGTCATTGATTCACATCACCATCCACTCCAGTTTCATACAGGCTTAACAGTCAGTTACAGCTTTGTCCTACCATCTTACTTAATAATCCATCAAAACTTGGACATCAAAGTCCTGCTCGACACAATTTGATAATTGTCTTCATTTCTCCTTTAGATAGCCATCATGGCTAACGTTGTCTACATGGACAAGGTAATCTGGGAGCGCTCGTATGGCAAAATGAACAGATCAAATCCCTCAGCACCAAATCTGTCTAGTAAAACAGTGTTCCCCGTGGCAAGTGTCACTAAGGTCTTCACGGTAAGTGTCTCTGTTTTACCAGGTATTAGACTTGAAACACTGATGCATGAAATAAGGACCATCATTTCATAAATTTGCCGCAGCGTTTTTTTTAAATCCATCTTCGTTCTTAAAACTAAATCCCTAATGATCGAGCCATGCCTGATCTCGTCGCTTCATGTGGAATTTTCTATTTGATTTTCGATTTCCCTACTCCGAAACAAACACTCCTTGATGTATCGTTAATAACAGAGATTTATCATTTTGGTTATGGTTTTTTAGGCCTTGATGCTTTACAAGCTTTACTATGAGAAGAAGGTAAAGTCACTGGATGATCCTTTCAAGAAATATATGCCAAAGTTTTCAATCAAGGATCCATTTAACTCTCATGAAATCGTGCTCAGGTAATTATTGTAATGTTACTTGATGCGAGATCTCAATGCCATGGACTTACACAGGCAAACAGACAGAAAACCAGACTGACGGGCCATCACAGACACAGTTAGAAAGACAAATAAGAGATAGAAAGTAAAACTATCGGCGTAGTAATGTTACAGTTGGTGCAGGCGAACCATTGACTGATTGGCTCATCGATGCACTGAGACTCAGTCAATAAATAATTTTGCCAATTAACTCATTTCAGAATAAAGAAGGTAAGTTTCTGAAGAAACTGTGCTGCTGCGTCGGTGGGGGAGTATTACAGTAACATTTGGTTTTATCAACGGGGGTAAATTTGCCACCGTAAGAAGGGAGTACTTTAATGAGTAAAATTCTTCTTTTAAATGAAAATACTTTGGAATCATTTTTAATATTACTTCAACAAGTATTGGACTCGGAATCCCCTGTGGGGATTTCACCTAGTCCAGGTCTGATTTCTGCTGAAAACGTGGACAATTGTCAAATAGGCTGCACCACTTCGTTTCTTTCAGGGAAATGGTTTCGCACATGTCTGGTATTCCACGAGAAGCTCCATGTCTTAAAGAAATGAAAGAGAACCTTTGTCCAGACAATAATACTGTTATGTTAGACCGTATAAAGAACCTTACTCTCGTTGCTGAACCAGGCAATAAAGTCAGCTACAGGTCTGTCAGTCTTTTTATTATTACTTTCCATTCCTTTCAGTTTTAAATATTGTTTACAAATAACTGGAAAGCTTATTAAGTGGTAACACTGCTTTATATTCAAGTAATTTAGGGTTTGGGCTGCTTGGTCAAGGACTGGCCCTTTCGCAAAACGTCTCGTACGAGGAGTGGATGCAGAAAAGTGTTTTTGATCCGCTGGGCATGCATGACTCGGGATTCAAGTTAACTCCTAAGTGAGTGATAACATAGGCCTTAATTCACGCTTACAAAGAAATAGATAAATAAATGAATTGAATGTTGAAGAGTAGTCAAGGATTAAGCTTATTTGGTTTCATTTATTTATTCCCTTGATTTTCTCCGTCGACAGGTTGAGGAAAAGAATTCCCGTGGGTTTTCTTGGGAAGGATTCTCTGCAGCCATTTGAGTGGGGATGGGCCAATCCAGCTGGTGGAATGTTTACGTCACTGGAGGATCTCGCGAAGGTAGTGTCAGAAAGAAACTTTACTATCGCAAAAAATTGTTGTTGAACTGTTAAAAATTTTCTTTAAGGATAAAATTTTTGGGCACAGATGGCATATAGAGTGTTCAGAATGAGAAAAGATCGTTATCGGCTGTTGTAAACTGGAATTTCTCACCAATGATCAGGTTGGAATGTGTGGGTTTCATTGTCGCCCCCTTTATTTGCGTGATTTTATAACTCCTACGAACCACTGAGCTTTTGTTTGATGATGATGGCGCACAACGAACATCATATTAAACGATCCAAAGTGGTGTCGAGTTGGGAATTTAAGTATTATGTTGCTGGTATTTGTTTCCAGTTTTTGCACAAGTTAATGCTTGATTTCCATTCATTTAAATAACTTACTAAAAAAAAGAGATTTTCGTCCTTGAAATTTGGATTAAATCCGTACTACTATCACCTTTGCGTCTATATTTGTAGTTCCCAGTATTGCCTCCTCGGCCTCCTTCTCTGTCATCTTGCCCTTTCCCTTACACTCAATACCATCTCTCTCTTGCCAATCGCATGAAATTAACTGATCTAACAATAGCATTATTGTTGTTGTCTTGTCTTCAGTTGGAGATTACGCTTTTCAATTCCACGGAGGAGGACGACTTTCTATCCCCTGTCCTGACCGAAGAATTTTTCTCACCCGGTGAGGAGTTCTTTAACTTTTTTCTGTCGTTTTTTTTTTTCTAAGAGTTCACTACCGATTGAACTGGGAATTTAGAGATAGATTACCAGTTTACCTGCAACGAAAAATATTGCGTCACTTTTGTCTCAATACGAGATGTGTTATTTTGAGGTATTTTCCTTGCAGCTTTTATCCTGGATGGCAAACAGTTCATTGGGTCTCCATGGGAGATGTTTCTCATGAACGGTTATATTGCAAGGATGAAAAATGGATTTGTATATGGCTACTCATCAAAAATTTTCCTCTTTCCCGAGCTGAAACTTGGTAAGTTTGTCTATATCTGACATTTTCGGAATTAATGAATGAGATTCAAAGTTGAAAAGTAAAGTAAATTTCAGCACTGCCTTTCCTCTTGTCCTCCATTTTCCAGTTCGAATAGAAATGTTGAATTTTTTGGGGGCAGGAAAACCTAGGCCGGGGGAAACGAAGAGCCTGGGCTGGAGGAAAACCCCCGCAGGAAGACTAAGAACCAATAACAAGTGATATAAGGTTAAGGAGTCCACCTCAGGCCACTATGGTGCGAGTAGAGCATTCTCCGGGCTATTGCATGAAAAATACGTCCCTTATAAGTTAAACTAAATGCTGCTTTGCTGCTAAATTCTGCAGTGGACCAGCGTCAGGATCATTCCTTTAGAGCTATGCAATCAGGCCTGTTGTAAAAGTGTGCGGTTACTCATTTAGCCCCTGAGTTTCCGTATCAGAGACTCGTTGTGACAAGCTGTCAAAGAATTATTATTTTCACTCAGAGGACGCGGAATAAAACTGCATTGAGCAGATCTTCTTGGGCGTCATATTCCAAATTATTACTGATCCTTTTTTGTTGTTTTCCAGCGTTCAACATCTTTAATACGGGAAGCTGCAAAGGCTGCTGTTTTCCAAGCGTTAAGAGGCTGTTGATAGCATTCCACGAAGAACTAACGGCCAGAGATGTGAAGGTAACCATGGAATATTGAGCAGGCGCTAACTCGTTGTTATTACTTTTATAATCAGTGAGCTGAATGCTTAAATGGGAAGTATGCTCAGACACATTGTAATTTTTATCTCGACCAATTAAGATTGTGTTCAACAACTTGATACCTACTTGCTGTGTTCGACTCTAGAGAGAAACTGATGTGTTTGAAATTTGTCTTCTAATATGCTAAAATTCGAATTTGGACGCCGCCATTTTGAAAACAACTCAGTAACCTGGCCATACAAGAAAAAATCATAACACTTGGTTCATAAACAGGTGCGGCTCTGGTTATCGAAAAAAAAACAATATATTAGATCTCTAGAGCCAAGAACTTCCCTTTGTGTAGCCTCTAATTATTTATACGGGTCGCCAAGAGATCACGGAAAGAAAGTGGCCGAAGGCTATGGCAGCCTGCCTCTCTGGCATCAGTGGAGATACCCGCTGAGTCTTCTTGGTTCTCAATGATCTAATCATCAATTAATCTCTTTAATATTTCAGCAACAGAAAACTATCCAACAACAAGAGGCGGCTCCTTATTTGGGAGAGTTTTTTACAGATGATGTACCCACCATTAGGAGAGTCATCATCAGGTACAACGAGGGAAAAATGACTTTTGCCGTGGACAACCATGTTTTTCGTCTGAATCACATCAAAGGAACGACCTTTGAACTCATTGACCGAAGAAAGGTAGATTGTCTTATGATTGCCTTAATGGGAGTAAATCACGAGAGAGTGCACTTTGACCCTCCAGGAAGTTCGCCAGACGGGGTTTCAACGGGCTTTACGGTGTTTGGGTTCCATCTTCGAGGAAAGGCATATTTTCGCAGAAAACAGTTATGAATTGGTTGCACCCTCATCCTTGTGGACGCGGTGAGAAGCTGAACGAGTTCAAATACTTTCTTCTTTTATAATCCATGCTTCCAACTGTGATCTTGCCTATGGCAAGCTCATTTGTAAATACAAAGCTGTGTAACGCACTTGCAGATTTAGTATAAATCCTTTACGCCATGGAAAGCTAACAGTGTCTGGAATAGGTGCAAAATATCGAGGAGTGACGGAGCCGATATACTTAAGTAGTTTTCAAGCGTTCGAGAAGGATTGCACGTGACAGATGAACCGCAAAAAAAGTTTTAATGTACCAGGCGTGACTAAGGAGGTCCTTGGATGCACTAGACCACCCATTTCTTATTACAAAGGAATTTAACACTTATAATCTCAAAATACTTCCAGATCACAATGAGACGTTGGAAAATGACTGACTTCGTCGATGAAGAGGATAGGACTTTGTAAATCGAGTCGTGCAATATAAAATTTTCAGATTTCTGCAGGAGAATTATATATCTGATAAGAGCTGAAAAGGGGACGAGCTATCCATGTAAGAGACCATAGTATGCATGGTATAAGATATTAAAAGAGCGCTTTTCCTTGCAAATAAAGAATAGGTTTTAAAAAGCCTTGAGTACGAGGAGTATTCGGAGAAGAGAAAGTTTTTCCGAAGATGTATCATAAGGAAAGTCCTAATATAGTCTAATGAAGGATGGCTACGCTGCAGAAACCGCAAATTTTTTTAAACTCAGTTACAATAATAAGCTGATTATTGTATTGGCTGTGTTTTTTAAATTCCAATGAATAACCTAACCTTTCAAATATTATCTTTAGGTTGCTAATAATTGACTGTGAACGCCATTTCGAAGTTTGCTTAACAGCCTGGCTCCAGTTGTTCGAAGAGTGAATAACGCTATCCACTGGATAAATCTTTATGCTGTGGATAACGCAATACATTTTGTTAACTTTTATCAGCTGGATAGCGATTTATCCTGTGGATAGCGTTATCCGCCCTTTATACTACAGAGCCCAGCCCATTTCTCTGAGGTGACAAAGTTTCACTACTTTTCCCTCTTCTAGCGATTTTTTTAATCGATTAAGAGCATTACAAAAAAGACTTATTGACTCAAATAATAATTTTTTCCCCTGATTACTAGAGCAGAAACTGTCTGGGAGCTGCTTGCTGCGGTTTTGCGCGTGGGGCTTGGTTACTAAGACGTCAAAATGGCGGCGTTCATGTTCACAATTTTAACACAAAATGCGTCGGAAGTGAATAATTTTCAATAGAAGCTAATTCTGTATTATATTGTACCAGTACTAAAGAGAGAAGTTCAGCTCACTATGAAAGAGTACACATAAATCATCCCGCCAATGAAAGCATGTACATGCAGCTAAACTGATTATTCTAAGTCTAAAGAAACTTTCTCAAATTAAGGATCACTATAGTACTGTTAAGTCAAAGGTTTTATTTTCTTCTTCGAGATCTGAAGCGAAGTTATTCACCATCTATATTTTTCATCATGAAGATAACGAGAAAAATTATTTGTTTTCGCGGTTGGCTTGAGAAACAGTCTCCTTTCATAAAATGAGTCCACGCTTCTTCTCTTCGGATGATCAAAGGCCTCACTTTGGAGAGAACAGCGACCTCGCACTGATTTTTAATTGAGTGGAGTCGGGTTTTAGGAAGGTTGGGACAGGAGGAAGATTTTCAGCTATTTTTCCATCCAAAATGAAAGGTTTTTTTCCAAATAGGGAATATTCCAGGGTTTTCCCTTCCCTCCGCTATTTACCCAAAGCTTTTGTTTAATTGGGGCGGTTCGCTCTGAATTTGTAAATCCAGGTTGTATGGCAAGATGTGGATGGAAACTTACCCAACCATAACAACGGAAAAATATGTAATAACAGAGGGCGTCAAAAATAGTCTGACTAGATGTTTTTTTTTAGTACGGTTTTTTATTTCTAATTTCTTTTTATGCACTCGAACCAAGCTACTCGACTGGAAAGCATTTTTTTTTTTTTAACATTTTAATCTGCACTCGAGTTTGGACGAAAAATTTACGGCAAACATTTGTGATGAGAACTCCTCTTAAAATTTTGCATTACATATGTAACCTTTTTACGTGTTGACTAAGCCCAAAATACATACAAAGACACTGATAGCACCGAAGTATTGTTTTGGGACGACGTAATCGAGAGCAGTAAGGGGAAATTTAGCATTATGATGAAGTAGGAGCCGACGTACGGCTGGTGATTACGCTGAGCGTCTTAAAACGGTTTATAGCCGGCAGTCATGGTTGTTGTAAAGTAATTAACGACCTTTTCCGACGTCTAATACTTGTTAATCAGGGTTACCGCAGTCCCGAAGTGGACTTTGTCAATGGCCTCGTCAACTCTCTCCTAAGTCTAGACAGAAGGAACCAGAACCTTCCCAGCAGTTGAAAAAAAACTTAAGGACTTCGATTAAACACTGAGTTCTGGCCAAACCGTAAAGAAACAGCGGACGCTGTTAATCTAAAGTTAGTAACATACTACGCATATGATTTCACGGTCCTTTCACAAAGGTTTGTTTTGTAATTAAGCAAGATTCTGATGAACTTAAAAACAAACCAATCTTTACCACGGTTAATGGTTTCGTTCTTTCTCCTACGTAATTTGGCGCCGCAGTTTCCTGTCCGCTTCCTTATTTATCTTAATTAAGGTAGGCAAATGTTGAAACATTTCAAACTATAAACGGTTTCGATCGAAGTTGGAGCTTTAAACTACAGCTATCTGTGCTATTCACGTTGTTTTTAAATCTGCATAGCTACTTTTCAGCTGTTCTATGCGCACCTTGTTTTATCAATTACAGACGCTCGTAATTGATGTTACCTTTCGGTTAATTATGTAACCATTTGCCTCGCTAACAGTCAAACTTCGTTCTGACAGCCGGTTGTCGTCACGTTTAAAGGGTTGTCCTTTCATGCATGTGCTAAAGCTTAAATACAATTTTCGCAGATCTGCCAACGACCATATTAACCACCATTTCTATGCAAATACATGTACGCTGTATTATTTGTCCGCGAGAAAACTTTCGAAAATAAGTTATTAAGCGGATCCCTGCCGTGAAATGAACATTGCCTCTCGACACGAAACTACACGAGTTTGAATAAGATATTCGAGGAATACTGTAAACATATTGCAATTGTTTTAATCACAATAAGTCAAACGATATGATAATCTTAAATCAGAAGATAAATTTCCCTGCGGAAACGAGGTCAAATATTACTGTAATGGAGACCAAACTTGAGAAATGTTATGATAAAAAAAACCTTTTAAGGAAATCGCTTGTGCTTTCAACTAAAGCACAGGTTTGTCCGACCGTAGATCCAAAAAAATTACAAAAATGTCTGCGGAAATTATAATGTAGCATTTGTGAGGGTCAAATTGTTAAAAATTTATAACTTACAGAGAGGAGTCATTCGCTGAAAATGAGTAACAACATTTGATTTAAAACTGACTGTGTTGTTCTTGATTTGATTTTCCTCTTTACAGTTTATCTATTCGTTTAGGAATCTTAGCGCGAAAAATTGATTGGAGAGGTTAAGTCTGAGATCATTTGCCAAAATTAGAGATTGAAATGGTTTTTGCTCTCCTCACTTTGAACTATTGTAATTTTATCAAAGATACTCAAACTATTTCTTAGTTTCAAATATATTTTTGTCCAACCTGAAACGTCGGGTTTCACTTCATTATTCAGATATTTATCAGTTCATAACGGCCAAAAATGACTCATTTACTTGACAATTTGATAAGGTTTGAAAGAACATTACAAGTTTAACAATAGATTTTCATATTGCCGCGAGTCTGTTCGGTATCAAACGGCAGATGACGTCAAAATTTGGCGCACGATGCGCATGCAGTGTCACTGGTGTTACCCAGAGATTCCAACCCCATGTGATGGAAAATAGGGAGTAATTATTAGTGCCAAAGGCGCGAGCTTCTAGGGGGGTCAGGGGGCCGGGAAATTTTGCAAATTTAGGTTCTCTCAAGTGCCATTTCCTGAATTTTGACATCATTCCGGCCTGAGTTATAACATACCATAATGCTCTTCGCGAAGAAAGTAAGTATAATATGGGTGTTTCACAGTGACAGATCGCCAAAAATTCTAAAGATTAGCAATTTTCCCCTAGTTTTCAGAATTTTATGATAAATCGGGAGAATGTGGTAAAAATCGGGAGAGCGGGAGGCAAGACATCGAATCGGGAGACTCCCGGGTTGGAATCTCTGGTTACCATACCTTTTGATATCTTCTGAGACATTAATTTTATATGACAGGAAAGGCAAAATGTTGTTAATGGTAACGTCATCTATGCAATTGTACTCCGATATAACCAACCAAAATGCGTGCGTGATTCAGCCTACGATAACGTTTTTGATTACGTTTTGAATCTGGTAGGAAATCCGGGTCACTTCTGATATCGTTTTGTTAAAAGCACCGCTTTTTAACCGGCATCAAAAGCGTTGTTTCATTACTGTGGGTTTAAGTAACCGAAAACATTTCAGCTGATTTGCCAATAATTCCACAGGAAACGTTTTACGAAAGAAAAATATATTTTGAAAACGCTGAGCACCTCATAGAGTTCCCTTTTGTCCAAGTCTAAGTTCTCAAACTTCAATGGAAATCTTGTTTAACCAACTCGAGGCACTCTCATCATTGCAAGGCCGTTTGCCCTCAGTTGTTCGGTGTTACGAGATTAACCTGGAGAACAGGGTAACAGTCCTTTTTGATGCACACAAAAAAAATTTTTTTAAGAATAGTCTTTCAAATGACGCACATTTGAAAGACAGAAATTTTATGGTGTATTGCGCATGCCTTTCAGTAACTTTACATTAACCCTTTCATTATCATGCATCAAACGGAATGCAAAAATATTGCGTTTAGCGCTCCTTTGAAATAGTTGACTTTCTCTCGACTTCAATCACCAAAGAGCATCCAAAATGGCGCTGCAAGGGATTTATTTCAGTTCGCCCAAGGTACAAAAGCAGTACAACAAAGGTAATTATGTTCGTGTGATGCAAAGACCTCGCACTGCAGGAATTCGGATTCTGGTGTTTACAGTTCCCATAAGGAACACGGATTTCCTATCCTACGTTATTTGCGTTTACTAGTCTTTTAAGCCTCAGACAACGCGGACGCAGTATTCCAATTTTACCCTAGACATTGTCTTTGGCTGTCTCATCTACAGAAGCGTTCAGAATTGTGTGTATTAAGTACATATTCTTTGAAACTCGCGTGAACTGCTTTGAATATCAATTGTGTGTGGTCTTGATCTGACAATCCATTTGAGTCTAATGATCGTTTGCTACAACAGAGCTGGCTATAAATTTAAACCCAGTTTTCTGGCTTTTTCATAAGACAGCAGTTTTATACTCGTTACAAAAATTGAGGGCAACATTTTATCTTCAAGAGCAGTATTCCAGATCAAAGCGAGATGATCAGTTGAAATCATGATGATTTCTCGTTTCGCCAGACACTTAATGTTGAGGGCTTCTGAGTTAATAATTTCTGAAGTGTTATTAGGTGTAAAGCCATTCACAGGTTTTATGAACGTTCAAATTGCTTTCGAGTCTCAGACCGATCAAATCCGTTTCTATTTACTAATGCCCGATCGTTGTTTCACGCCAACTATAAACAAAAGATAATGAACTGCTGTCACTGTTTCTACGACAAACTCACTCCTGCGTATTTCCGGTCTGTGTGCATAATTTAAACAATGGTTAGCACCTAAAAGATCATCTTAAAACTGCAGAAAAGCTATTAAACACGCGACAACTGTTAGGAGAAATTATATTTTCCAAAGCTATTCAACTGGAAACTTTGACCTTTAAAGAACTGAAAATAAGTTGGCTTAACGGTGCACGACGATAATTAAATCAGATATCATTGAAAGCATCACTAAGCAGTAAAAAACAAATGTAATATGCGTGTTTTTAGCCGATAATTGTCCATTAACTAATGACTAGGATATTTGTCATCAAACTGGTATCAGTTCTTGTCCGCACTTCGTAGGAGACCCAGGAATACATAAACTTGTAGATACAAAGGTAAATAATACAAGTTTTCTAGTTGTTGATCAAAGTTTCATCAGACCGTGCTAAAAACATCCCGTAAGCGATATCAACTGACGTCATAAAATCCTTCAAAGCAACAAAGGAATTAGCACTGTGAATAACTTAACTGATTATGAGTGTATGGGGTTTACACACCACAAAACTAAAAGATCACAGAAAATATATAACTGTGAACGAATTGATCACGCGAAAATCTATAGTTTAAGAGGTTTTTTTTTCCTTCACTTGTATTACAAATGCGGGGAAATTATTCTCGCGCGCTCTGCCATGATAGCTTACAATAATTTCGACACTAGCCTTTTGCAAGAACAAAAAGTGATACGCTATGCACAGCCCATTGTTTCACTGAAATTCTAACCATATTTTGACCCTTTGTGATCCGTGTCTGTATCCACTTGATGACAGGCAAGAATCAACCAAAATGCGTATATACTTTAGCTTATCATATAAATAGCAAATAGATTCCACTTTGTCGTGGGTCTGTTTAATAGAAGATCACAGTTGACGTCAAAACTAAAAGTGGTAAAAACGAAAAAGTGGCTCACGAGGTGCAGCTGAGTGTATCACTAAAGTTCCTAACAAATTCTGAAGTCTTCTTTGATTCATAACTGTGCAGATCAACGGCAAAATTGAATCTAATTGGATTTTTACGATTAAAAAAAAAGCCGAATGTTGTTAAAGGCAGTCATCTAAACGTCTGTCCTTCAATAGATCATGAGCAAGAACCGCGGAAAATGCGTGAATGTTACACCTCAAGAGATTATAAATTGAGCTCAGTTTGTATTCTCGTGTACACCTTGATATAGATTGTGTCATAGACCAACTTTAAGCTAATCAAATGGGGAACACTTGTCGATAAGGGCGGCCTGGTGATTGAGCAGCTGCCGCGCGGGTATGATTTTATATCAAGGAGTAACTAAGTTTTCCTTTCCAACTGATATCCGTCAGATTTTTTCATTACTATAAATGACAAAGAGCGGTTAAAAGTCGAATGTTTCTATATTGCAGGTCGGCGCAAGTCAAAAATCACTCCAAATCATTATGTAATAGTTGTTAAACTGAATTCCCATGCAAAACGTGGGCTCATTCTAAAGATGCTTCCGAATCGATACTCAAATTCTTTCCCAAATATGTTCTAAAACTTCCTACAACTCGAATTGCACTTCTATGCTGCGTTCCCAATTCTCCTGCAAACTGTTTGACAAAAATTCACGAAATAAGTCACAGCCGAAAGCCTTTCTTTCAAAAGAGTGCGCTCAGCGAGCACTCTTGCTGATAAAAGTTCGCCGCCGTCTTGGATTTCTAATTCAGCTTCTCTCCACGAAGTGAACGATGGATATGCGAAAAGTACGTGCTGGGGTTATGATGATCGGCTTGCTAATAATTTTTTTATTCCCCCTTAGCCACTAAAAATCCTACGGGAATTATGAATGATGCTTACGACCAGCCAGGAAGACGACAAACCCATTCGTTCGAAGAGAGTTACTCTTCCGTTCACGATCACAGACCTTCGGCCGCGTACGTATATCAAGAGAATGGGCCGAGTAAGCCCCATCTGCCTTCAAGTTCAAGCACACTCGGGTTTCTTCCTCCCAAGAAGCGGAAGCGCGAGAATCCGTGCGGTATAAAGTGTATTCTGATCACACTGTTGGTGCTTTTTATCATTCTGTTCCTGGTGATGATAGTTTTATATTTTACGAGGGATTCCTCGAGTGAAAAAGTTGACGGAAAGAGCGCAACAGAGTCTGAAGCGGTAAATACGTTAACGATAAATGGTAAAATGGTAAATTATGAAACTAGAACGTAAGATTGTCCCATCCTAAAGTGCAAACGTTACAAGGATATTCGTCCAATAATAATTAGCCGGCCGGTTAAAGTGAAGGCAAACCCAGTTTGCAGGTCTGGCCATCCTGTCGAAACTTATCCCAATTTCAATTTTGTTAGAGTGAATAAGAGAACCATTATTTCCCCCAAGACGGATGACAAGGAAATTGTAAGGTTAACACACCCTTAGCTGCTAGCATTTCATTTGATCTAAGAGTTTACCATGACCTATGCGTACCCCTGGGTAGAGAGGAGAACCGAGAGAGTACAGAGTCTTCGAGCACTTTTCACTGGAGTCTAATTAAACCAAAACGAAAGTAATCACGGCGGCCAAACTGCCAGAAACGCGGGAAAATGCGAGTGGATCAAGGCGCGATTGGTTTTAGAATTTGGTTGGTTGTATGAATGGCGCGATTTTTTCTGGACCAATCACAGATAAGACTAAGGCAAAACCAATGTAATCGTGGGTTATTTTTGACACTCAAATGAAACTTTTAAAAGTTACGTAGAGCCCTAGGCTAGTCCTTTTACTTCAAGCTACCCCCCCCCTCAAGATAAACCCCCCTATAGTCCTTTATAAGAATTAATCCCCTTCTCCTCCTCCCCCCCCCCCACCCATCGCCAGGTTGTTCTCCCTTTCAAATATGATGGACCGTTTCAGTCTTGTTTTGTAAGGAGTTATTGTCTTATTTCAGAAACAAACTCCATCTCCCCCATGCTTCTCAATTCCAAAACCTGTGCCATTTACAGCGCTACCTGAAAGTCTTAAAACCAAACTAAAAGAGCTGGAAGCTTTGATCAATAAGCACGTCGAAGAAGGAGGACCGGTAAGTATCTCATGTTTTGTTTACTTTCTTGATGAATTGATTTTTTCACTTACATTCGCCAAATGCAGCATATGCTTTGAATAGTGAGATCATTGAGATACAGTGCAATTTACTGCTATGAAATATTCGCTGTTGCCCTCTTTCACCGTTTCAGATGGCTGTAACAGGCAATATCGTTTACATGAACAAAGTGATCTGGAAAAGAGAGAATGGTGTAATGAATGATTCTGAGACACCTAAAAGAATACCTTCAGCCACTACTGTATTCCCCTTGGCAAGTGTTTCAAAGGTGTTGACGGTAAGAAAATCCAAGTTTCTAGTAAATTTATTATCCTCATAATCGAACCCCACATTTGTAATTAAAGCACAAGTCTGCTCTGGCGTTCTCGTGTGGTGTAGGAGATAAAGTTGTCACAAGAAGCTTGAGGAAGCTTTAATTATTGGCTTATTTTTGAAAGTAGGTTTACTGCCTTCACGATGAAGAGAATCTTCCTGTCTCAAAGTGAGAATTTTTGTACATTGCCACTGACTTAGCTTGGTCGTAATTAGAGATATACCTAGAAAAAGGCAATTTCCTACATTTCATGCACTTGTTACTTGAACTTCGGAGAAATGAACAGTTCTTACCCTTTCCGTTTGCGATCTGAAAATTGTTGATGATCAAAAAAACTTCAGATCTTTGCTACCCGCCTTTAGGAGGATTAGGAAGGAGACCGCTAATACCTCAGAAAATTCAAGCTTTTATGTCTAAAAAAAAAATTCCTTCCAAGCGTAGAGTTTTACACTAAAGGCCACGAACGAACGAGCAGGGTTATTGAAAAATTTGCCGCTTTTCGACACTGCAGGTATTGATGTTGTTTAAGCTACACAATGACGGTTTTGTCAAATCATTGGACGACCCTGTCACCAGTTATCAAAGTGATTTTTCTGTAAAAAATCCTTTTGGGAACGACCCAATTACGTTAAGGTAAGACTTACTTTTAATCTCTTTCGAATCAAGGAAAATATTCCTCTTCATTTCATTCTTTTCTAGAATCATGTCAAGAGATCTATCTTCAATGTAAATAGTGCGTACGCATTCACACAAAACGATAGATTAGTGTAGCACCTCCCCCACTCCGAAACCACGCCTTCCCCACCCTTACACCATCACAAAGTAATTTCACACGTTCCTTCTTGGTTTTGTCTCATTTGTTAGACAGCTGGCGTCTCATCGTTCCGGTCTTCCTAGGGAGGCACCCTGTTACCCGGAGACAAGATCAAACCTCTGTCCTTATCGTCACGATCAGATGATACAGCGGCTTAGAAATGTGACCCTTTTACGGGCGCCTGGTACAGAGCCGCATTACAGGTTTTTTTTCATTTTATTTTAAACTCATCATCAATGAACTGTTATGACAGTGTCCCAAGAATCGTATTCCAAAATTGCGATTTTCCCATGGTTAATTAATGTTAGTAGGCCCTTATTTCCTCGACTGATTCTTCATAGTTGAAAATAATTGTTAGCTTGAAACGGGGCAACGGAATAGATTAACATTAAAGAGTGTGAAATTCAGAGTTCGCTCTTCCGAAGTCACCAATTCTGTCAAAGCTCTAAAGTACCTAAGCGTTTCCGAGTTGTCCGCATGTAGGCTTTAAGATCATAGGCAAAGCAAGTAAATATTGTTTGGAAGGCATATCATTTTTCACACGCTTTTCAAAAGCTTTTCATAGCTTTACAAATGCTAGCTCATGTTATGCTTTTAATTGCAAATTTCAAAAGCATATGAATGTTCATGAGAAATAAGATTGAAATCGTATGAAGACCTTGTACCTGTGATCTGTCCCTTGTTTAGTAACCTCGGCATAGCGCTGCTCGGTCGGGTCCTGGGCGAGAGATTTGGAAATGGGGCTGGTTATGAAGGATGGATAAAGAGCAATTTATTTGACACCTTTGAAATGACTGACACATCTTTCGTCTTGGACGACAGGTAAATACTGGGCGTGTTTTTATTACTTTAGCCTATGGTTTTAATTTGAGAGAGGAATAACGCAATCAAGCAAGTTCTGGAACCCACAAAGCGATAGGAGTCAAGGACTCAAGGTCGCCACAGGAACTTGAGCTGCAGGGAGCATCTTCCTTTCTATAAAACGCACGTAAATTCCTTTTTTAAATTTATTTCTTTAACTTTCAGTATGAAGAAACGTATTCCAGTTGGTTATTTCAGCCAAACAGAATTCTCTAATGTCAAAAAATGGGGATGGCTAAATCCAAGCGGAGGAGTCTATTCAACTGTAACTGACTTTGCAAAGGTAAAACGTTGCTTCAAGATGCGTTAATCGTTGTCTTTACGCGAGCCGGTTTCTTTTCACCGCGACTGCCTTTCTCCCATAAAGTGTCTATTATTTCTTAACTTATCTCCAGGCGCAAGGGTAAAAATTAAAACCAGATTTAGCCAAAGCTAAAAGCGAAGAAGGTTAATTTTTCTTCACACTCATTTCGTGCACATCTGATCGTCCACGTGCACCTTCCCATCTTGCACCTCGGTGTTGCGCATGCGAAATACAGTTTTAATTACGAACATCGGGATATAAATATTTAGGGAAGTAAATCTGCTAAATTTTCCATGCCTGATAAGTTACTGTATTTTCTTAAGTATGGAGTTTCTCTACCTAATTAGCTAATTAGCTGCGCCAATTATTCAAGTCATCATGCTGTATAAAATAGCTTAATTGTGTGGTTATTGTCGTTGGTTTTTAAATTCCAGTTAGAGGCGGCTCTATTTGACTCCAACAACTACATCTCTAACGCTCTTGCGGACGACTTCTTTAGGCCAGGTGAGTTTATTTTCCCTTCGTTATCGAGAGCAGACTATAATGGTTAGTCCACCACTTCTCCTACTAATTCAGTTGCAATATCTTATTTCCTCCCCATTTCATTGAAGGATACATTCTTGGTGACGGAAAGAATGTCGTTGGGACACCTTGGGAGATTACAATCTTTCATGATTTACTCGTCAGAAGGAAAGTCGGTGACGTGTTCGGATACCACGCGGTAATCCAACTTCTGCCAGAGTTAAAACTGGGTGAGAACAATTATAATTCGGCTTGCAGCAGCCTATGAGAATGCCCTCATCATTGCATTTTTGCAAGGGCCTTGTCAATGATAATGAATAACTCGTGCCAGACCCCTTAGCAGACTACTTCCTGGCTCGCCTCAACTTTCTCGCGGGTGAGGAGAAGCTCGTCCTGCAGCGCTAGTAGGGACCTTTAGCAAACCACGACGACGACAGCAACGAAGACGTGGCAAAATAAAAGATTTACTGTGCAAAACAATATAGCTCAGTGCGTTTTAAAACTGTGTACATTTCTTAGTCGTCCTCTGCAAATTAACAACGTGAAATCATCAAACTTTGCGTGGTCCGAGAAAGGAAACCCCGACGGCAAATTATTCAAGTTTCCATTTAGAACTCAACGCCGCTCTCATACGTTATGCTGATGTTAACTTGCGGCGCCGTAAGAGATAGTAAACACATCCAGTAATTCGCGAGATTCCAACTAAAAATATATATTAACTTTTTTATCGACGTCTTTCTTGGCGTTGCCGTCCTAAATGATAAAGGTCCCTAATAATAAGACAGTGCTCGTAAGCGACGCGGTCTGGGACCAGAGTTCTCTTCGCACTCAATGTTAAAATCACTTGGTTTGAATTTTTCAAATCTCAGCTTTTTCTACGCCTCTGCTCAGTTTAGACGAACCCCATCGAAGTTTAGTTACGTTTAAGGTAAAAAAAAAATTGACCATCATTTTCTTTATTTTCAGCTTTCAACTTATTTTGCACACATTGTGAACCACTGCGGACTCAATTTACCGAACAATTTAACACGAATTTCATCCCTGCTCTTAAAGAAGTCCTCTTAAAAGAAACGGAAAAGGTAATTGTTTCCAATTTAAGTTACTGACTACGCCAAGTTTTCTTTTTTAGAGCAATTTTTAATTGAGTGGTGGAAATAGTCCATGATTGCTATGGATTTGCTGTACTTAGTTTTCTGATTGGTCGAGAAAACTCGTGCCAATCTCTCAACCGATCAAACCTCGGTCACTCGCATTTTCCCGCGGTTGAGGTGGTTTCCTCGTTTCAACTTCTAATTCTGATTGGTTCATTATGATATTTTCCTTTGATGTTATTATCTTAGTGAGCGACCATTTTAGAAGCGCGCGTGGAAGCAGGAGAGCATGATTTCCCTCGCGCGACCCTATTTACGCATAATCGCTCATGTGTCCTCTCACTCTCACAATCTGTCAAGCTTCTGAATGAGGGCTGATGCTAGGGCTATACTAAGAAAGAGCGATGTAAGTAACCAATGTCAAGCAGTCTGTCGCTTAGTAGTGAACTTCACTTTCTTTTATTCAATTCAGAAAATAGTACTTCCTCCAGATACCAAACCATTTATTGGAGTGTACACAGTCGAGGGGCTCGCTTACTTGCGATTTCTTGAGGTCAAATTGGTAAAGGGGCAGCTACTTATATCTTATAATGGCCATTTTGATGTATTTGTCTTGAACTACACAAAGCCGTTAACATTCACAATAATTTTCCCGCCATCTCTTCCATGCGTCAACAAATTTATCTTTGGAGTTGAAAACGACCTCGTTGTCTTCGACAGCCCGTCAAATGTGGATGGTCTTTGCGATAAGTTTACCATGTACAGTGCATCTCCCAGCGGTAAAACGTTCTTCTACAGAGCGAGAGACTAGACCAGGAGTAGAACATCTTAAGATGCCTTGGCCGCGCCATTGTTGCTCCGACATGGAAGAGCATTGCATAAATACTTTCTTGAGACAATTCCTTCCAGGCTTCTGCATAGCCCTTTTTTTTTTACAGCTATAGTTATGCTGCGTTAGGACCTAGGGAGAGAAAAGTGCTCAAAGCTCTTCTCAATATATATTATTATACAAATTTGAAGCGCTTTCTCTTTTAATTTACCCGCAAAAGTTCTATTGGAAATGTTACCCACCTTCTAAAGTAAACTGTAATCTGTGAGCTGAGGTTCAAAGGATTTAAATGACCTGCAGTGTAAAAGACCACTCCTATCAGTAGACATTTGGTTATAGGAAGTTACAATGTCCAACCACAAACGGCATTTACCAGCCCGAGTTACAAAAGCAAAAGGAAAGAACAACAGCACTACGATCGAAAAATTTAGAGGGTGCAATAGAGACGCATTGCACAATAAGGAACTGATTGCGCATCTAATGGCGATAAATGAAACCGGTGTTTGTTGAAAATAATATATTTTGTTAGGCTTGCCTCATCCTAGTTTAACAGTAAGAATTGCTTTTGGAACATTAGTATATAAATATTGTAGAAATATCAGATTCTATCCTGTTTTGAAATATGATACCTTCTCAGTATATACTTACATAATTGTAACTTTGGCTACCTGGTAAGCAAGTTTATCGATCAAAACGGCTTTACTTTTCACGAAGGGTATTTTTTTGGAGCAATTTTCAATTGTGACTCGAAAGTAATCCGCAAAAGCTTTGGTTTTACTTTATTAGACTCGTGTCATGCTCTAAACCAATCAACCGCTAAGCGAAATCCAGTCATCACTTGGTCGCCCGCGTTTCCCGCGCTTTTGGCGTTTGCTTAATTTTCACTTTGAGTCTTTATTGGCTAATGATGACGCAAACCTTCCCTATGATTGGCTGATGTGATTACTCCGGTTTTGGTTTTACGACAGTCAATCCAAGCTGCCCTAATTTGCGAACTTACATTAAGACTGAATTCAACGTTTTTTTCGAGTGGAAAACCATTTTTTTTTTTTCTTTTTTTCATATCCTAAGCTGAAGTAACTTTTCTTTATCTGTAATTTGTAATTAGCATCACTGTAATAAACAAACCCGTACAAGTCCGTCTGAAGCCTACGAGCAGATTCTCTTAATTAGCCTCGAGGACTCAAGCAACGCAAGCTGGTGAGAGGTCTGGAGGGGGTTTAGCGCTGATTATCATTGCTAGACTCCCAGTAAACATTTCCCCGACTTGGCAGTCTCAAATCTTTACGCGGGCGAAGAAAAGCGCGTCCTTCAACGTTAGTGATAAGGGCCTGCTCGCAAGCTGGTCCGCTTATGGATACGAATTTTATCTTCTCGTGTAAATAGTATCTCTCGGAGTGAGCGAAGGGAAAGCATGGGAGATGTTACCAACACGAGAGGCTAAAAAACCGTACCCATGATAATTGAATAAGCTATGATGCGCTCCACTAAATAAACTGTTTATGTGGAATCATACAAAGGTTTTCTGCTCCGTTAGCTAATTCTTCATTACAAACAGACCGGTTTGCGAAGACTCAGTAGACATATCTCGATCGAAACCGTTACAAGAATCCCTTTTTTAATTACAGACTAAGGACAATAAAAAATGAAATTAATGTGCTCTTACCCATCATTCCGTAGTAAAGGACGATTAGCGACTGGAGGCGAATCGGTCCCAGGGTAACGTAGACAGCTCCAAAGCGAGCCCCGACGGAATGAAAATGCACTTATATGACTTATATCATCATAGCAGTCTGTCGGGGGCGGCAATGATTGTGTCATTTAGATCTGGTCAGATTCCTCCGCGCAGCTCTGTCCTGTGCGACGTCCGAGCCGATATGAGTTGTTTTCTCACAGACCATTTCATGAATCTGCTTGCAAAGTATTTAAGCTATCTTTTGCTGGACTAGCAGCACATTCTTGGCAGATAGAGGCGTTATCAGTGGCAACGACAGGTCAAGACAAACTTCCGCCCCAGTATTTGTTGAAGTGACTGACCAGATGATAGGTTTGTTTATCTCTGCTCTTTGTGTAGTACATGTCACAAAGCAAAAATCCAGTCTCACCCTGTGTAATTGGGAGTGGTCCACCACAAGCCTTAAGACAGATATTAAAATAATTTTGTTTTTAATTCTGTCAGGAAGCCCGGTTTCACCCTCCACGCTCTCAGAGGGGCGGGGTTGCCGGTTTACTGGCCGACTTCCCGACCGGTTTTCATGGTTATCCAGTAGCAAGAAAACCAATGCCTCACCTTACTTATATTGGCCACAATAAAGGTAATCGCTTTTAAAACCATAATTACAGCCATTACAACGCCGCTGGTTACTAATATTAACACTTGGAATAGGGTAACACAAATATGATTGCTTCAAAAATCATATAAGGTTGCATAAACAATTACCGCCGAGACGCGCACCGGCAGAGCCTTATAATTTGTCTTTACCGACAAGCGGGATTTGGAAGCGGCTTTTCAGTTCATTACTGACACTAAGAATGAAAAAGAAAAAACAAACAAACAAACAAACAAAAAGCAAAACAAAAAAAGTCAGAGGGAGGAACGTCGTTGAGGGACTGATAGTCTGTGTTAAGCGTCAACTGCCACAGATCTCAGCTAGCTTTACCAAGTCTTCTCGAAGACCGTAAACCGACAAAATATCAACCGCCGGAAATAATCATCGGAAACAAGTACATCCCATCAAAAATAATGACGAACATTTATGAAAATACACCTAGAATTATTAAACCAGTCACGAGATAAACTCTAGTGAAATAAATGACCCGACAGTAAAGAACGAGTCATCGGTACTTTTCAAACGATTTTTGATGGTTTTACAAACTGTTTCAATATTTTATTTATTTCGCGCTAGCACTTAGCAACCGAGAGTTGCATTAAGAGCCCTACTCAATGGTAAATAACACGTCTTTTAACAGATTTCAATTGAACTGATAAGAATAGCTTTAGGGAGAAAGTATAATGTATTCTCATTAAATTCTGTCCCGATCATTATACAAAAGGTTCCACGCGTAAAAAGTTATTCATTAACCATCATAGAAATTTTGAGAGGCCTGTGTAAACTCGATTGGTTCAGTACCATTGTGTTTGCTCAGGAGTTTACTGGCCGAAATAAGCTTTGGGGTTAAACGGACGTGAATCAGATAACTTGGTATATTCAGGAGTATAGTGGCAAGGACATCGACGATTTTTATGCGACAGTCACATGCAAAGAATGTTACTTGACCCGTGAACCCCGCTTTCCATTGCGCGAAAACTGATCAAAGAAAGCTTTTAGACTGTTTAAACTTTAAACGGGTTTATTTGAATTTACGAAGTGCTACGCAGAAGATTGTGACGCCACCTCATCACACTGAGTAAGAAGCTTGATGTCCTCGATTTGTGAGGTTAAATAGCTGAATACAGGAATTTATTTCGAAATGGAGACGGTGCGATCAAATAGCGAGGGGTATGCATTTGAGACAAACGATTCGCGGTCAAAAATTGACAGAATTAAGACCCAACAAAATCCGAAACGGAGCAAGATAAACAGTTTAACTCAGGAATTTCCTCGACGGAGAACAATCGCAAACAGCCCGTCCACTTCAAACGCAAAGAATGCAAGCTTTTCTGGGAAAAAGCGCTCAATGTTGAGGCGATTATCGCAATGCCCCCTCTCGCCATCAGTGGAATACACATCTGTTATGGAGGGCTTTAAAGCAAAGATAGCATCAGAACCCAGTAAGCCAATGGTTGCGTCGCCGCGGAAAAGAAATCGGGAAAAATCGTGTAATCATTCCGTTCAACAATCTAAAATTTCTTTTCTGAAACTACCCTCTGAGTTCGAGAGCATGTTAAATTTTGGCCCGCGACCGAGAGGAAACACTCTACCCACGCGACTCGGTGATGCAAGAGCCTCGGAAACTGGAAAACCTTTAAGATCAGACTCTGATAAAAAAGTATTTGATGTTAAATTAGCCTGGCAAGGATCAAGGGATGATATTTTCATGACAGCAACAAAAGATAATCGAGAAAGCCATATGTCTGTGCTGGATCTTCCCCAAGGAAAATTGTCTTTGCATAAGCTGGACGATAAGGGCGAAGGCAAGATAGCGGAGTCTTTTCAAACTAATACAGTGCCTGGTAAGAGTGATAAAGGTGGTCGGAAGATACCACAGCGGAAAAAAGCGCAGGTTGATTTGCCAAAGATAGAGGAAAAAGATTCTACAGATCATGCTATTTCACAGATAAAACTAAGCGAAAGCGAAGTTGGCTCTGACAAACGACAAAATAGCCTTACAGCTGAATACACAGACGTCAAAACTCCAGCTTCGCCAAGCTTGTTAAAGGACCGACCGAGAAATGAGAAGGTGACAGCTACGTATGAAAAAAGGGAAAGAAGTTTTTCCAGCGGCTACTTCACCGGGATTAGAACAGACTCAACAAGAGCGAAAACAAAACTTTCTTGCTCCGTTTCATGGGATCCAAAGTTCGCCCATCGCACCTCTTCGGATGCAATGAGTCGTGTAACCATGGATCTGAACGATGAAGCCGCAAAATCGAAACACTCGAACGCGTTTGCGGCTGTAAGTCCCGCGACAAAACGCAAAACAAGCCAGCTAGCGATAACCCGCGCGAACTACAAACGCGTTGGGAACGCAACATTGAGTGCATCGAGGCTTCTTAAGATTCATTATCGAGAAAACGGAAATAAAAATATTATTACAGCGGAAGAAGAGAAAGAACTCGATGAATTATTCGAGGAAATGAAAGATTGTCGATACTTGAGGACAAGTGGTTCTGAAGAGATGAAAATATAAAGGTTAACTAAGGCAAATATCGTTATTTTTAATTGTGAAAACGAAGGAATATAGTGAAAACGACTTTTAATCGTTGCAATGGAGGAATTGCTTTTTGCAGATCGGTTCGATTATGAGATGTGAACATAGTAGAGTTTGAATAACAATCATTAATTTTGCTCAACGGAAATTGGGTTAAAAGTTTATTTAAAGATGTCATAACCTATTCACTGAATTGATCGGGAGTATTTAGAGATATTTAACGAAAAAAAAAGTGGGTTGTGTTGCTTTCAAATAGTATGCAAGGCTGGATATTTAGAGAGCTCCTTTAAAAGAGCCTCTTAGAAACAAGTGAGTCCAATATCAAACTATTTTTATTTGAGCTTTGCAACAGAGTTTTGGATAAAGTTTGAAGTGATTAAAAAAGATTCAGGTTATTATTTTCTTTGACGCGTATTCGTTGTTTCAAGGGCCGCTTAACCCTACAAAGGCAGAAGAATATTAATTTGCGTGTTCTGAATGAACGTTATAAAGATATTAAAAATCTTTTATGTACACAAGGGTGTGAAAGTAATTCCCTGGGTGTCTCAGGGTGATAAAAGTTGAAAATGAGTCGTTATTTGCACAAGGCTGTTTGACAGCAGTAAAAATATCCATCGTTTAATTTTGCACATAGGTTTTCCTTTTCCGCAAAATCGTGATCAGTCGGTTGCGAAACGAGCGGTCAAGGTCCGTCCTAACCTCTCGCGGCTTTATTGCTCTTTTTCAAAGCACACACAAGACCGCCAGCTTCATAGGATAGATTCACTTCGGTGATTAAAGGCGGCCGTGACTTACGACACAAAATAAAAGGGAACTTGATCTTTGTTTCGAAACGGGATTGTGTTGCATGAACGCCATTTTCAGGGGTTTGTTAGATGTAATAAAATGCTTTGTTTTGTAGATAAAATTGATTTTCCTTGTGTTCTTGTCGTATCCGTTGTCGTTGCCAGCGACTAACGCCATTTAGAGAGAGTTAGTGTGGTTTGGTTTCCTACTTCTAAGAGGGAGAACACCCAGTAGTTTTTATTCAAATGCTAATGTTTGCTCCAATTACCCACCCTCCCCTCTCCTATTTTCCAATATCACTTAATGTCATCCGGGATCTTAATGCTACGAAATTTTCGCGCCAAATTTCTCCATGTGAGACAACTGATCGCAGCAAACCTTGATCAAGATGGACGTCGCTGATCGCACAACGGGAACTGCTCACGTCCGTGATGACCTTGCCGAGCGATCACAAAAGCTATTTCAAGACTTTCTTGAAGAGTAAGTGCTTTTATTATCCGTCAGATCAAAAAATGTATGTAATCTCAGGCAGATGCGCAGAAAATTGTACATTCGGTCGCATCTAGTAATGATACAATGGCGAAGCTGCTCACATGGTTCTATTGACACATTACAATACTTTTTTTAAAGGGATTTTTTCGTTTTTTACCAAGTACATTTTTGTTAGCTCTCTTTGCTGATATAGAACACTTAAGAGCATCTTCGGAGGGTTCATTTCACCAGAATTGAAATAACTTTCAACTGAAATTAATGCAGCTCCGAGGAGCCTTCAGCTTGAATACCATTTATCGCTCCATCCGCCGTCAATTTATTTTTAAGTACGAAGAGGTAACGCAAAAATCCAAAGTTTCGAAAGTGCCATTTACTTACATCTAATTCTGACTTCCCTTCAACACATACTCCAGATTAAGTTATTTGATAGATAGTTCGGCTTGTCCTGAATCCTCGTTTCCTGAATATCTTAAATTAAATCTACACAAGGTTGGTGCTTATAGCTTTAGATCTTCTATTGCGCCTGTCCTTTCTATTCCGAAAGAATCAGGAACATTTCAGCACTCGTCAGCAACTACTTTTAATAAGCTCCCTGTAGTTATTAGAAACATAACTGAGTACAATTCCTTCAGTCGTGGTGTGGAGACATCTTTTATGTAAGGAGTTTTAAGCAGCAAACTCAATTGTAAATTTTTTGTTCTTTTTTTAAATATTATATGTATATTCTTCTTTTTTAGAGTTGATTTATAGTGTAGATATAGTAGATGAAGAACCTCACTTTGTTGGATACTCTGCAATAAATCATCATCATCATCATTATTAATATTATTATTGTCCATATTGACTCTCTAAATTGTTACACAATTATTTTCAAGTGAAATAATTGAATCATCATAAAGTTGAATGGTCTGTAAAGGGTCGCTCAACAGGAAGAATCAGTTAAAGTACGAAGGCTTTGCTTCTTTACAAACATGAGATCTGTTATGATGTTTACTTCTTAAGTTATGTATACTTTTACTTGATAATATCTCTAAAGATTTCAAGTTGATGGAGAAGTGAAATATCTTCCTGAAGTTCAAGAACTTATCAGACCTGAGCGCAACACATTAACAGTCAGTTATCAAGATGTGGAGTCTTACAATGCACAATTGTCAACTTTAATTCAGGAAGAATATTACAGGTAACCTCATTTTTGAGAGACATTATTTTTGTTGGCATTCTAGACCTTACATCACATGGTCAAGTTTCAAGCCCTTAGTAAGTCATTGAGATGTGTGATTTTGGGGAGATACCCCCAACTCTGTAGGTACCTCTCTCTGTCCCTACAGGAATATAAATTGATAACAGTGGTTATCATTTGACCAGTGCTTTTTTCCTTCCTCCTTTGCACTCACCTTTCATAGGGCCAGATGTTTTCCTGGCTCTAATTGTGCCATCACATATGGCTCTGAATTATGTTTTGCAGTGTTTTTCAATGACATCATAAATGGGAAAATACAGACCATACAATAAAAAGCTATAGTTCACCATAGGTAAAATTACAAATTTGTCTTTTTTTTCCAGGGTATTTCCCTATCTTTGTCGAGCTGTTAGAAACTTTGCCAGAGACAGAGGTCAAGTGCCACCAACAAAAGAGTTTTATGTCAGCTTCACAGATCTACTAACAAGACACAAGTAAGACTTTATTTTACCAGATGTTTAAATAATATTTCATGGTTGATATGTTTATTTCTTCTCAGTGCCTTTTCGCTTGAAAATTTATCAATATTGTTAGGGGAGAATCCTTCTCAGTCATTCACAAGAGAAAAATGTCCACATAAAGTTTGTAGACAATGATAAAAATGTTCTTTATGTTTAGGACTTATTTTTGCATTGCTTGATTTAATTGTAGAATTCGAGAACTCACCAGTCAGAAAATTGGAACATTACTTCGAATTAGTGGACAAGTTGTACGTACTCACCCCGTACACCCTGAGTTAGTGAGTGGAACATTCATTTGCCTTGATTGCCAGACTGTTATCAAGGATGTTGAGCAACAATTTAAATATACTCAGGTATGTGTTTGGTGCTTTGCTTTCTTGTCAAATAGGCCATTTCCAAATTACCTTTTGCCTCTTTTTCAAAACGAGGCCTGGTGCTCAACCATTCATATGAAAATGAGTTTAATTTGCATGTGAGCAAAAACTTATAATCATTTGAAAGGATGAGCACCAGGACTTGCTTTAAAAATGAGGCCAAAAGTGATTCAGAAATGGACTATTGACTAAGTAATTCAATCTGTTAGAGCTTATATATCTCTGTTTTTTCAGTATAAAGGTAATAAACGTATTGCTGCTGCCTGCATGAGATGCAAGTTTGTTCCAGGGTTACCACTGTATTTTATCAGCTTTCCCCAACAGGCTGTTGGTACCCATTATAACATCTAAGTTTAGAGAGGTGCTTTGAGGGTAAAAGGTCTTAGTTAAAAACCCAACACAATGACCCGGCCAAGTCTTGAACCAGGATTTCTCAATCTGCATTTCAGCTTGTTAGCCGCTTGGCCAATACATCTGTTAGTGATATATATATACTATATACTATATACAATATACTCTTGGTTCTCTTCGACCACCATTTTTACTCACGTTGACATTAGCACGCACACTCACCTTACTGTTCTCTATACATTTTCTGTTAACTGATAAAGAGAATTTGTTTAACAATCAAAACTTTCAATTAATGATCATTTCCTCTCTTCTAATGACCTTAATGTTTGACACAGGGGTGATGTTATTGGGAGAAATTAGATGCTAATCACACCCAGGGATCTCAGGGTTAAGGAATACTTGAACTTGTTTTTTATTGTGTTCTGATGTTTTGCTTTGATTGGCAGCCCACAGTTTGCCGCAACCCAGTTTGTCAGAACAGGGCAAGATTTATGCTGGACATAAACAAGTCGCGTTATGTAGATTTTCAAAAAGTGCGTATACAAGAAACACAGGCAGAATTACCAAGGGGAAGCATTCCTAGAAGGTAGGTTACTACTGACATTCATTCTTAAATCCTGCATTACAAGCTTTATCATTTATTGCACTAACAGTCTCTCCTGATATGGATTTTAAGATTTAGATAGGGTGTGCTTGGTCTTTTTCAGGCCAAGAGGTACATTTGGGTTGATCCAATCTATCACAACCAAATAAAATTTTTCATCATGAGACAGATAATCTGTAGACTTGGGGCTCATACTGTGTTCTTCAATAAAACACTTAACTTTTAATACCTATCTCCACCCAGTGAATTACCACAAACCTTTTCAGCAATTTTGACAGAAAGGTTCTTGGTGTTTTTTTTTTCATTTGATGTGCAAGAATTTGGTGCAAGGGTTCAGAGTTTTGTGACAGAATTTTGATGTAAACTTGGTAAACTTTTTTTTCAGTGTGGAAGTAATTTTAAGAGCTGAAGCAGTAGAACAAGCTCAGGCTGGTGATAAGTGTGACTTCACTGGAAGCCTAATTGTGGTTCCTGATGTAGCACAAATTTCTACACCAGGTAAAATGCATGCATTACATAAAGGGACACAGAATAGTATGAAAACTCAAATGAAAACGGGAAAGAAACAGGGGAAACTGGAGAGGAATTTGGGGAATAATTTGCTTGACATTTAAGGCATGTAAAACCATATGTACCATTTGCTGTGACAAACCCAATGCTCAAAACATCAGCTTGAGGAAATATTTTTGGTGGCCAATTTACATTATCAACTCAGTTGATAAACCAAATATCTTATATAACCCCACTGATGCAGTGCTTTAGTTTAATTCTCAAGAAACTTATAATAATTATTGAGGTCATTATATAATTTTGTACTCTTGTGTTCTAAGGGGCGAGAGCAGAATCATCTGGAAGACAAACATCTGGTGAAGGATACGAAGCAGAGGGAGTGAGGTGATTAAAAAAAAAAAACTATCTCAGTTTTCCTCACTCTCAATGACAGGGTTGCATATTCATGCATGGCTTTGGTGTTGCCTGTCCTTGATAGGTTTCTCAGTTATTGTCAGTTGAAACTTGCAGTTATCTTTTCATTTTCTTTTTAGGGGGCTCAAGGCTCTTGGAGTTCGAGATTTGACCTACAGATTGGCTTTTCTTGCCTGTAGCGTCCAAGCAACAAACCCAAGAGTACGTCATTTTTCTTATTACTTTTGTTTTGCAAATTACATTCATATCAGGAAGCCTCAAAATACTTGCCTAAAAAATGAAGATTTAGGACTGTATAGGCTCCAGTTGTGTAAATCTATTGTCTGCTCTGCTTGAAAATTATATTTATGTTGTAAGTAGATATCATTTTTTGGTCACTTCTGGGAGTGTGATTGCTAAATTTTTTCTTTTTCCTACCAGTTTGGAGGTAAAGACCTTGATGGTGATGATGTTACAGCAGAGACAATTAAAAAGCAGATGACAGATCAGGAATGGCAAAAGATTTATCAGATGAGCAAGGATAAAAATCTTTACCAGAACTTAATCAACAGCATCTTTCCGACTATTCATGGTTGGTACATTTTGTTTGAACTAGACTTAAAATGTTACACTGTACAAGTCAGAACCCCTTGTGGCCACTTTTCCTTTTCTTGAAATTTTCTTTTAGATTCACATTCATTTTGTTGGTTTTACTTGCATCTGCCTTAAATTTTTACAAATCTTTCCCTAGAAGAAGTTGCCTTAAAAATTTCTTACTGAAAAAAAAATTCAAAATTTTTACACTCCTCAGCTCAATTGATGATTGTTAAACTTTTATTGCATTAAAAGCTCTAGTTGTTGGCCTGTGAATTTGCTAATACACAGCTTGTTTGATGTAGGAAATGATGAGGTCAAACGTGGAGTGCTCCTGATGCTGTTTGGTGGAGTTCCAAAAATCACGCTGGAAAAAACAAATCTGCGTGGTGATATCAACGTCTGTATTGTTGGAGATCCCAGCACCGCAAAAAGCCAAATACTCAAGTATGTTAAGTTGGCAATATTGATTTTTTTTCATCTAAGAGTGCAATTTGATCAGGTGTCTTAAAACCAAAACCGATTAATTAATCGCAACAGCCAATCAGAAGAAGAGAAAGATTCTCAAGAAGTCAATGAGAATGTGCCAGGAAAAAGAGGCAAACTGCCTAGAGTGAAGGAAAGTTTTGTATTAGTTTTGAATCTGATTGGTGGGGAGAATGGCTTGAGTTTTCTTGACCAATCACTGCCCCATACTCAATTGAAAATCGCTTTCAACCCTTCCCTTTGTGTGATCCAAAAAAGATATGGCCCCCTGAAAGCCCAGCATAAACTTTGATGACCCTCCCCTATTTGGTTGCAGAAAAGGTAATGACTTTCTCCCTGTTTGCACCAGCCCTCCTCCCTCTAATAAATGATGGGAGGAGTCCTGAGAGCTGGTGCTAGTGTGATCTGTTTTTCCATTTATCATTTACCTGTCATTTATTAGAGGGAGGAGGAAACAGGAGGAGAGTCATCACTTTTTATGCAACCCAAAAATATTTTGACTTGCTCTTCCCCTCCCCTCTAATACATGACAGGTCACTTATTATGGATAATGGTTCTTATTTGTGCTTTATTTATGGTAGGCATTTTGTATAAAGTTTTCTCTAAAAATGTTTTGATATTTTTCTTGATGACAGGCATATAGAGGAGTTTAGTGTCAGAGCTGTGTACACCTCTGGAAAGGCCTCCAGTGCTGCAGGTCTCACAGCTGCTGTGGTCAAGGATGAGGAGTCATCAGAATTTGTCATTGAAGCTGGTGCTTTGATGTTGGCTGATAATGTGAGTATTGAAATACAAGAAGGTAGCTACATGTAGGATATTTTCGAGGGGATCAAATTGTGTCAAATGCAGGGTATCTGTTTGACTGTCATTCCCACAATGCTCTGTTTCTTAACCCTTTTACAGCCAAGAACTCATAAGTAATTGTCCTTACTGTCTTCAGTAATGAAACTTAAAACTAGACACAGTAAACACAAGTTTGCATGTATGGGTAACTCAGAACTTTCTTTTTGTTGTTAATTACTTGAGTTGATGGTAAGGAAAAGATATATTTTTTTTTGCATGGTAGGGGGTGTGCTGCATTGATGAGTTTGATAAGATGGACCCTAAGGATCAGGTGGCCATTCATGAAGCAATGGAACAGCAAACTATTTCAATAACAAAGGCTGGTGTAAAGGTAAACCGATATGTTATCAGCCCCCCCCCTTCTCCCATAGAGAGGTTTCTAGATTTCCCTCCTACCTCCCTCGAATTGCCCTTTAGGGCTACTTATTTGGTATTATTACTTTTCAGCCTTTATTGAATGTCCGAACATGTCAGAGAACCCCCTTCCCCCTAAGAGGTTTCTAGTTTTAACTCTCCCCTCCCATAATGCACCCTTTGGAGCTACATGTAACTACGTGGTAAATATTATATTTCAGGCCTCATTGAATGCAAGAACTTCTATTCTGGCAGCAGCCAACCCCATTGGTGGGCGATATGACAGAACAAAGTCACTCAAGGTAAGAGAAAGACACTCTCTTGTAAGTATGATTGACTATGGTGTGGATTTGTCAATGTTATTTGTGGCAAGCACTGAGATCCTTTGTCTCAATATGAACATTTTGTTCTGATTGGCCATTATTATTATCTTTGGTTTAGTTCAGCAATACTCAATCAAAGAGTTCTCAACTATAATTCTCATCAACAACATCATGAAGTTGCCTTTTGAGGATGTTGATTTGTGAAATTGATTATTAATTTTCAGCACAATCTGAACATGTCTGCACCCATTATGTCAAGATTTGACCTGTTCTTCATACTTGTTGATGACTGCAATGAGGTAAAGTTAATCTTTAATAAATTGGTTTTTTTTTAAAGTTGGAATTTCAAAAACTTTACTTCTCTTTACCTTGCCCTTGAATATACCACTGACCAAACAAATGAAGGGAACAAAAGAAAGAAAAGAATTCACTGATTTATCAGTACATGCTCAAAACTACACTCCTACACAGAACTGGTTGGAACACTTCTTGAGAACAAAATCTATGATGGTCCTTCACCCCTCTCCTCCTTCCGATGTTGTTGATGGCCATTATGTCCATACCATCTTGCAGACCAACCTTGAGGGGGGCAGAAGTTGTTCCAGCAAATGTGTTTGGAAGTGTATCACATGAAGAAAACATGCATGGCAATAATTTATTGGACAACTTTCATTTTGACAATTTTTCTCTTTACAGGTAACAGACTATGCCATTGCTCGTAGAATTGTTGATCTTCACAGCCGGCTTGGGGAGGCTGTGGAGAGGACTTACAGTGTGGTAGGTGTCTTTTTTTGTCCATTTGGGGTGTGATTTTTTAGTTCAGAAAACCTAAAAATAGAAAGTGATTGTCAGTAATGCTAAAGTTTGCTGTCATCAAAAAAAAAGAGAAAACCTTTTTTCAGTTTTCCTTATTTTGAAATAAATGATGTGGCTGGCAAGTGATTTTGGAGGCTCAATATCGTGCAGCATCTAGTTTGAACAACTGTTTTCAAAAGGAACAGGAGAGAACAGTTTTTCAATGGTGTTACAACTCAATTTAGCTTTAGACCATAAACACTAAATTATAAGTAATGTATTCAGACTCTTTCATGACCTCAATTTTAATCAACAAATTGTGTTTGTTTTTCCATAGGATGAAGTTCAGAGATACATAACATTTGCCAGGCAGTTTAAACCGACAGTAAGTCTTAGCATTAAAGTTATGTTGTAATTGATTCATATCAAGTTCCTTCATTGGTTGTATATCTAGTTCATCAGTGAATGAAAACCCACTAAGGGTAAACCTAACACAGTGTTATGAGGTTGCTCTGAATAATATATAGTGATCTAATGGGATGGGAAAGAGACTCTCAGAAGCGAATGTCAGCCTTGTGTCCCAAAGGGTTTAATCATTATCAGAAAAATGACAAGAAATAAAAATTTAATATTTTTATTGATTGTATTACTGAAAGGTCTGGATAGCAGCAGTTATGTAACAAATCCAATCAGCATTTTGTTACACACTTTAAATCAACTCAGTACTTTGTAAATTCAGAACTGAAGATGACAGAAGAACTGTCAAAACATGTTTTTAAAGTTTCATTTACTTTCTTAAATTCATTTTATTGATGGCCCTCAACCTTACAAAAATTTAAAGTATGTTTGTTTCTGCATGGTAACATTTACTGATGGAGAATGTTTCCCATTAGATCAGCAAAGATGCACAGGATTTCATTGTTGAACAGTATAAACATCTACGAGAACGAGACACGAGTAAGAGTTGGTGATAACTTATTGCCTTTTTTGCTAATTGCCCTGATACCTTCTTGCTAATGTACATCAATCTGCTCTTTGTTCATGTGATTGGTAGATCTTGATGTTGTGTTTATTGTCTTTAATTTTACTCACATTTAGGTCAAAATATTGTAACTGATCCTCTAAATTCAAAGTTAAATGAAAGCCATTGTTATGTTTAATTCAATGAAGTAATCTATCAGTAAATTAAGCAAATGAATTCTGGTCAGTCAGTGAGCCAGTCAGTCATGTTATGCAAACTAAGACAAGCTCCACATGCAAGGACCACTTGGCTTGAGTACAGAGTATTTTTGTACCAATTATTTTGTTCCATTTTCAATGTTTATAGGCTTTGCAAGGTCAGCGTGGCGTATTACAGTACGACAGTTAGAGAGCATGATTCGTCTCTCTGAAGCCATGGCCAGGCTTTACTGCCAGGATGAGGTGAAGAAGAATAAAACTTTAACCCTTTGACTCTTAAACTCCAAAGATCTGATTGTTAATTCTCCCCTCTAACTGGTACCCATTTTCTTGTTAAAAAATTATGAGAATTTGGTGTTAGCTCAAGATAACATACTTCTTCCTGATAAGTCTGAGAATTCTTGTTACCTGTTGACTGGATAATGTACAGATACTGTCTGGTAGTGAAAGGGTTAACCCCTAAGAGTGAATTGCATCTAATTTCTTTTGAGAATATTACCCATGAATCAAACATTTAAATCTTACTCGAACAAAAGGAATGCTCACCAGTTTAAGAAGTTCTTGATTGTTAAACATAATCTCCTTGTTAACCCCTTAGGAAATGTATACAGAACAGTATGGAGAATATGCATACTGATATTAGGGTGTAATGGGTTAAAACAACCTAAGCTACAAGCTAATTTGAACTGATATGAACTCATTTGCAGCAGAAGTTGATATTTGTCTCAATTTCCTGAGTAAACAATTCAAATTGCCAGGATTTTCAATCATATCTCTTTTCTTTGAATGAATGTCTTTCTGCTTTTCATCAAAGCACAAACAGACATTTTTACATGTATGTTCCCTTTTTATGGCAGGTTCAACCCAAGCATGTCAAAGAAGCATTTCGTCTGTTGAACAAGTCTATAATTAGGGTTGAAACTCCAGATGTACAGTTTGATGAAGATGAGGAGGAACAACAAGAAGGTAGATGTGGATGGAGCAAAAACTTATTTTAGAATTTGATGAAAGGTGTCTGAAAAATTTACCTACATTTGTACTTTGGAGGATACAATCTGGCTCACCAACACATTCTCTGTAGCATAGTATGCAGACCTTGCCCTCTAGGAGTGGGGGTGGGGTCGGGTGGGGTGGGGTGGGATGGGATGGAGAAGGCACTTGCTATTTCAGCCTCAAGCATAGTGTCACCGAACATGGTGTGGTGTTTAAGGAGACTTGAGTCTTAAACAGCTTGTACAATTCACTATTTCCTGTCATGAACAGGTTGTCTTTCAGGACCAGAAGCCTTAAATATGGTTTGATTATGGTGAGACTACATCTAAAATGTGGTACTAACAAATTGTGTCAAAGTTTAAGACCAATTGCAATGCTTAAAAACCCCACCTTCCAAGGTACTCCTCAGTGCAGAAAACTCTTTGTGAAGCTTTCCATCATTAAAAAAAAAAGGCTTTGTAAATCTTGAAAATGACCTTTTCTTAAAGTCCTGTCACAATTTGCATTATACATTGCTACACAAGGCTGGAAAGCAGCAATTATATAGTTGTGCTATAAACAGAGTATCAAATGAAGATGTACAGATTTTTCTTTTAGGCAGGTCAGGGTAAAAGGGTCATTGACTGCTGCCCCCTCCACCCTTCCCCCGAGGGGAGAGGGAAGGGAAGGGAGTATAGCATATATGTAAAATCTCAGGAGCAGCCTGGAGTTCAATTCCTCTCAGGTAGGGGGGGAGGGTGGAACTCATACATTGCTCTCAGTCTGTACATATACTGGTATGTTCCATTTGTCTTCCAAAATCTAATGTTTTAAAACTCTTATTCCTATTATTTCTTGTAGATATGGATGTGGATGGGGAGAGTGAAGCTCATCCAAGTGGAATGGTAAATGGCCATACAGAAAAAGACACTGATAGGACAGAGAGTGACCAGAAGGCTAAAAGCAAACTGCGCTTGTCATTTGAGGATTACAGATCAATGGCAAGGAGTGTCGCAGGGTACTTAAGGGCAGAAGAGGAGCGAGGAGGTGAAGGCAAGTCATGAGCTTCCTAACTTCTGAGCTGGCCCTCGTTATAAACATTGTAGCACAAGTGTTTCTTTGCCCCTAAGCAGGGTCAACCCTTAAACCCTAAGGAGCATAAGCATCTAATTCCTCCCAACAGTATCACACCTGAATCAAACATTTAAGGTCATGAGAATAAAGAAGATGATCAAAAACTAAAAAAGCTGTTGATTGTTAGTGCAAATTCTCCATGTGAGTACCATAGTGAATGTGTAGGGGTTAGTATGGAGAAGATACATCCTGATGTTAGGGTGTAAAGAGTTAAGGCCTAAGCCAAATTAAGTCAGCAGGTGGTTGGTGATGCATCATTATTTGTGTCAGGTCCCTTCCAAACCTCTTGCTATCTCAATTTGCCTGAGGCCTTAAACTTTCTTGTGGGTGAATAAAGACTTTTGCCACGGTGCTTATGTTGAGGGTCTTCTGACAGGCTATATACTTCCAAGCAGCACAAAATTTTGGCTGGTTTTACATGTTATGTTATTTTATGTTTTTGTAAATTTGTTCTCAATTCACAAAATGAGGCTTAAAAATGCTGCATGCATTAACCTCTTTCAAATCCAAATGCAAATAAGTTAGTGTTGTTTCCCTTTCATTGAAATCAGACTTGAAATGTCAGCTGATGTGTTCCAACCCTATGTAAAACCTGTATAGTGAGAAATTTGGAAAATATCAGCAAAATTCCTTCTCCCTGAACAGATGACACTGGGATCCGTAGAAGTGATGTTGTTAACTGGTATCTCAAAACAATTGAGAAAGACATTGACACTGAAGAGGAGTTGGCTGAAAAGAAAGTAATTCTTGATAAGGTTCTTGACAGGCTGATCACATCGGTGAGTAGAAATTGCTTTTAATAACCATTTTTTAGAATGATTTTGACAAAAAAGTATATACTGCAGTCATCAATGTTTCAATATTTCTTTTGATGTCATTCAAAACATTCAAACTGTCAACATTGTCATGTTGAAACAATATCCTAGGATAAGAAAATGGTGGCTTTCTCCAAAAGCTTCTTCATTCTTTAAAAATTTCTAGATATTTTTTATAAATACTGGTAATTACTGTTCTTGTTACGAAATTCTGTTAATTTGGTGACTATGCGGAATTTAAAATAATAAGCACTGTGATTTACCAAAAATAGGCATTAGACAACAGTTGATCTGTCTGATGCAAGATCATTTGAATTTAAAAATGCCCTAAGGCCCATCTGCATGAGTGGGGAATTGACAAAATTGAGACAAAGTATTTTTGTCTATTTAGCTGATTTTGTCCAGCTTTTACCTACGACAGATTTTGTTGACAAATCATTCAGACTTGTAAAGAATTGGTGATGACAGAAAAATTTTCTACGAAAACAACTGTTTTGTTAGTGTAGATAGACCCTCAGAGTCAAATGCAAATTGAAACTAATGGGTCTTTCCATTTTAATGTGAAAGGCGACCTGATGTGGATTGTACAAACTCAATCTTTGTGGTAAAGTCAACAAAAGTATTTAATTGGAATGGGTGACAGGTTTTTCGATGAGAAGAAAGAGATTGAAAATGATAAAATAATCAAGATTCTTAGTGTGACTGGAATGTAAACAAAATTGTTGCCAGAGACAGAAAACAGTGAAGGAACTTTCTACTTAAAAATGGTTACTAAAATTTCCATTTCTACATAAGTGCCAGGAGGGTGATTTTGATCACAATTGGAACAATTTCAAAAAGTTCAATTCTTAAACATATGCCACTCAGCAAAAAGACTAAACAATAAGATATGAAGACTTTAACTCCCAAGATTGGATTGTTAATTCTCCTTTCTGGCTGCTACATGTTTCCTTGTAAATTAGTTACAAACATTTGGAGTAAGATGAATATAACAACTTATACCTGATAAGTTTGAAAATTCTCTTTACCTGCTTGCTAGACAATGTATGGATATTATAGGGAAAGGTGACATGTTCATCACTTTCGGAGTTAAAGGGTTAAGACTTTGCTCTGCTTACAACTCAATTATTACTAACTATTCAAACAAAGTCTCTAGTTCAGTGTATAAAAGTACATTAAAAAAAATTTATCAGTCAGCATTTCAGCTGCTTTCAATCTTGAACCCTAGCACATCATTTCTCTGCCTTCAAAAAGTCAAGAATTGAGATTAGGAAGGACTTATTCATTTAAACAAAGTTAACTTCTTTCTTCTAGGACAATGTTATTTTAGCACTAAAAGAATGGGGAACATCACAGGAAGACTATGTGCCATCTGAAGAAGAAGATCCATTCCTAGTCGTCCATCCTAATGTTGTAGTTGATGACCTGTAAACCTTCGCTGTTAAATTCACTTCTCTCTCCCTTAGGACTGTATATACAACCCGCTTTTTTTGAGGGAAAATTTCAGTAGATTGATTTACCGGTAATTTGCTTTTTCTCCTTGGTATATTGTTTGTGTGGCTCATGTAAAAAGCCTGTATTGTGAGTGAACAGGTAAGCGTTAGATATTGGTTTTCATATAGCAAAGAAAAAGTATTTGTATGCAAGAAAGCACTGCAGTTTGCACGTCTAACAAAGAAAGAATGGTTCATAAATTTGTATATTTTTCCTTTAAATACTCAGTTCTTGTTTTTTAAAAAGATTTTGTGCATCAAGGTGATTTGTATACCAGAGCAACTATTAATAAAGCACTATTACCATATGTGTTGTGATGTTTTCCATTGTAAAGTTTGATTTTGCTCTCCAGTATTGAATGGAAGTAAGGAGTCAAGGTGTAAGATTTCTAAATTCATAACTACAAATCACTTAACACAAATTACTGCACAGCATTTTGCTGTGATATGGATCAACCATAGTAGGCAGAATCCATTGTTCCAGTTTCTTCAACAATAAGAATTACTTCCTGCATCACTGTTAAAAATAGTTTAATGACTATCATCAAGGTGTCATGCAAAATTATGTTCAATGACAATGGGCCATGCACGTTTTTCCTGCTTTTTTGGTTTTTTCTTTTCATCTCAGCATGTGGTCCTTCTTCCTCACGTGGTTGCGGGTAATGCAATCCACATGATAAGTTGCTATCCACTGGATAGCACAGTATGTTTTGTTAATACTCATTTACTGAAAAATGATTTATCCGTTGAATAGCATCATCCGCCCCTTTGAACAACCAGAGCCAGTATGACAAGCTCCTTCACCAATAATTCAAGCATGACTAACTCCCATAAGTGACCAAGACAGAATTTTTCCTCACAATATGAAAACAATCCGAAGTAGACAGAAAAAAAATAAAGAAAATAATCAATTAGGAGATTCTTAGTTGATCCAATACCAAATTCACCCAACTTACATCACAAGAATTAAATGGCAGACAGTAACGGAAATACTAATGAGATCTTGGGAGTGAAAGGCCTCCAGTTCCTTTTACACTTAATTATGTCTGCCCACTCAAGTTCATCATTCACAACATTCTCCATTCTTTTATCTCCTCTCTTGGTATTCAATACATCTTATAAAATGCTATGTAACAGTTTCACTCAACACACACAATAACAAACCATCACAACATAGCTGCAATCGTAACTGCCATCAAATTCTCTTCATCATCCTCGACTTATTTGTTGCTTTTATAACAATTAACATTGTATTTAATGTAAGGAGGGTAATAAATATGGGTTACTATCAAGACTGTAATAATTAAATCAACATATCTTCAACATGGCCAGTGAGTTAACAACTTCTCTTCAATTAAGTTAAATTTTGCATGGACATGTTACTCTTTCTCAGCTTTACACAACCACCAAGGCCTGCCTTTGCGTCAAGTTTAAGAATCCTTCCAAGTCTCTTGTTCATGAACACACATTACACAATGACTGTTCCCTTTTTTACAGAATCCATAACTGTTATTCCTCAAAGTCCAGGTGTTCCTGTTTAGTTGCCAAAAGTGTGTATCCATCTACAACAAGTTAAGTATTTCAACAAAGTGAACTTAACTGTAGTAATTAGTGGTGGAAGCCAGTAAATACAGCAGCAGTTATCAAGCCATGAGAGTCTCAGTTAATGTGACTAACTTGTAACCTCTTGAGATTTGCAAACAGGTTTTGAGGCCAGACAGGCATCACTTGGAGGTGCTATCCTCAAATGACAGCACACTATCCCTTTCATTTACAAGGAATTGTTTGACATCTACATCATGGCTCCAAGTTCAATTTTTAAAAAGCTGTCTCTTGGGGACCTTTAATTATAAAATGGTTGCCATAAAAATATTTTTGGTCACCTAACCCTGAGGCAAACAATATAAAACTAACTATGTTCCAGTCTTACAGTGGTAAAATAGCAAGGTTCAACAGATTTGTGCCAATACTTATGTCACAAATCCACTTGAAAATTCCTGGTGCAGTTGTAAAAATCATAAAGAATTGTTGTTTTTAAGGAGGTGCTCAACAGTACTGTCAGTAATTATACTTTGAAAACCAAACCACTAGTCTATTAAAACCCACAACAGTTATCTGGGGCAAGTAGTTTTTATCACACTGATAACAATTTTTCTTGCCCAATTGATGGATCCCACCCAAGCCACATTTTAAAACACTGTCTGCAAAACAAGAAAGCTCAATTTCACATTTTGTTCAAGTTATGAATCATAAATTTTGACATAACAAATACACAGCCAAGTTGTTCCTGTAGACATTTGGCATTTTGATGTTCATTAACTATGGTAATTAATCAGAAATGTTTTTTCCTACAGTTCCTCTTCTTCTCTGCATTTTGTTTTTCAATACAAAGATGGACAATAAAATCAACTAGACTTACATCACACATGTGAACTGTAATGGAAATAAGTATGAAGAATCCTTGTGGCAAAAACATGTGCATAGACAAATTTCACTGAAAACCACTTCCTAACAAGTCACCCAGGGGTCAAAATACTGATAACAAACAAAGTGCTTTCACATGAAAACAAAAATGGCAAAGAAAAGAATGCCTTTGTTATTATAATACTGTTAACAATTAATCTAACAAACAACTCTAGTGAATGAAAGAAGAGGAGTTAAACTATTTAATTGCCTTCTGAGGCATCTACCAATATGCTGTCTCCATGTATTTTTAGCTTTCAAGAGGGTTCTAGAATTTGACGGTTACTTTATCAGAAACACCCCACTACCTCATGAACGCCCTGTTTTGTTGATGCTAAAATCATAATGGTGGTTTAAGAACACCCTTTTTGATTGATGATAAATCATTACATTGCCTCCATTGATCGACAACATTATATAACAAGCTACCCACACAAAAGAGAGAATGGGACTGATAACTTTTTTTCCGGCTCTACACAGTTCCAGTTTGGTGAGCAGACATATGTCACAAGTAACATTAATTAACCGACTACATTCATAGACCCACTTGTAAGTGCAGTCATTAAGGCACTAAACAAAACGGCTGTCTGCGTACATGTATGCATGTAGCGTTCAAACAAATATTAGTCAAGGTGATCTATGAACCGTATCTCGATGTTAATGAGAAATTCGCTTCGTGTAAAATGCGATTGAATTTTTGGACTTTTCGAGAGAAACGAAGAGGCATGACCACGTTTCGTGCCAAGAGGTAACGGAATCTACTGTCTGGATTGACTGTCGAGGAAGGAGGAAAGCGACTACAATATGTTTTATGCACGAATGATAATAAACAACGCTCAACAGTACAGTTCAATATCATTATTCCCATGTGCGTCAATAAATCTATTGTGAGTAACACTGGGGTATCTACGAGGAAGGAACCAATATCAGAGGTTATTCAGATACCGGCGTTACGATATAACCTTACCGCATGTGAAGTAAATATCATCTTACTGTCCTTGCATATGAGGTATAAAATGAAGACAGATCTGTCCACGTGTGCTTTTGCATGCACGGAAGGCGATGTTTGAAATTCGGTCTTAACGCACTTTGAAAATTATAGCAATAGTAAATTTAATAATCAAGCTCTCTTGCTAAAAATTGCTACAGTATGTTGGCAGATAAAATTTAAAATTAGAGATTTAAATTAGAAATTAGCGATTTAGTGCAGTGATGCAATAGTTACAGGGTTAGCCTGTAAAAGGATACAAATGGCGGCAACAGACGTTAAAAGACCTCCGAATACCATCATATTTCTTCTCCTGATCTGTGCTAGGTACTTTTTTTGCATGAACTGTCTATTCCAAATTTCTATTTGTCTCTTTTCAGCTTCTGTAAATCGTTGCTCTCCCCTGTCCGCCATCTTTTATGGTTGTCTTTATACTTTACTCCGCTGGCCGCCTGAACATACAGTGGGCCTTGGAAAGGCTCTACATCAAGAAGAGGTCTTTGCGTGACAAGTGCCTAGAAAAGTGCGTCATATTGACGTCAATGAGATATAAACCAATCAACATTTAAATCATATCTGCAGCACGCGAACTTTCGCCACTGTTCATTGGTTATTTTGATTGTTTTGTATTTTTAATAATCTGACATCATCTGTACAAAAATAATTTGCTCAAGTATAAAAACAGAGTGACTCAGCTTTTTTCGTAAAGGATCACGAGATAGAGAGCTCATTAGACTTCTATGGTATTCTAAAGTTGAAAGTTTTTCCCTCCCTCAACTAATTACGTAAATCGAGCCTTGACTGCGAGGAATTCATTCGATTGTGAGAGGAACATTAGTCGAACACTTGATCACTAGAGGCGTTTGAAAAAGCAACTTCGAGAAACTTTAGTGATTTACTCCATCTTTCCTTAGTGTTGAAAGAATCATGGCAGTTGGGAAGAAATACCTCGATGGCACAACATTTGTTCAACTTGCTATGGCGTTGTCTCTGATGAGACCTGAGCTTCAAGGATTCGTTGGTCAGAACACAACTCCGCCGATGCCTGTGAACATGGGATACCCACAGAATTTAACTGGTGTAGTCCCGTACAATCATGTTCCCAGCACTACTAACTTCAACTTCAACTTGGCACCTAAAGAAAGTAATGCTCAACACCCCCTAAATGAGTTTCTGGATTGGCACACGAGTGGTAACAATCAGTTTGACACAGATGCAGTTGCTATGCTTTTCAATGGGGAAACCCATACCGCCCCAAGAGAAACGAGAGCTTCGTTTAGTACGGAGTTAGAGAGCGGTTATAGCTCCGATGGCGGTCGTTCGCCTTCAGCTATTTCCTCTGTTGGTGGCTCACCACAACACGAAGCTAGTTATACAAACACACAGGCCCCTGAAGCAGATTACTTCGGTGCCGCTGGCTTCACTCCGACCGAAGAGGACCTTCTGAAGTCCATCGACTTTCAACTCGAGGATTATATCGATCTCGACGCCATCTACGAGGAACCACCTCAGAAAAAAGCAGCGTTTTTGCCGGAAGAACTCCCTTACCCAAAGATTAAAACCGAACCGTTGCCGAGCCCTGACGACTCTTACAGAAAGTTTCCCAACTCTCCGCAAGAGTTTCACTCGCCCTCCGATCCCAACCGAAAGAATCCCTTTGAAGAAACCTTCAACTTTGAGGAACAGTTCTTCAACGCTGACCCGTTCTCTATTGATTTTGCGCCAACAGAAGAAGAACTGCAAGAAGTGGGACCTAACACAGACCCTGTGTTTGACCTGGACTCGTTTGCAGTCAATCTAGATGATCTTCCTCTCGACATATTCGACCCAAAACCAACGGGGCAACAAGCGATCGAAAATAAACATGATAGCCTGCTTCCCCTCGGTCAAGAACCGGTGCCAATATTTTCAGAGGCCACCGCAACGAGAAATGATAGCGGATTTCCTTCAACTGGTACGTTTTTCCTCAGTAATATTAAGTTACCAGCTAAAGTGCTTTTTCACACGTATAATATTCACATGCACCGCATTATCTCACGAGCGCAAGTTCTTTAAAGTTCTACAGAATTCCGTTTTCGGTTTTGTGACTGTTTATTTGAATAACAAATTTCTTTTACTCGAGCTACCATAATTGATTATCTTGGTTTGTTCTTGATGGGAGTTTCTAAATATTTGTTTATTTCCTTGGAAACAGTTGCTTTTTCCTTTGTTAAATATTAATTTTGGGCCAAATTTCGTGATTTGCATCCAGTTGATTTAATCAGCAAATCGATGTAAAAAAACGACCAATATTGTGCTCTCAGTTTCCTTTAAGCTGTCGCTCACGCCTCACCGCTTTATCTTCCCGTACGTCATATGCGACTATTGTATTGAAAATTCGAGCAATTGCTACGTCCTCTTTCGAAAAGGAAATTCAGTGTTGAGTTAAATCTTTGCAGGGGCCTTTGAGTTGGGGTGTGGCCTTAAAGATTTTTACATTGGGTCAAGAAATGTTAATAGTGGTAGATATCACTGTTCTATTAGTATTTTAACAAGTTGCTTTTATCTTTTCAGAATCCTTGCTTCCTCAAGCTACCAGAGACTGGCAGAGTCACTCTTTCCCACTCTTACCCGGTGCAAACATCAAACAAGAGAAACCTGAGATTGTAAGTGTTCCAAGTGTGCCAGCAAGCACATCTACCAGGTTTACACCTTCAACTGCTCCCAAGGATTTTAATGGGGCACGCCCAGCTATAGCTGCAGCTGGGGCATCACACTTTCCAGCATCAGAAGATGAAATAGTTGACATGAGTATTAATGAATTTGGCAGCTTTTTGGAAACACTTTCAGAACCTGATGCGCAGAAGGCCAGAGACATACGTAGAAGAGGAAAGAACAAGGTTGCTGCACGCTTGTGTCGCAAAAGAAAGATTGATGTTGTCAGTGACATAGAAGATGATATTCACAGTCTGAGAAAGAAAAAGGAGGAAATTATCAAGCAAAGGCAAAAACTCTTGGCTGAAAATGCCTATTACAAGAAGAAAGTCGATGAACTACAGGATCACCTGTTTCAAAGTTTAAGAGATGAAAGTGGCCGTCCTCTTTCATCAAAAGAATATACCATCTTCCAAGGTGCTAATGGTAGCATCTATGTAGGAAAAAATATAGACAGTGAATCAAAGAAGAAACAAAATGGCCACAGTAGTAAATAAGTACCAGTTAGAGTTTTGTTAGGTAAGATTTGTGAATATAGTATCAGGCCTTGTGGGTCACAGAATTGAAGATGCAGATTTGAAAACATCTTCTGAAGAGACAATGTGAACATTGAGGAAAGTTACTCAAAGGTTAGCATTGCAGTAAGTTGCACAATAGTGGAATTGAAAGTAACCTGTGTTTTGTGATGCCTCAACTCTGTAGCCAGGTGGTATTTTATTCAAGAATGCAAAGAAGTTTAGGTCTGTTGGTACACATGAGAATGTAGAGTGGGTATGTGTAAGCTATCAGAATACTTTTTCCACGAAATGGCAGTTTTGAACTTAGAGAAAGATAGTGTCCTACTGGTGTTTGAAAAATAACAAACTCAGTCACCAGAAAAGTTTCACTAATTATTTGGAAGTAACATGTGCAAATGTAGAGTGTTGTAAGAGGTGATGAAAATTTATTTATTTGGTTAATAGACATTTTTTTCAAGTTTCATTTTGTTTAGTTCATTACAGTCACTTTCAGAGAATTAACATGAAAAGTCCCACATTATAGTACTTTTCCAAGTTAGGTCACTTTAAAATGTTTCAGTTTTTCAAATACTTCTAAAAGATTAGGAAAAAAAACTTACGTTGTTCATTAATTTTTAATTATTTACCCAACAAACATATTCCTGTGAATTTTTTCGGTAGGAATTTATTTTTATGTGAGATCTGTCTTATGTTAAGAACAACAAGTATCCAATTTAATTGGCAGAAGTGTTGTTTTGGGTAAAAATTTTCATTTTTTTTTTCATACAGGTTGAGTAATGTAAATATTGTAAATATTATGTTAAAAAGTTTCTCAGACATTCTTTTATAACTTCAAAGTTCCACATTAACCCTTTAAATCCCAGAAGTGATTAACATAAAACTTCTCCCTACATAAACATTCTTCAGCAAACAGGTAAAGAGAATATTCAAACTTATCAGGTAGAAACTGTTATCTTGATCTAGCACCAAGTTCTCATAACTAATTTAAAAGGAAATGTGTGGCAGCTACAAAGGAGAATTGACAATCAGATCTTGGGAGTTAAAGGGTTAGTATAAATGAAATAAAAGTGTAATTTTATAAGTACTTTTACGTACCTTTCCACCGATACTGGAGGAAAAAAAAAAAGGCTAGACAAATAATTAATAAAAAAAATTTGAAACAGGACAGAATGTTTTTTATTTTTTGGCTGCAGGATGGGAGATGTGGTCATGATTGTGCGAGATGATAGTTCTTTTTCAGTGATTCTTCTCACCATTTAAATCCCCAAGAGTCTCTAGCTTCAAATCACTATCAGCTTGGTATGCCACTCATAACTATGACAACAACACGTCTTTAGAGCCGTCTCTCCCTCCCAGATAATTGTGTCCCATCAGTTCAAAGAAACCAGTAACACACACACCTGAAAAGTGGGTGGAACATCACAAAATACCTCCTTTTCTCTCACTTGCACAACAGAGACGTTTGTCATAATGAATGAAAAAACTAGGCTTCAATACTATATTTAGCAAATAATAATTTATTATTTATCACGTAACAGGAGGAAATAAAGTGTTTTCTCTGCTGAAATACATCCCTCACCATCACTGAGATTGTTTTATATTACCCTGTGAATCTACACACAACGTAAGTTAGAAAATGTTTTGGCCAAGTTATTTGTAGTGGTGATGGGCTGTGAGGGGTTCAATTTGGTTCTTAATCAAAACTAGAACAAAATTCTTACATGTGATTGGTTCTCACCGGCCTCATTTGAGCACCATTAGGGTAGAGTATGCATTGTGCTTGTAATTGGACAATGTATGGATCATGCTTATGTAACTGAACAGTCTGCGTCACATGTGCACACTGTTGTTTTTTTGGTGAATATATATAATCAGTAGCTAGTTTGTTTCTTACATTTTGTCATAGTTTGATTAAATGGTTACAGAACTTTGTGTTGTCCAATTCTGTCTGCAATCATACTTGTAAATTAATAGACCAGACTACCTCTTTGGGGTCAATCGATTTTGTTAAACACTTGTATGATTACAGACCCACTTCAACTCCTCTCACTCCTAATTAGTACTCATACAGTCTGGTAGTTAACCAAATCAGAGGACTGTGAAGCAGGACTCTGATTGTATAATTGCATGTATGAATGCAGCATAAATTTCAATGGTGATGACTAATCATGACTGGGAATTTTGTCCTAGTTTTGATTAATGGTGTAGAAGAATGGTCATGTTATAACTAAAAAGAAAGCAATGTGTGGAAAGATTGCGTAACTTTCATTTGATTCTTTACATCATGCAATTAGATAAAAAAAAAATCCAAAGCGCTTGAAGGGTGAATGCTGATGTATAAAATACCTTACAGGTGATGAAACTTATACCTTAAAACCAACAAAACCAAATACCCAGCTTTAAGCTTGAGTATCAATATCATACATGATATTACAATTTCAATAAGTTCTGAGTAATTAAATATATTTTTTTCTTAGTGGCCTAACAGTGGCATAACATTATGGGCAATTTTTTTATCCACTCTCAAATTTAGCTGAGCCATCGAAAGACACATTGTACAAGTTTTCCTCTGGTGGAAAAACTTGTAGCAAATTTTCTTGTCATGAGCCAAAAGTTATTGCCATTTTTTAAAAATTATTAAATGGATACAAGTAGATCAGTCACTTCTGATAACAGAACGTTTTGAGACATAAACTTGTTAAGAAACAGAAACAAAGATTGCAACAGGGTATCCCACTGTATCTTCCAGTCAATATGCACCTGTGGTTGGCTAACTTTGCAGGCCACACAGTAGATTAGAGTTACTGGTAAAACATATCTTTGCTGTAAAAATCTCTCCTTATCTATTGCCAATTGCTTCTGACTTTCTGCAAAAGGTAAAAGTTAAAATCTATTTGTTCTCCTTAGAGTTGTGTGTTAACATACACCTTCCAGCAACTGAAAACAATTTTGATTTCATTTGAATCTGTTTGGTGTGACTAGAGATCATTTCCCAAATCAGTCAGACACAAAGAAGAGTCAGAAAGATCCTGCTGTCCTCATCTTCTTGTCTGTGCTGTAATCATCAATTTTCCCCAAGTGTGACACATTTGGGCCATAATTTGAAGGGGTTAAATCTGGTTTGAAACGTACAACATAGACCTTACTCTTGGTTAGTATAAGGTGCATGGATATATGGCCCCTTGTGACAGGCTGTTATATCTACACACTGAATGGCCCTATTAGGTACATGTTTTGTAACAATGCTTTTCTCTCTTCTCCTCAGTGCATTAGGTGTCATAAATGCAACTACTTTCCTATCATTTGATGCCCAAGAAATATTCAACTGGAACAATGGACATATTAATTAATGTGCCTTGAGATGTGGAATCCATCTCAACAAATGATGTCTCCATGATTTTGTCAATTGTTAGTTAGCATGGTAATGTCCACCAGGTTTCCACCAGCAATGTTTATTGAAGAACTCCCAATACTGAAACAATATTGCAAAACATCTAAAAATAGTTCTATCAACTGCTCCATGATCACTCCAGTGTTGCTCCATAAATATAGTGTGGGCAAAATTATGTTTTAATCCTGAATTGTCTCTCTCCACCTCAACCAATCTTGACTATTCCTTTCTAAGGAAAGCAACTCTTTCCAAATATTCCTTCAGGTGAGGTTGCTTCATTTTGGCCAACAGTCATTCATATCCACTACATAAACAGCAAACTGCATTGGTTGTATCTTGCTATGAATTCATGGACTTGGCCTGGTAATTCCCTGGTTTTACTTTAAAATCAGTTGGTATGTATTGTCATCTTCTGGAAACATAAGGCAAATAATGAGATTATTTCCAAGACTGGTTCCAGAAAATAAAGAAAAAAAAAGATGAATAAATTGTGGTCAGAGCACAAGTGCAATTCTTTATTCTCAGCCTACTGTGTTCAAGACATTACCTCTGACTAGTTGTACAATAAAATGTCCTTCATCCGCAAAATTCCTCACCATCTAAAACAGCAAATTAAAATATTTCAGTCCTTAAGGAGATATTTTTTAGGCTTGTCACCAGAGTGGAAAATAGAAAAATATTCAGAGTTCCCTTGAAGAACTGAACCACAGAACTTCAGATTGCAAATTCTGGCACTGGGCCAGAGAAGTTAAACAGTCAGGGAGCTAGGCCAGTACAAGGTTCAATTAATCTTTATATTTATATACAAGGCTTGTAGCAAAAATGTATTTGACATGTCCACTTCTCAACAATGGTTGGTTTAATGCACAAAAAAGGTTTACAATGAAAGAAAGGGTGTGCAGAATAAAACTTTAACTGACTTCTTGATAAATGCAACATGTACTTAAGAATCTCCTTCTGTTTCAAGTAATATAAGACAATTTAGAAGGAGAATCTAGAAATCTGTTTGAAGGCTTTTTTCCTAAGCACCCCTTAATTACAAGGGTTTACATTAAGTTTAACAGTTGGTTATTGTGTTGATTCTCACCTCATTGTCAACTAAAACATAAATTTCCGTTGGCCCTTGTCTATGGAAAAAAAAAATCAGTATTACTTAATCATGAGATGTGATAATTAACAACTACTTATCACAGTGGAGGTGAATGGTGGTAGATAATTTAACCGGCACTGAGGGGAATAATTGTTTCACTAAATATCACATATATACCCAAAAAATTTTGTCTTGTCAGCTGCTCAGATATGAATCAATAATACTTGCTATTCACTTCTGCACACTCCAATTAGCTCACACAAAAAGTACTATTAACCAGTGTGGTACATACTAATCATAATTATCAAATATAACAAAAGCCACTACATGATCATCCGACTACATAAAATGCACAATTTTTCCAGGTTTCATTTCTACTAAATTACCTGAAGGTGTATATAGCGACAATCTGCTCAGCATTAAGGTTACATTTTAATGCCAGTTTCTTCCTTAATTCACTGAGGCTAAGAGCTTCAAGAAACATAGCATGGTATTCTTTCATTCCTGAGTTCTGCTGGGCTGATTCCAGACAAATGTACATTGTTAAAAGTGGACGCACAGCCCTACAAAAATATCAGCAAAAACAACAAAAAAAAATATAAGAGTTCAATCTGAAGGAGAACTATGACCTGGACATCATAATCTGATTATTTAAACAAAGTTTAGCTGCTGTTCAACAAAACTGTGTCCTAAACAATCCTAAATCTAGCTGAACCTTTTATCTGATAAAAAAGTTAATTTTTACACATACATTCAAACAACGGAGATAATACCCCATTATAATGGCTTCTTGTGCATACTTCTCCTTTCATATCATGGTTTCTTATCAAACTAAGCCACAAAAAATATTGTAGATTTATACGCAAGGAAATCATTTCTCTCACCTTGCTTGAAGTGCATTATGTAAGCGTATACCATCAGCAGGCCCCATGATTTGAATCATATCTTGTTTGGTCAATCTAAGCAGATCACCACCTGCAAAGGAAAAGCAAAGTGTTGAATTACAAGTAAAGAAGTAATCCCTGCTGGTAAGCTGCAACTAAAGAAATTTGCCTCAAGTAAATTTATCCTCCCTGCTGTCAAAACAAAATTATTCTCTAGCACATCCTTCTGGCAGCAGTTTCTCTGTGTTACTGACCTGTGTAGTTAGCAAACATGTTCAGGTAGTTTTGAAATCTGTTATTTTGCAACCAAACTCTTGTTTCATCCACAGAAGAATCCGATGTTAGTCCCTGAAAGATGCACAACAAATTAATCTCAATGATATTCAAAACTATATGGTTTATCCAGGGGTTTCAAAATGTTTTGAAGTAGGTGTTAGACTTTGCAAAAGTAGGTGACTGTGAATAGTTCAGTAAGGGTCAAAAGGTAATTATTTTGACTAGAGTAAACAGCAACATGTTATCAAATAACTGGCAGAACTCCAGCAATCACTAGTTTGTTCTGAAATCCTTGTTTATTTAACAACTAACCCAAGCAATCTTCATTTGCAATGGCTCCTTTGTAAATTGTGATCAACAAAAGAAAAGAAGTATCTTTTCCCATGAGTGACCAAGACAGAATCTCTCCTTACAATATCAATACAATATCAACCAGATAAGTGATGAGAATGAAGAAAAATATCAATTTTAAAATAGTTAGTTGATCCAATACTAAATTCTCTGAACTAACATTATAAGAATTGTATGATTGACTGTAAAGTGAATTACATATTTGATCAGGGATTTAAGGGTTAACTGATTCTAACATTAATGTCTGGCTACAAATAAATTACTCAATCATACAGCAGAGTGCTGGAAATCACATCTCAGAGAGTTTCAAATTTCAAATGCTTTGCAACACCTCATTCTAGCAACAAGAGTACCATCCACACACACACACACACTTATCCCAAGAGTCATAGAGTACCCCCTTCCTATTATCAACTTCCATGTTTTCATGATCATACCCAAACAATATGTGACACAATGAATAGAAATGATGTTACTTACCATTCCACATGTTGTGGAGGGTGAATTGGACAGCCCACTACTAGATGACGACATCTGCAGGGTCGGAGGTGGTGAAGACATTATTGATGAGGGTGACGACAGGGTCGTTGACATGACTTGGCCCCCTGAGGATGGAGAAGACATTGAACCAGCCACTGACCTACACAAGAAAACAATCATTACAGACAACTTCAGTCTAAATTCAACATATCAACATGTTAGTTGAATGCATCTTACAATCTACATGTAAAGGAAAAAATAATTATTGAGAGTAAAATTTACTTCATAGTTTGAACTTTGAAAACATCTGTTTTGAGTTAAAATTCTATTGAAAAGCTTTTTGAACCAGCGGAAAGACTGTTCAGCAAGAGATGTGATTGAAGACCTCACTGGGTGGTCTTAGAGTTTAAAAGCAAGATTCAAAGGAATCGTTCATTACCCTGGAGACATCCAGCAAGAATTGTTGTCCTCTTCTATAATAAGCGGAAGCTGAAAACAAATGGATTAGCAATATCTTCAATAGGAAATGTTTGAAAATATTGAGAATAAATTCATCTCATAGGAATCACTAGTCTGAGAGCAGTGAGTCTATAAACTAATGGCTGATCTTCACGAAGGAAAAGATTACTTCGATCCTAGATTAACATTAAATCAATATACCACCACCATCATGGTTGCTTTTGATAACTTTTTAAAAAAATTACTGCTCTGACCAAATTTGATGTATCTGCACTTTTTATTACACAAAGAGTGATTGTGAACTTTTTCACCTTTGAGTAAGAGTAGAAACAGTGCTGTAAAAGCAACTGCTTGGGTTAGTCAGTGGTGTCCGGTCAAAGGCTTTATCCAGTTACTCATGCACAGAGTAATAATGTTGATGATTTTAAACTAAGTATCTAATTTCTCCTTACAATATCGCCCTTGAACCAAAAATTAAGTCATGAGAATAAAGAAAATGATCACCAACAAAAGAAGCTCCAGATTGTTACACAAATTCTCCTTATCAGCACCTTAGGAAATGTGTGAAGAACAGTATAGAGAATTTGCATACTCATGCTAAGGTGTAAAAGGTTAAATCTCAAACATCCTCTTCTAATGTTAGAATTTCCATTGATACTAATGCAACAGACTTGTGAATAAATTACAATCAATAATTTATTGGGCTTGACCTACTTCTGTTAGTTCTGTAAATGCATTTGTGGGTCTCAACTGATCCTGGAAACAGTAATGGATAATTAAAAAACATTAGAAAAACTTTTTTACAAACTGAAGTGACAAGGAATGGTTAAGACTCAAGTGGCCAAAATTTGTTTACAACCACCAGATATCATTAATGCTCTTATTACTCTTGTTACACTGTAATTTCCATGGTTCCCACTCCCCCCCTCCCCTCTCCCCTTGAGCAGAGAGAGGCTGGATGCTAAGAGAGCTTATGGGAGAGAAGAACTAGGGGAGGCTTATGAGAAACTCACTGACAGCTGCAATGCAGACATTGCAGACTGGCTTCCAGCTTTAAAAAAATACCATACAACTGTACACAGTGGGTATTTCAACACATCATAATCAAAACAGAAACTAAAAGTAAGCCTACATGCTTTTCTTATTGGGTATATCTTGAAATTATAGGCTAGCTACAAAGAGTAGGGAAAGTCTTGGCATGCACAACTAGTTTTTGAATTTGTTATAACTTCCTCCCCTGTTTCAACATTACCTATTGTTAAAAACTGTGGTCTAATTCTAGGCAACATTTTGTGAGGGGAAAGGGGAACTTTCAAGTAACTTATCAAAGATTAATTACAAGATTCTGTTGAGTGGAGGGTTGTCAACCACCTATTAAGGGGGAGGGGGAGGGGGAGGGGGGAAGCCCACTACTTTTGCCACTTGTCGTACCTCACATGAAAACAAGATTCATAGCATAATCATAGCTGCATTTACTATCAGTTGATTATTATTATCACTGTCAATCTTACCAAATCTTCCTGATTTTTATGTTCCAGTTTCTGCATTTCCAATTTATGTTTTCTATCTGCACCTTTAGACTGAACATAAGGATCACAAACAGTTTACAATGAGGAAACAAAATGGAAACAAAATTAATTTTATCTCTGCTATAGAGATTATGACCAGTGCATCAATGGATTTTCTCAAATTCAACACAGAAACTGGGCAGGCTGGTGGTACAGAAATCTGAGATCTTTCTGAAGGTTTTTTAATTTGATTCTCATAGTAGGCATAACTGAAGACTCATGGAAATCTGACAAAGTACTTAAGACTCACTTTGAACACCTTGACCTGACAGCCTACACTGTGGATGGGAAGAGCATCAGTCAATGAATTGGGAGAGAATGAGTCAACTTGTAATCTAAATGGAACACCACTTTCTCCACCTGTAAAAAAACAGTGACTTCTGTTAACGGCAAAGTGTGCTAGAGAAATGCTTTTCTTTTAAAATAATCTCAACCAGGTCAATTAAAAAGAAAAAATTTATTTAAAAACTAACAATAACTTCTCACTGCTAAAAAGAAAAATCGTTATGGTTTTTTAATGCTACACTCACCACTCTTTCCCTTGGTAAACTCTGAGCTGACACAGTTGATCTGAAGAAAAAAAGAGAGAAAAAAGTGTCTCTTTTTTTTTTTTTTTGAGCAAGATGCAATGGTGTTATACTTAGTGCATTGCCAGGAGAAAGAACATGTAGAAGACAAAAATTGTCCAAAACAAGCTACAAATAACTGCTTACAATGACATAAACTCCTGCTCCCTTGCTTGGATCCCACTCAAATTCGTAACAATTAAACAAGTTTCCTTTGCTTCTGATGTTTGAAACACCACTTGACATGGGAACATCTAAAATGGTTAAAAAACAACAACAAAAGCAGAACAGTATAAATTGTATAAATTTAATTCTATTCAAAACGAAAAAAGACAAATGGAAATCGTTAATTGATTAGCAAAGAAAAGTTAAAAATAAAAACCTATTTCCAACATTCTGTCAGCTGGTCGGTTGTTTTTCCACTCTTCATATTTTTCAGATTCTTGGACTTGAAGTTTTCTCTCATAAAAGCACAGCTTTATTGTGCTCTGTCAAATAAAAAGAAACAAAATTACCCCCATATGTTGTTACATTTTCAAACACTTACTCTAGTAACTTCATAATTTTCAGCTGCTTCCTAAACAAGTTAAAACCATCCCTTGATTAGAAAAGAAAACACTGCCTTGCAAATCATGCAGACAACAACTGGTTATAACAACAATAGAACAGGGTTCACACCCTTTTTTGGAGACAAATTTCAACAACTTTTCCAGTTCTTTTCCAGAACTCAAACTGATTCTTCCAGGAAATTTCACCTTCAACCCTTTCAATCCCAATTAGATTTCAAAATCAAATCTTGTTACAGACTACAAACATTTTCACAACGTAAAATCTGAAAATGTTATTGCTGGAGTTAAACAGATTTCTACGACTTTCCAGAACCTGTAGTCTTTTTCCAGGACATTCCATTCCCAGAAAATTTCAAAATGTACCTGGACCTGTAAAAACCCTGATAGAAAACTTAAGTAAGAAATATGACCTTACTTTTAAATGTTTGCCTTCAAATTTAGCAGCCTCTAATGGTAGGCACATCATTTCCAACAAATATGCCTGCCCTGAAAACAAAACCAGGTGGATTAAAAATCTAAGCATCCTAGACAAGCTTTTTAATTCAGTTATGATTCCATTTTGATTGAGAACTGGAAAAGTGATTTTTACATGTAACTACACAATCTCATTCATGGGGAAAGTCTTTGTCAGTAATTATTTCCAGTTTACGAATAACACCTGAAGAATCATAATTACGGGTAATTTAGTGTTAACAACTGGGTTGAAAATGTAAATTAGCCACTGTAAAGGGTAAAAAAGCTGACATTTCGAGTGTTAGCCCTTCACTATTGCTCTGACGAAGGGCTAACGCTCAAAATGTCAGCTTTTTTACCCTTTACGCTGGCTAATTTACGTTTTCAACCCAGTTGTTAACACTAAATTACCTGCTATACTCTCCCACCGACACAGCACCACAGTTTCTTTAGAAACTCACCCCTTTATTCATGAATCATAATTACAGTCAACTATAGGTCAGTAGTTTAACTCTTAGGACCCTTCAGAGTGATGAGAACCTAATTTCTCCAATTAATATCACCTCTGAATTATGCTAGGGTCGCAAGAATAAAGAAAATGGTCATTAACTACTAGAGAAGCTCTTGATTGTTAAATAAATTCTCCTTGTTGGTTCCTTTAGAAATAAATAGAGAAAAGTGTGGAGAATATGCATACTGATGTTAGAGTTAAGAGTTAAGAGGGTTAAGTACCTTGATTTAGATAAGTTAGGGAGTCTTCTTCAAGTCTCTTTGTAGGAGAAGTTGCAGCTTTCAAAATGTACCTGAACCTGTAACTCAGACTGTTGACAAAAGGTAAAAATAACAAAAACTTAAATGATAGAACAATGTACTTACAGTATCACAAGCTACAGGCAACATTACTAACTTCTTTCCTTTCCATAAGGAAAATCAAATCTACCCAGTAACTAAGAAAAATAAACTTAATTCCTCAAGTTTAATGCAGACCTGAAAAATCAGTGTTCAGTTTTTAAGCAAGTGAGGTGAGCTGTAATTGCAGAAATTGCAAAAAGAAAGTCTGCAGATTCAGGCTTTGGCAGATTTTACCCTTTAACCTCTAAGAGTGACTAACATCTAGATTCTCCTTACAATATCATCCCTGAATAAAAAAGTAATGTCATGAGAATGAAGGAAATGATCACCAACTAAAGAAGCTCTTGATTAGTTGACAAATTCTCCTTGTCGGCACATCAGGAAATGTATAGAGAACAGAATGGAGAGTAAACAAGCTGATGTGCCTCCAAGATACTAGTTAGGTGTTACTACCAAATGAGTAATCCAAGCCACACGTTGGGAGTGCCATAAATTTTAAAGGGTTCATCTTTTCCGTAAAGAAATCTGATCAAAATTTTTTAATGAAATAAATTTTATTTGACCCGTGGATTAAAATTAGGCCAAGAAACAATTCTCATTGGCAGGCTGAGCTGAAATGTAAGCAATTGCAGAAAAGAGGCTTGAAAAAATCAGAAGCAACTTTCCTTTCTACAATCTATCAATCTGCACAATGGAATAAACATCTTTTTTTAACTGAAAGTCCCCTACCATAACATCTGTTTATTTCATTTAAGAACCCTTCAGGAGTCATTTTAGCTGGAGCAGTACACACCAGAATCAATTACTCCAGAAAGTCACAAGGTTAATCAGTGTTCTCCCTTATTCTGGGCATGACAGGTACTGTGTAAAAGAAATTTTCAAACTGGTAGAGCAATCCTATTACCTGTTGAATTTTCAAGAATTTTCAAGTTTTTCAGTTTTAGTATTATAATGGGGTGCTTCAGGCAGCAAATGTTACCAGTTACATGTAAAGCCTGAAAAGGAGAACACTGTTACAAAGAAGATGTGACCAAAATGTAATTCTACTTGCTTGGTACTTACCTATTAACATCTAAGCTTCCAGCAGATGACATTGGTGACGACTGCGTTGGAGGTGACATGCCACAAGCCATAAGAGTTTCCTGCTTTGTTTGGAGGGCAGGGTCTAAAGAATTCACCCCATTGGTTACCCTAGGACAACGCATAGTAAAATTCAACTAAAAGTAATAGAAGACAAGGCTAACACCAAGAACATGCAGCAGTTTCACCAGAGTGATATTCCAGGCTTCAAGTGGGTTACCAGAAGGATAGACGAGTTCTTTTCCTTGCTTGTTAAGTTTCCCTCTCTGCCATTTAGTTAACCCTTTCACCCTTAAGGGTGATTGTCCTCTATTTTCTCTTTACAATTTCACCCTTGAATCAAATGTAAAGGTCAGGAGAAAAGAGGAAATGATCACCAATTTAAGAAGCTTGTAATTGTCAAACAAATTCTCTTTGTTGATACCAAAGGAAATGTAAAGGGAAAAGTATGGAAAATAAAGATGCTGGTTTAAGGAAATAAAGGGAGAAGTATTCTTTCCACACCCCTGTTTGTTGATGCTGACAGGTGGCTGGAAATAAGCTGTGGCTCAGTTGCCATGGTGACCTCATTTTCATAGCTTTGAGGGCAATTCACAAATTTAAACCAGCTAAATTTTCATTCTATACAATAAGTACCTGCAACATGAGGTCTATCAATTAACCTAGCATAAACATAACATGAGGTCTATCAATTTTCCTAACACTGATAATGACAACGACATTGATGATGACAACTTGATGTTATTAACCCAGTTGATATACTCTCCCACTAATACAGCATCACAGTTTCTTAATGACTCACTTACTCTGTCACTGCGGAAGAAACAGAGCCAATGGTGTCCATGTTTAGGTGACTTCCTGGTGGCTCATCCTTGAAAATTGGCAAGTTAAGGACATCACTTTGAACAAAGAAAAAATGACATCAATTATTTGATGCTAACAATTATTAGTTGATCCAAAACCAAATTCTCCAACCTACCATCATAAGCATTGTATGACAGACAGTAAGGAGAATTATCAATAAGATCTTGCGAATGAAAGGGGTCAAATTTTACAAGCATCCTGCATTCTTTGAAGATCAGCAATGGAATCAAAGCCATTCATGAGGCTGAGAATGTAATTTTTTTTTCTAAATCAGTTGCTGCTGGGAAAAAACTAAGATTTACTTTATCACAAATTCAAGCTATTTTGTAGATTTAAGATTTTCCCATAGCTCTAACCCGTCTTGTTATCATGATACATGTACAAGAGTAACATGTAATTCTGTTACATGCAAAGTTACATGAAAATAAATTCCATCCGCGCTTTTTTTTCGACACGATCTAGCCACAGAACGTTTTACAATCGGATGGAAAAATCTAAGCTCACATTCCTTATCGAAAAAAGATTAAGGCACTTTTTATAGAGAGCTCTGAGGGCAAAAATTAAAACATTACGTGTCAGTGAGTTGATCATTTTTCAAGTTATGTTCCATTTGATCAGAAGGTACACGGCGAGCATTCTCAGTTAGTATTTGAATTTTTTGTTATTCGTACCTCATGTTGTACGCGCCATCCGCCACATACTCGTTGCCAAGACCAGTCAGATTCAGTAATTCTGAAGCGAGTCCACCGTCCAAACCGCCATCCATGTCGTCCATTCGCCAGCTTGTATTACTAGCCATCTTGCGGCGAGTTTTACTGCATTCACCCTCACGAGTGCATCAGTTTGAGATCATCGATGCTATCTGACCCATTCACATATAAGTGGACAGGATATGTTGGTGACAAATTGGATAAGAACGCTGAAAGTTTTGCAGAATGACAGATCAACACGATTGAGAGCAACTTGCACATGTTCGTCTCAATTGTGGGGACTGGTACGAGACTAACCTCGTTTTGATATTCACGCCAAATAAACATAGGCATGCATAGCGTGCTACAGCGTGCTACAGATATTTGAAGACATCCTAAGAATTTTACTCCTCTAGAAATGAAGGCGTGCTGGTTAAGGTTCAAATACGGCGCAAAATTTTTCCCCACTTTGCTTTATATCCATATATTTCCAAGCCTTAGCATCGTTAGTTTTCCTCTCTCTCATGTTTCCTTTAGCAAATGGCACATGCGCAAGTAGACAGTAGCTATAGCTATTAATAGCTCAAGTCTGAATATACTAGACAATAAAAAAATTATTCACAGCCAGAGGGTAATTTATGATTTATTATGTCTAAACTCTTGTCTTCAGAACCACCATATGGAGAATCATATGCATACCAACACAGATCTGTTGTTAGTAACACAACAAACCGAGGAGGGCTCTGTCTCGCTAACTCAAAGTAACACCAGATTTTCTTCTTAAGATGTTCTTTATCATTAATGCATTCCTGTTTGCTCTCACTTGGTGCCTCCCTGCCTGGGGAAAACTTCAGGCAAACTGTTCGTCCGGCATGAATGTTTCAAATTCCCTGAATGCAGTGACAGAGATCAGTGGCAAGCTACCTGACGATAATAATTTACAACGGTCCTGCGTGTTGAAGTTGGATAAACCTAATAGCTTTTTACGAGTGAGTACTCGAAGGAATGACAACAAAAGAGGTGAGAGTAGAGTCAGATTGATAGAATAGTTTATCAAACACTTCACAAGACGAAGTAAATAGGAAGGCGACAGGAAGTAAGCCGCCATACCCGCAGCTTACTTCCTGACGCCTATTTACACTTCGTCAGAAAAAAGGCAGCTAATTAGTGATCGTATAAAAGGACCTCTTGTTGCAGCGTTTAGATCACCCCTGTTGAAAGCACTAGACAGGAGTGCCGTAAAGTGGGTCTATGAATTGTACCTTCTTCGGTTACATTAATTAAATCTTTAAACCAGAGTAGCATCAAACCATGTATGTTGGTTTCATTACCAGAATATTCCGCTTCAGCAATCCGAAGCTGTTCTCGAAATTTCCAATATTGGTGACCCTTATCAATTTAGGTCCGCTTTGCAACTATTCCTACGGCCGTTTTCTGCTTGCACAGTCAGTTATGCAGATATCAGAGTCCCCTCTTTCGAGATTTACGATGAAAACTTACGCTGAATCGTTCGGTCATGTAACCGGCGGGTGGACCAATTTGTTTCTGACTGCGCAGGGAGATAAGTAACTATTTGACAAGATCAATAATCCCTCCAGTATTGTCTGAAGTCCAGAAGTTAGACAGTATCTTTCCTTATATCAGGCTTATTTTATCCTTCATGGTGCTTTCGTAGTTGAAGACGTTTTGCGAAGTGGGGAGTTTTGCTCGACAACCTCTAATTTTGAATCATTTTCCAAAGGATGCCATCTCACTAATCTGAAAACGTAAAAATAGACGGAGAGAAATAAAGTAGATTTTCATTCTGATACATAGATCTTTCTCTTAATTTTTTTTTTCACATTTGTGGCTCATTTGGTCAGAATAGCGCTCTGCTAATAACCGTAGAGAAGCGGGTCCCTCTCAAATTAAGCCTTGTATAATTTTTTAACTGCAGTGTCTTAAAATGCAGTCAACCACTGGAGATTAATTCGTCATGTCCCAGCTTGATACTGGTGGGAAATATAAGGCAAGGATCTTTCTAAATTCACCATTATGTATAGAAATTTGATGAGCTACGTGAGCGAATATCCCACTTGAATTTGAAAGACAAATTGTGTCTCCAGTAGGCAGTCCAGCTTGATTCAGAGACCAGCACGCGAGCAATACTAGTAGAGTAGCACACTGTCCCCACGTTTAAATAGGAAATTGCAAACTGTAATCTTCTCTCTTAAGGTTTCTTGCATGTTTTTCTGTACCACGCCGATGGATCATCCTTACTTGGTCACCTGAACGTTTCAGAATCATCAACAGTTTGGAACACTCTGAACATTTGTCCCACCGGTGTGACTAATAATGTAACCACAGGGAAGAAGTTGTTATCCGTGGTTGGAAAAGGCAGTGGGCTTTCCTTCACAGTGCAAATAGCCGAAGGTGCATCAGAAATTGCGCTTGATGAACCACACACAGTCGATGTCCAGGGAGATGAGGTGAGCGTGTTCCAGTTCATTCCACCCCAAGGTATCTCTGATAAACAACTGGACATTACTGCCACGTCACAGTCAAACCTTGCTGCTTACTTAAAGGTATCACACATATGCGAAGATGTTCAGGAAAACTTAGAAGTTGTGGATTACAAAAAGGAATCTCTTCGACTTTCCTTTGCCACAAAAGGACGGATAACTTTATCCAGAGCTTCCATTCCCTCTTTAACTGATTCCACCTCTAGATGGTTCATTGGAATTGGTTTGAAGAACGTGTCAGGTAACGTCAAATTTAGTGAGTCAAAAAATGTCACTTTAAAGCTGACAAGGTCGTTTGATTATAACTATGCCACACCTGTTTCTGCCCTATTACTCGCATCACTTCTGGGTGGTATAGTAGTGTCTATCATGGCACATTTTCTTTTTAAAGAGTCCCTCTCTGAGATAAGGTTTGGTGGCGCAACTGTAATGGCCAACACGAATGGTGCGATGGGTATACAACTCCAGTCCCTTCCACCAGGTGATCAAGCCAATAGTAATCGAATTCAAACTAACCTAAAAATTTCATGTCGCGATCTGTGGGAGGTAATCAGATATCACTGGTTTTCCTTTGGTCCAAAGACCTATTCCTACATCACAGGTATTGTGGGTAATGTGCTTATGGTAGGTGCTTTTCAGTTCGTGTTTGCAAACTGGTATACGATGATTCAGGAAGGGAACAGAGATAATTGTTACTACAACGACTTTTGTTATAGAGTTGCAAATCATGATATTCCGTTTAACTTGATGATAAGTAACTTACCATATATAGTCCACGGTCTAATCTTAGCTGTGTGGGTACTGATACTGGAAACCAAGCTAAATGTGCGGTTCAAAAGCATCGCGGCCAGCCGCACAGGCACTGGAGCCGCCGTGGCATGGGGACCCGAGCTACCAAACCATGTTCTGTTATGTCCTGAAACTTACTTTCATATTTTGGAAGGAGGTATTCCAAACATAATCATCGCAGAGCCTGAAAGAAAAAAAATTATTGTCGCAGCACTGAAAAAGAAGTACTGTTATTCCATTGGGTATGCGTTTTCCTGGGCTTTGGTTTTCCAGGGATTATTTTCCACTCTTTACCACTTATGCCCGAGCAGCTTCACATTTCAGTTTGATTCGGCTTTTATGTTTATCATAGCTGGTTTATCCGTGCTGTTTTTGTATAATGGCTTTGAGCAGAATCGTTGTCCTTCTTCCGAAAATGTGAAGTACCCTGTGGGTGCCTCTAATTTCTTCCTTTTTTTTATTGTGCCTCTCTTTATTTTTAACTACTTCGGTACGCTCTTTAACTCTGATTCTGGGCTTAGCAAACCACTACAGAACTTTTTCTTCGCATTCCTGATCATTTGGTGGCTTTTGATGGTTTATTGGGCTTTTTATAAGTTAAATATCCACCAAGGATTATGCCGAAATGCATGTAATTTGTTTTTATTCATTTTGGGTGGCCTGGTAGTACCCTTGGGGCTCTTTTTGTGTTTTTTGTTCACCAATCTGTCACAGGTGTTTCTGTATACCTGCATTATTTGTAGCATCATTGCTGTCCTCGCTAAACTTAGGCCCTGGAGAAAGCTGTGCTGTTGCTGTGAATGCAGGCGCAATTGCCCAACGGCCAAGGAAATTTATCAAAGGCTTTTCATCTTCGTCACTTTCATCGTTTTGGTCGGAGCTTTTGGCGTTTTCATATCGCTGCCCACCACAAGCAAATCGTCGACGCCAGAAAACTCCCGTGACCAAAACGAAGAATGTGCTTTTCTGGAATTTTTCGATTGGCACGATCTTTGGCATTTTTTGTCCTCCTTTGGTGTCCTAATGGCCACAATTGTTATCATGTTTTTAAGTTCTAAACCCGTGTAAAAGTCGTAGGCTTCAGAATATGTAATGCAAGGGAGTGCAATGTAAAACTCCACATAATAGAGAAGTTTTCAACTGCATGTCAAAATTAATCTAGGATTGCTTTGTTTGCTTTATTTCGGTCTGTGAATGGTGTAGAAAACGCGCACATTCTTCAACCACTTAGATGCAAAACAAAAATAAATCGCGACTTTGTCCACCGCGATTTCCCGCGCTATTAGTAGTTTGCTTGTATAATTTGTGTTCTCATCGGCTGTTGATAATGTTAACCATCGTTATGATTGCTTGTTAGGATTTAGAGGTTTTGGTTTTTCGAAAGTCAGTTGAAAACTGCTCTTACAGACGCGGTGATGATGATGGGATTTAGACTATAAAGGAGGTAAGTTTCTGAAGAAAGTATGATGCTGCGTCGGTGAGAGAGTATAACAGGGTAATTTAGTGTTATCAACTAAGTTGATGATGTAAATTGGCCACTGTACAGAGTTTTAAAGCTGACGTTTTGAGTGTTAGCCCTTCGTCAGAGCGAATGGTTTTTCGTTTTTCGAATTTAGATTATAGCCGCGGTGAACATAGTCTCCTATACTAGTAGGATTTAACATTAGGCCTTCATGTCAAGTAAATATCGGATTGTGTTGGTTTCACTTTGGTGAAATCAAAAGGCATTTTGAATTTAAAATGGAAGCATGGGGCAAGTACAGGTGGTGATGGACAGTGGGTCCATAAACTCTTCAATAGTCGCCAAAGGACACTTAATATGTAGAAGGTTTTGAAAAACTGATACTCTTGTAAGATAATCGCAAGGCACGTATTATTGTTTATCAAACCAGTTACAAGTATAGTAATCAAGAGAGAGAGATTATGACTAGACGAGAGTTAAATGTACATTGTAAATAACTTGCTTTTCAAACTCGCATCCGGGTATTCTTAAAACTTACTCAGCCAAGTATTGCTAATAATCTTTTTCACTTCAGCTAACAGTATAACCAGCTAGTATTGAACAATATTGGCCACCAATAGAAAGTAAGATATAATCGTCCTAGAAGTTATAGTCTCTGTTATAATACCAGGATACTAGTTTATTATATGGCATTATGTCAGTTAAAAGGTACCTTTGTATTTACTGAATTTAAGAAGAATTATAATAATAAACAGTGCGTTGGATTGTATACTCGTGCAGAATAACACATCTGCTAAACAATCAGTAGCCGAGAACTATTTGTACCTGAGTCGAATTGATCCGGGTTGGTCATAGCTTTGTTTTTCTTCGCTTTATGACTGGCTCAGGAAACTTCGGCCACCCCACCAACTACCAATCAGATGCAAAACTAAACGTAATCGAGACTTGATCGCCCGCGTTTTCCCGCGCTTCAAACTGTTTGCTTGTTATTACTCCGGGCACTTATTGACTCGGGTAATATTTTGCTGTGTTTTCGTTGGCTGTTGAGATTGCAAATCGTTTTGGTTCAAATGCGCTCTATGATGAGCCTCTTGTGAGTGGTCTTTCACAGAATTGAAGAAAATGAACGACACTCCTTAAATTTAAAAACATATTTCGACAGTTCTTCTGTTATCTTCAGTTCTGAATAATACCAGGTGCAAAGTTAAATTTTAAGTGTGTAACAAAATGCTGATTGGACAAAACAAACAATAATAAAAAAACAAAGTATGCGTTTATAAGGAAAGTTTTAAATTAACATGATAAACGGTTAAGAATATATGAAGGTCATATATTTGAACTGTGGATAAAGACGTGAATGAAAGTGATCCTCGCAGCCGTTAACCGTTTATTTAATCACTTCACGGGTTTATTTAGAACCAACATCATGACCAGCTCCCAGTTGGCTTGTTAGCTCAGTCGGTAGAGCGCTGCACCGGTATCGCAGAGGTCATGGGTTCAAATCCCGTACAGGCCTGAATTTTTTTCAGGCCTTATTTTCACTACTGCCTAAGTAGTGCACATTACTGCGAGGATCACTTTCATTCACATAACATGATAAAGTTGGTGATTAAGTGTAGGTTTCTCCCATTAAATATGGACACCTTCTTTGATTTTAAGTTGAAAAGTTGTGGGAGCGTGATCTAAGATGTTAAAACATTCACAAGAACAAAGAATGCGAGTGAGTTAGCTTTGGTGGATTCAGCCACAAAAATAAAACATGAGTAACTGAATATTCATCAAATAAATTATTTAAAACAAGACAATAACCCATTATAACTAAGCTTTTGTCTTTCCAGAGTGTCATGTTGAGAATCAATAAGACTTAAAAACCCCCGCCAGGTCTCTTGTCTGCACGCAGCACCGTCAACAAGATAACGCCCTGTCTAAATAAAGCGACGCAAGTCTTGCTTTTTAGGATGTTTTCAAGCCTTTGATATTCCTTCCCACTCCTGTTCGTTTGGTGCCACACAACCTGTGGACATCTTCAAGCAAAATGTTCGTCCGGTATGACTGTTTCAAATGTCCAGAGTGGGGTGAAAGAGATCACTGGCACAATATCCATTAACAGCTACCTGCAGCTATCTTGCGTTTTGAAGCTGGACAAACCCGGGAGCCTTTTACGCATGAAAACAAAAAGGAATGACAAGAAGAAAGGTGAGGGCAAAACCAGTTTGATAGAGTGGTCTTACCTACTTCTAGGAGAGCGAAGTTTTGTTGACTTTCGGTTCAATGAGAATACAAAATCTCTATTTCTGTATTGATTTAATTTCTTGATTATTCTTTAGTAATCCGAAAGTGTTTTTGAAATTTCCGAAAGTGGTAACTATTATCAATTCAGGACTTTGCAGCTTTTCTAGAAGCAATTCATTGTTTGCACAGATCAGGGTTCCTCCTACTTATGAGACATATGATTAAAACTTACTGAATCCGGCGCCACTCATGCATTCTCCGGGGTGGTCGCCTCTTACAAAAGGACCTTATTTCTGAAAATTACGGTTAAACCAGAGCATTATTGTTGTGGCATTCTACCAATAAACAAAAAGCCAAATCTAGACCTCTAGCAATTTCGGGATACACTGTCCTTGCAAGAGTAAAAGTGAAACTAGCGTTCCTGCAAGAAACTTTAAACACATCGGCCTCCCCCCATGCTGTTCTCGTACTTGGTTTTGTTTGACTAATTTGCTTCTAACTGCGCAATATATTTCAGATGTCTATAGTTTATTCAGCCTACACACCCGTATTGCGTTTCCAAAAGTTTTTCAGATTCCAGTAGTCAGAGAGATCAGTAGCTACTTGGAAGTGACGGGTTTCCCTCATATCCGTTGCAAAAGTTTGATTTAGTCTTGTTCCGTCATCTTAAGTATGCAGACAGCTGTTTTTGTTTTGTTTTGGTTTTTTTTTATTTCACAGCCTGCGGCGACCTACCAGCTCGATAAGGGTCGGCACTCTCGATCCTATCAAGTGACCCGCTCACCCCCCCATAAGTCTGATTGTCTAAACAGCTTCTTTCTATCAGTCTCTCAGTTCTTTGGTTTTTCAGGTTAAAGTAGAAAGTAGAAGTTAAGTTTCCAAATCTGAACCATGTTTCTAAGAGATACTATAAAAATTAAAGGATATAGAGAAATAAGAGTAGATTTTGGCTCTGATATGTGGAACTTGGTGCAGATGCAGTTATCCTGTGAAGATATATTCATCATTGCTGGTTTGATTTTATTAGGAGAATATGAGTCTGTGACCTTCCCTAACATTCATTACAATTTAGAGAGATTTGGATAAATGTGTGAGCTAAATGTCTCTCTTGAATTTACAAATACAACACAGTCAGTGTCTCTAGCAAGAAGCCCGGCTGGATTCAGAGACCAGCAGGCAAGCGAGCTATTAGGGTGGACATTAACCCCACATTAGTAGGCTCTTATGAAATCCTATTATCATCTGTTTTGGTAGTTATGATGTATTCATGTGCTAGATTATCCCCTTTATTTTTAGGTTTCTTGCACGTTTCCTTGTACCAGCAAGTTGACTCGTCTCTACTTGGTCACGTGAACCTTTCAGCATCAACACCAGTTTGGAAAACTTTAAGCATTTGTCCAACCGGTTCGACCAAAAAAAAAACATGGGAGAAGTTGTTATCCGTGGTGGGAAAAGGCATTGGACTTTCTTTCACAGTGCAAATAACCGAAGGTGCATCAGAAATTGCGCTTGATCAACCACACACAGTCGATGTCCAAAGAGATGAGGTGAGCGTGTTCCAGTTTATTTCACCTCAAGGCATCTCTGATAAACAACTGGATATCACTGTCACATCTCAATCAACGGTTGCTGCCTATTTGAAGGTATCGCAGAACTGTAAAGAGGTTGATCTCCAGGAAGACCTAGAGAGCATAGATTACCAGAAGAAATCTCTTCGACTTTCCTTTGCAACGAAAGGACAGATAACTCTATCCAGAGTTTCCATGCCCCCTCTGACCGATTCTTTCCCTAGATGGTTCATTGGAATTGGTCTGAAGAACTTCGATGACGACAGACTTAATGGGTCAAAAAAGGTCACTTTAAAGCTGTCAAGGTCGTTTGATTACAATTATGCCACGCCTATTTGTGTCCTATTTTTTTTATCACTTGTAGGTGGTATAGTAGTATCTATCGCTGCGTATTCTTTGTTCGAAGAGTCTCTCACCCAGGTAAAGCCTGGTGATCAGGTCAATGATAATGCTGCTTTAACATGTGTCTTCTTTTTTGAAATGTTGAAGGTAATCAGATATCACTGGTTTTCCTTTGGTCCAAAGACCTTCTCCTATATTACAGGTATTGTGGGTGCTGTGCTCATGGTAGGTGCTTTTCAGTTCGTGTTTGCAAACTGGTATACGATGATTCAGGAAGGGAACAGAGATAATTGTTACTACAACGACTTTTGTTATAGAGTTGCAAATCATGATATTCCGTTTAACTTGATGATAAGTAACTTGACTTACATAGTCCACGGCCTAATCTTAGTCGTGTGGGTACTGATACTGGAAACCAAGGTGAATCTTCGTTGCAAAAGCAGAGCCGCCAATGTTCAGGGATCCAGGCTACCAGAACATAATCTGTCATGTCCTGAAACTAACATTCATCATTTAGAGGGAGGTATTCCAGAACCCGAAAACCCCATGGAAATGGAAGAAAGGAAAAAAAAAGGAGAAAATTTTTTTTGCCAAAGCAATGAAAAAGAGGTACTGTTTTTCTATTGGGTATGCGTTTCCCTGGGGACTAGTCTTCGAGGGATTATTTTCCACCCTTTACCACTTCTGCCCAAGTAGGTTCACATTTCAGTTTGATTCGGCCTTCATGTTTATCATAGCTGGTTTAATTGTGCTGTTGTTGTATAATGGCATTGAGCAGAATCCTTGTCAAAATGCGAAACACCCAGTTGGCGCTTCTAACTTCTTCCTTTTTTTCATTGTGCCTCTTTTTACTTTTAACTACTTTGGTGTGCTATTTAACTCCAACGTTGGGTTCAACAAAGTAATGCAGGGGTTTTTCTTCGCATTCCTGGTCATTTGGTGGCTTGTGATGCTTTATTGGCCTACTGTAAATTAGATATCCACAAAAAGATTTTTGGTGATGACTGTAAATCTAAATGCGATGCGATTTTATTCCTTTTCGGTGGCCTGATAGTACCCTGTGGGCTTTTTATGTACTTCTTGTTTCGCGATCTGGCTCAAATGTTTCTGTTTGCATGCATTGGCTGTAGCGTCTTCGCAATCGTAGCTAAGGCTAAACTTTTTTGGAAATGCATGAGTAATTGCTACGAGTGTATTTCCGAACGCAAGTGTCCTTGCAAGTGTGATTGTCAACTGGTTTTTATCCTTATTACCGTTTTCATTTTGTTCGCAGCTATAGGCGTTTTTGAAGAGTTTCCCACCACAAACAAAATATCTTCGCCAGAAAACTCTCGTGACCAAAACGAAGAATGTGTCATTTTTGGATTTTTCGACTGGCATGACCTGTGGCATTTTTTGTCTTCCTTTGCTCTCCTTATGGGTGCGTTTGTTGTCATGTTTATAAGTTCTGAAGCCGAGCAAAGCCCGCAGGCTGAAACGCGAGGGAATAATGAGCCAGAAGCACAAGGCAGCCATAGCGCAGAAACTTCTACATGAGAGTATTTTTCAATTGAGTGTCAAAAGTGATCCAGGATTGCATCATCTTTGCTTTACTTTGGTCTGTGATTACAAAACGAAAATTAATCATGGCTTGTTCGCCTCTGAATTCCCGCGCTTTTAGTGTTTTACCTGTTTTACTCTGAGTTCTTATTGGCTATTGATAACGTCAACCTTTGTTCCTATTGACTGTTGTGATTACATGGCTTTGGATTTTCGACAGCAATTGAAAAATGCTCTGAAAAACGTGGAGATGTCTTGGGGATCTAAATGGGAGCGGGGCACATCTTATTTAGAAGCATTAGAAGCATTAGAAGAGTTTCATGACTTTGGTGTTGGGAATATGAATAGAAATAACAAATTGGTATAAACCATTCAGTTGAAAAAAATATTGTAAGCAGTTGATAATTTTCCATTTCAATGACGGTTTTACTTTGTAAGTAGAGTAACTGTTATCTTTTCTTTCTGGGAGAAACTAGTCCACTAAAGTACACAAAAATTTGTACTAAGCTTTTAGTGATTGAGGCATATTAGCCAATCACGAGTTCGACATGAAAACGGATGTATAATTCTACGGTGATTAAAACTCGGCGTGAGGTATTTCAATTATTTTGCGGTAAGATATACTTTAATTAAGGTAATCTGCTTGATGAATAAGAGAGTAATTTGATCTGGAAAAAGTTAATCTCGTACCGGAATTCCTGGAAATTGCTACTTCGTATACGTTTGGTTCTTTTCAGGCTCGCTTTTTAGGTCAATATCATGTCGAATTCTTGATCAAGAAAGTCAGTCTTGATTATTAATTTAGCACGTACAACATCTCTTTCAATCAGGAGATTAAGATGTGTACAATTTGTACTTTTCATCTTCCGCACTGACTTCATAACTAGTTGACTGATATGAACGGCAAACATTTCTTAGGGGGTGGTACATAGGGTACGCCCTTTCTTCCTCGAATTCTCTGTTTATTCTGTGATTATGTAACAAACTTCAAGGGTTTTTTTTCTGATTAGTTAACTTTTTAATTGTAATTATAGTCTACGCAACTGCTTCTTTATAATTGTTAAATCACCAATCTTGTTTTGGTTTTGGCCGATCTTAACCGCAAAAGTATGAAAGTTCAAGTAGAAAATCGTTTTGGAAAGAGTAACAAACCGAAGGTACATACTTAGTATACGGGAACTGTTATACGTAACTCAACGTGATTCACTAGTGAAGTGAGAAATAGTGACGTTGGTCAAATATTGACAGCTTGTTCATTGCCACCTTTACAAGCTGGAAACCGACACTTTCCTGTAGATGATGCGTTATGCCCTGAGCTAACATGTTGTTTGAGCTATTAAGAGAACTAATAAAGAAAGTTTCAACTGTACAAGAGTGTTGGAAATTTCATCTGACAACATGTAAGAATTTGCCATTTCCGTACGTATTTTGGATCAACCAAATCAATTTATTTAAGGCAACAGGCAACGTCCTTGATAAAGACAGCGCAAAGGGCTATTTAAGAAACGAAAAAAAAAAAAACGCAATCGAGATGTGTCGTAGTTTTTTTAGGGAAACCTTTCCTAAAATATTGGCCATTAATAGAAAGTGAAACACAACCGTCCTAGAAGTTATCATCTAGGTTATACATGTAATACTAGGATACAAGTTTATTGTAGTATTATGTCAGTGTTCCGATACTTTAACTAAAGTTTAATAAAAGATTCTGGAATGAACAGTGCGTGGGGTTGGTCATTCGTGGAGAGGGGAACAGAGAGTGAGTCAACTTATCTCGTATTTGATTGGTAGAGCTATTTCTACCTGAGTGTCGAAAACATTCCGGGATCTTGCCATAACTCTGTTTTATTCGTCCTGTGATTGGCTCAGAAAACGTCCGTCACCGTTTTAGCAACCAATCTGGTGCAAACATAAAAACACCAGTCGTAACTTGCAGGTCACTTGCGTTTCCCTGCGCTTCCAACAGTCTGCATGGCATTACTGCGGGCTCTTGATGGCTATGGTCACATTTTCCTCTGTTCTGATGGCTGTTGTGATTGCGGATGGTTTTGGTTTAAGGCCATCCAGTTTAAATGTCCTCTATGAAGGCACCCGTGGCCGATATTGGATCTTGGACACAAGTGGCTATTATTAGATTCTGGACACTAGTGGCTGATTCTGCATTTTGGTCACTAGTGGCCGATTTTGCATTTTGGACACTGGTGATCGATTCTGGCTTTTGCACACTAATGGCCGATTGGAGATTTTGGACACTAGTGGCCGATTTTGGGATTTGGCCACTGGTGGCTGATTCTGGCTTTTAGATACTAATGGCCGATTTTGGATTTTGGACTCTAATGACCGGTTTTGCATTTTTGACTTTAGTGGCCGATATTGGATACTGGACACTAGTGGCTGATTTTGGATTTAATTTTTTGGTCACTGATGGCCAATTCTAGCTTCGAAACACTAGAGGCCGATTTTTTATTTTGGACTCTGGTGGCGGGTTTCGGATTTTGGGCTCGGGTGGCCGATTTTGGATATTGGACACTAGTGGCCGATTTTGGATATTGGACACCAATGGCCTATTTTGGCTTTTGGACACTGATGGCCAATTCCGGATTTTGGCCACTAGTGAGCGATTCCGGCTTTTGGACACTAGTCGCCTATTTTGGATTTTAGGTACTGATTCGTCTGATTCGTCTGTAGTTGTGCCGAGAATTGAAGTATGTTTACATGATATTACTGACATGGTTGTCTTTGAACAAACTTAAACTTAATTGTGACAAGACAGAGCTTTTGGTCATTGGATCGCAACATAGTCCAGTCTCTCAGCTCTTCTCTTTCACAGCGGTTGATGGTTCAGTTATAAATCCCACTCACTCTGCCAGCAACATAAGTGTTATTTTTGACAATAATTTGAACATGGAACGTCAAGTAGCTGTCATTTGTAATTCCGCCTTTTTCACATTCGCAATATTTCTCGTATTAGGAAGTTCTTGTCAGATGAAAGCACCAAAATTTTAGCACATGCCTTCGTAATGTGTACATTGGACAACTGTAACTCTCTTTTATATGGACTTCCGAAATACTTTATTCATAGACTTCAGTTAGTTCAGAACTGTGCGGTGCGTCAGATCTCATGTGGTTCTAAATAAGACCGTATTACTCCCTTACTGAAAGAAATACACTGGCTTCCCGTGGAGCAGAGAATTGTTTTTAAAATCCTACTGTTGACTTTCAATTCTTTAAATGATATAAGTCCTAGCTATATTCGTCATTTGTTACAAAATTACAAGCCATTTAGGAGTTTGCAATCATAAACTTGTAACTGACAACTAGATCGAGGTTAAAATTTCATGGTGATCGTGCTTTTTCAGTCTGCACTCCTAAACTTTGGAACAATCTTCCATAACGAATAAAATATGGTTTAATTTTACATCTTTAGTGCTTAGTTTGTAATCACTTGGTTGAAGATAATTCTGACAGTGAGGAAAAATATTTCAGCATTTTCATTATCAATACATCTCAATTTCCCCAATAATCTCGGTTTCTTGTGTCTTGTTAAAAGAACAGCTTGATCACGTTAGATTTAAAACAATTAGATATTAGTTCACAAAGTGCTGAGTAGCTTTGCCTATTCTTTTTAATGTAAATTTGATGTACCTCTTCAATAACTCAGGAGGGTCCAAATGAGGTTAACCGTAAGCCGCGAAACGGCCAAAAAAGTTAGCTGGTAGGCGTAAAAATCGATAAATTTTATCCGTTGATCGTTATAAAAGTATATATGTTTTTTAATATTATCGCAGCTGTAAAATGGCCAAAATTTTAACCGTTGGCCATAAAAGTCATCGCTCCATTGTGACCGTCATTAAGAAGCTTAATGGTCTTAAAAAGGGCTACCCTTAATGGTCTTAAAAAGGGCCTATCCTAGTAAAGTGTAACCTTCCATTTTCTTTCTTATACACATTTTTCACGTGCACACGGAGTTTAAACAAGTCTTAGACGGCTGTTTTGTTAAACACGGTTCAAAATTGTTTTCTCCTTAAAAGCTGTTTAAGGTGATCTTCGTCCACTTCCAGCACCTTGAAAATGCAAGTTTGTAATTACTTGAACTTGGTTAAACCTAGTTGAACCCCATGGAAAATTCAGGCTTTCAGTTATCGTTGAATCAAAGAGGGATAATGATCTCGAAGAGGGACCTGGGGAATGACGTTGTTTCATCGTTCGTACCCAGTCTAACGCGTTTAATCTTTCGCCATTTTGATTTTCTGTTCGACATGTGTTACAGACTGTGCAAGGTTACTGTAAATTGAGGGCTCACTGCTTTATGATTAAAGCACAGCAAAGAATTTTCGCAAAAAATTAGTTTGCAATAAGTATAATAATGTTTACCATATAGCAACGCTATGCTTGAGGATTGAGGGAAACTCTGTGACCACTTACATGACATTAAATAGGGCTTTGCCTTGTGGGATAGGAACTTACATGCGCCGAGATTTCTAATGGTCGCATACAAACATGGAAAGCTCGTTGTTACGGAAAATACCGTCGAAAACTGTCGGAAATAAGGGAAAAAGTATATGTAGAAAGAAAAGAAAAGGAAAGGCGTCTTCTAGAGTTCAGAAACGAGCGAAAAGAGAGACGGAAACGACCGAAATCGGCAATCCAACTCCTAGCAGGTCTCGCGATTGCTCTGACTCTGAGGTTGAGTAAAAAGAATCCATCGGTGCTTCCAGAAAGGAAACGAAGATGCTATCCTCGCCCAATGATTCTTGTCCTGAGCCCTGGAGAGTGAGGATACAAAGGATGTGTTTCAGGGTCAAGGATACAGGCTTATCGATCCAGAGAGATTCTCCTCGACGCTCTCTGAAGCATATGTTTGTAAAGGTGTGAAATTTACTTGGTTCTGTGTAACCAACTTTAAAAGCTCCATTACAGGTTCTCATGTTAATTCCCGAAAACAATTATTTTGTACCTCAGGATGTATTAGTTCAATTAATCTGAAATTTTCAGGGCTGTATCCTCTTATTAAGTTGAGTTTGGTAAGCAGACAGTTTCTCCATAAGTTGAATTTTAAGCAAGTTATTGTGGAATAACTCACCTAATAATCTTGGTGAACTTTGAGCGGGCACTGTGCCCTTAATATAAATGACTCCCAAAATTCCTTAGCTCATCCAAGAGAACGACCCTAATACTTTGTTTTGACACTGAATACAGTTGATTTCATGCAGTCTTTGTGCATTTATCTTTTCTCAAGTAAACCTAGGTTTTTCAAACTATGTGGTTGATAAATTGATCTGTTGTCAAATAACAAATTAGTTTGGGGCAACATATCAGTATCTGTGATTCCAAAGCTCTTGCTTGGTTTATAGGTTAATATGGTTCAGAAATATAGTTATTGAGGTAATTGTTTGAAAAAAGTATCTCTTTTCATGTTTACCCCAGCATTAAGACTAGTCTGAGTATGGTCATAGACTAGTTCTAGACAAGTTTAATGCATATATTTTGGTCTTGTTATCTTTGAGCTGCACTGTCATTAGATATTTTGGAAAAGTAAAATCTTAGTTTACAACCTAAAATCTGAATGGAAAATGTTTTCTTCTAGAAGTAGTCCTACTAAAAGAGGATGAGTAATTCTCAAAGAGTAATAAAAAGAATTTTTATCTTCATTTATTTATATTTAGTTCAGTTTTTCTTTTTAACTTTCAGTGGGTTTTTCTTTTGGCTATAAACCTATTGTCACTTGTGTTGTTTACACCAAGTGTGCTTTAGTCAGACCTCAACATCCATTCTTCCATAGTTAAAATCTTTGGTGGTTAAATTCATGCTTCACCCCATAAACCCATCTTTAAATATACTTATTTTCTTGCTAAAATTTTGCAGGTTCTATAACATTCTTGCCAAGATGTTCAATGATCTTCCATTTCCTTGCCAAGATCTTTAAGGATCTTGACAGGAAAATGTGAGATCTTGGCAAGAAAATGAAAGATCCCTGAAGATCTTGGCAAGAAAATGAAAGATCCTTGAAAATCCTGGCAAGAAAATGAAAGATCCTCCAAGATCTTGGCAAGAAAATGAAAGATCCCTGAGGATCTCAGGAAGAATTTCGAAGATCTTCAAAGATTTTCCAAGGGTCATCATGAAGATTCTCTAGAGGATCCTCAAAGGTCCTCATGAAGATGTTGCCGCCATGTTACAAGCTGTTTCGTGTTGTTCTGTGTTACGGAAAAATTCATTTCGCCCTGTTGGAAAAGTTCTGTAAGCAGTAAATTCACTGCATATTTCGTTAAGCAATTAACCAAATAAGGCAAGTTGTCAAACAAAATGTAACTTATCTTTGATTGAATATCTTAAAACTCTGCTGGAGGTCTCGAATCAAGATATAGGATGCTGTCTAAATAAAGCGACACAAGTGTTGCCTTTTAGGATGTTTTCAATTCCTTTATATTCATTCCTACTCCAGCTCGCTTGGTGCCCCTCAGCCGGTGGACATCTTCTAGCAACATGTTCGTCCGGCATGACTGTTTCAAATGTCCAGAGTGGGGTGATAGAGATCACTGGCTCACTATCCATCAACAACTATCTGCAGCTATCTTGCGTTTTGAAGCTGGGCAAACCCGGGAACTTTTTACGCATGAAAACTAAAAGGAATGACAAGAAGAAAGGTGAGGGCATAAACAGTTTGATAGAGTGGTCTTACCTACTTCTAGAAGAGCGAAGGTTTGTTGACTTTTGGTTGAAATGAAGATACAAAATCTTTCTTTCCGTATTGATTTCATTCCCTGATTATTCTTCAGTAATCCGAAAGTGTTTTTGACATTTCCGAAAGTGGCAACTCCCATCAATTCAGGACTTTGCAGCGTTTCCTGAAGCAATTCACCGTCTGCTTGAATAGACCGGCAGGCAAGCGAGCTGTTAGGGTAAACATTAGCCCCACATTAGAAGGCTCTTATGAAATCTTTTTATCTTCTATTTTGGTAGTTGTTGATGTATTCATGTGCTAGATTATCCCTTTTATTTTTAGGTTTCTTGCACATATCTTTGTACCACCAAGGTGAGTCGTCTCTACTTGGTTACGTGGAGGTTTCAGAGCCAACACCAGTTTGGAACACAATAAGCATTTGTCCAACTGTTTTGACCAATAATAAAACCACAGAGGAGAGGTTGTTATCAGTGGTGGGAAAAGGCATTGGACTTTCTTTCACAGTGCAAATAGCCGAAGGTGCATCAGAAATTGCGCTTGATCAGCCACTCACAGTCGATGTCCAAAGAGATGAGGTGAGCATGTTCCAGTTCATTCCACCTCAAGGAATCTCTGATAAACAACTGGACATCACTGCTACGTCTGAATCAAAAGTTGCTGCCTATATGAAGGTATCGCAGAACTGTAGAGAGGTCGATCTCCAGAAAGACCTAGAGAGCATAGATTACAAGAAAGAATCTCTTCGACTTTCCTTTGCAAAAAAGGGCGTATAACTTTATCCAGAGTTTCCATTCCCCCTCTGACCGATTCCGTCTCCGGATGGTTCATTGGAATTGGTCTGAAGAACTTATCAGGTGACGTCAAGCTTAGTGAATCAAAAAATGTCACTTTAAAGCTGACAAGGTCGTTTGATTATAATTATGCCACGCCTATTTGTGTCCTATTTTTTGTATCATTTCTGGTCGGTATATTAGTGTCTATCTTTGCGTAATTTCTCTTCGAAGAGTCTCTTACCAAGGTCAAGGTTGGTAAAGGTAAACCGGGCGATGATAATGTTGAGTTAAAAATTTCATGTTGCGACCTGTGGAAGGTAATCATAGATCACTGGTTTTCCTTTGGTCCAAAGACCTATTCCTACCTCACAGGTATTGTGGGTGCTGTGCTTATGGTAGGCGCTTTTCAGTTCGTGTTTGCAAACTGGGATACAATGATTCAGGAAGGGGACAGAGATAATTGTTACTACAACGACTTTTGTTATAGAGTTGCAAATCATGATATTCCGTTTAACTTGATGATAAGTAACTTGACTTACATAGTCCACGGCCTAATCTTAGTTGTGTGGGTACTAATACTGGAAGCCAAGGTGAATCTTCGTTGCAAAAGCAGAGCCGCCAATGTTCAGGGATCCAGGCTACCAGAACATATTCTGTCATGTCCTGAAACTAACATTCATCATTTGGAGGGAGGTATTCCAAAACCCGAAAACCCCATGGAAACGGAAGAAAGGAAAAAAGAGGAGAACATATTTTTCGCCAAAGCAATGAAAAAGAGGTACTGTTTTTCTATTGGGTATGCGTTTTCCTGGGGACTAGTCTTCGAGGGATTGTTTTCCACCCTTTACCACTTCTGCCCAAGCAGGTTCACATTTCAGTTCGATTCGGCCTTCATGTTTATCATAGCTGGTTTAACTGTGCTGTTGTTGTATAATGGCATTGAGCAGAATCGTTGTCCCTCTTCTGGAAATGCGAAACACCCAGTTGGCGCTTCTAACTTCTTCCTATTTTTCATCGTGCCTCTTTTTATTTTCAACTACTTTGGTGTACTATTTAACTCCGACAGTCTCAACAAAGTAATGCAGGGTTTTTTCTTCGCATTCCTGATCATTTGGTGGCTCGTGATGTTTTTTTGGGCTTTTCTTAAATTAGATATCCGCGGAAAGATTTGTAGTCATAAATGTAATGCGGGTTTATTCTTATTTGGTGGCCTGCTAGTGCCCTGGGGGATTTTTATGTGTTACTTGTTTAGCGATCTAGCTCAAGTGTTTCTGTTTGCTTGCATTGCCTGTAGCGTCGTCGCAATCTTAGCTAAAGCTAGGCCTTGGAAGAAGTGTGCTTGCGAGTCTGCTCGCCCAAAAACCAAGGACATACTTCAAAGGCTTTTTATCCTTTTCACCCTTATCATTTTGGTGGCAGCTTTAGTCGTTTTTAAAGCACTACCCACTACAAACAAAACATCGTCGCCAGAAAACTCTCGTGACCAAAACGAAGAATGTGTCATTTTTGGATTTTTCGACTGGCATGACTTGTGGCATTTTTTGTCTTCCTATGCTCTCCTTATGGGTGCGTTTGTAATCATGTTCATAAGTTCTAAAGCAGAGGAGGCTAATACACATGGTAATGGTATTGCACCAGAAGGATAAGGGAGTACGGTGGCTAATGCTCGTACATAAGAATATTTTTCAGATGAGTGTCAAAAGTGATCCGGGACTGCATCGTCTTTGTTTTACTTCGGTCTGTGATTGCAAAACGAAAATCAATTGTGACTTGTTCGCCCCCGAACTCCTGCGCTTTTACTCTGACTTCCTTTTGGGTATTGATAATTTCAATCTTTCTTCACATTGATTGTTCTGATTACATGGTTTTAGATTTTTGAAAGCAATTGAAAACTGCTCTGAAAGACAGGGAGATGTCTTGGGGATCTAAATGGGAGCGGGGCAAGGTGGGGCTGGGGGGGATACGCTCCTTTACTTCTGGGATTTAACATAGGGTCTTTCAAGAAAGATATAATCCCTGCGTTTACTTTTAGCACCTTTTGTAGGCTCAGTCTTAACATGTGGCTGCATACCTTGGTAATGATAAGAGGGCTAATGGGAGGAACGCATGATAAAGTTGAAGGGCATGTTAAAATTCAAATGGAAGAATGAGGGAAATATAGTTAGTGAGGGATATTGGGATACTGTAAACTCTAAGTATTTTTGAAAAACCGAAACTTTTTTAGAGAATTGCGAGGTGTCTCTTTCTGCTCTCAAACTTGTTAAAAACAGGATAATCAATTCAATCAAGAGAATTATAAGCAGTCTGAATGTAAATAACTTGCTTTTAAAGCTAACATTTAGCTATTTTCATAACTTACTGAAACCAAGACTTAATCATGTGATTAAATGATCTATGTAGTAACTTAGCTAGCATTATAACCAGCCGGAATTTGTAATCGAAGTATACTGTATTTGCATTCTTATATCAAGGAATGATTCTAAAACAAAGCCGTAATGGCCATTTGTAATTGTCATGATTTTTTACTGGAACGTTAGTGAAGGTATTTGTAAACTTTTTAGATTTTTATCTTAAAATTTTTAGAATTAGAGGCAATCTTTCACAGGTAAGAATTTGCCATTTCCGCATGTACTTCAGATCAACCAAGTCAATTTATTTAAAGCGACATCTTTGATCAAGACAGCGCAAAGGGCCATTTAAGAAACGAAAAAAAAAAAACGCAATCAAGAAGTGTTGTAGTCTTTTTTAAAGAGGACCTTTCCTAAAATATTGGCCACCAACAGAAAGTGGAACACAACCTTCCTAGACGTTCTCATCTTGGTTATACATGTAATACTAGGATACAAGGTTATTGTAATATTATCTTAGTTTAACGATACTTTCGCTTTAAGTAAAGTTTAGAAGAAGTAAAATAAAAGATTCTGGAATGAACTGTGCGTAGGATTGGTTATTCGTGGAGAAGGGAACAGAGAGTGAGTCAACATATCTGGTACTTGATTGGTAGAATTATTTCCACCTCAGTGTCGAAAGTACTCTGAGATCTTGCCATAGCTCTGTTTTTATTCGCTCTATGATTGGCTTAGCAAAACTACTACTGAAGTTTTCGCGTTCCTTTTCATTTGGTGGCTTTTGATGGTTTATTGGGCTTTTTATAAGTTAAATAAAAATTATCCCCGAAGGAGTATGCCGAGATGCATGTACTGTGTTTTTATTCATTTTGGGTGGCCTGGTAGTACCCTTGGGGATCTTTTTGTGTTTTTTGTTCACCGATCTGTCACAGGTGTTTCTGTATACTTGCATCATTTGTAGCATCATTGTTGTCCTCGCTAAACTTAGGCCCTGGAGAAAGCTGTGCTGTTGCTGTGAATGCAGGGGCAAGTTCCCAACGGCCACGGACATTTATCAAAGACTTTTCATCTCCCTCACTTTCATCGTTTTGGTAGAAGCTTTTGGCGTTTTCATATCGCTGCCCACCACAAACAAATCTTTGATGCCAGTAAACTCCCGTGACCAAAACGAAGAATGTGCTTTTCTGGGATTTTCGATTGGTACGATCTTTGGTAATTTTTTGTCCTCATTTGGTGTCGTAATAACCACAATTATTATCATGTCTTTAAGTTCTGAACCCGTGTAAAAGTCGAGGCCCCAGAATATGTAATGCAAGGGAGTGCCATGTAAAACTCCATGTAACGGCGAAGTTTTCAATTGCATGTCAAAATGGAGTTTTAAAGCTGATATTGCGAGTGTTAGCCCTTCCTCAGAGCGAATGGTTTTTCGTTTTTTGGATTCAGATTACAGCCAAGGTGAACATGCTCTCCTTTACTTGTAGGATTTAACATTAGGCCCTCATTTCAAATAAATATCGCATTGTGTTGGTTTCACTTTGGTGAAATCAAAGGACATTCTGACTTTAAAATGGAAGCATGGGGCAAGTACGGGTGGTGGTGGACAATGGGTCCATAAACTCTTCAATAATCGCCAAAGGAAGTTAAATATATAGAAGGTTTTGAAAAACTGATACTTGTGTAAGATAATCGCAAGGTGCGTATTATTGTTTATCAAACCTGTTACAAGCATAATAATCAAGAGAGAGGTTATGACTAGACGAGGGTTAAATGCATATTGTAAATATACTTAAAACCTACTGAGCCAAGTTCTATTAATCACCTACTTAATTGGTAATAACTTCAGCCAGCGGTATAACCGGCTAGCATTTGCAACCTAAGTAATCTTTATCGGCATTATTATATTGACCAATATTGGCCACCAATAGAAAGTAAGAGATAATCGTCCTAGAAGTTATAGCCTCTGTTACAATACAAGGATACAAGTTAATTAGAGTATTATGTCAGTTAATCGGTACTTTCGCATTTACTGAATTTAAGAAGTAATAATTTAAACATCGTTGGATTGTAATTATAAGTTGAGGGTGAATAAATAACACATCAATAGAAAATAAGAGTGTCGAATTGATCCGGGATGGTCGCTTTATGACTGGCTCAGAAAACGTCCGCCACCTCATCAACATCCAATCAGATGCAAAACTAAAACCTAATCGAGACTTGGTCGCCTGCGTTTACCCGCGCTTGAAACTGTTTGCTTGTTATTCCTCCAGGCACTTATTGACTCAGGTAATAGTTTGCTGTGTTTTCGTTGGCTGTTGAGATTGCAAATCGTTTTGGTTTAAATGCGCTCAATGATGAGCCTCTACGCCAGAAATAAAGATGTATTCGCGCTATTTACTGGTCTTTCAGAGAAATTCAGAATTGTGCAATTGCCAGGAGAGCACTCTTCATTGACAGTCAGTTTTCATATCAAAGCCCTGCAAATAAAAATTTCACATTATCAGCCACCTAAAGTGTCTAAAGTCGGACACAAACCTTCAGATGGGAGACTGGTGTCTAGAATTGGACGCAAGTGTCTAAAATTAAATACTAGTGTCTAAAATCGGACACTAGTGCCTTAAATCAGACTCTAGTGTCGGACTCTAATGTTTAAAATCGGACACTAGTGTCTAAAATTGGTCAGTAGTGTCTAAATTCGGACACTAGTGTCCAAAATCGGATACCACTGTTTAAAATCAGACACTAATGTCAAAAATTGGACAACAGTTTCCCAAATTGTCCATATGTTTTGTACGGAGGTGCATGCTTAAGATTAGGTTATGGTTAAAATGCAGCGCAAAATTTTTCCCAAGTCATTGTATTTTTCAATTGTTTTCTGATTATCGTAAAATGTGTTTATTTGAGTTAAGAATGTCTCTTTGAGTGGCCTTGAATTGTCCAAAAGGACCGCCTATAGAAGAAAGAAGTCGAGACTGATCAGTCACAGTTGGGTTACTCTTTAGAAACTCGAAATGCGGCAGGGTAAATAAGTTCATATGCTCTTGTACATGGATGAATTGATATATGGTTTCTAGAGCATACGTTTCCCTTAAGATCCCGTTGGTGTTGAATTCAAACTCTAAATATTCTTCCAAGCACGATTAATTAGAGGAAAACTCGCAGATTTGATGTCATATTACTTATAAGCTTGCGCTATTTTCTGGATCAGAGCTTGTACTTTTCTCCGAGGCCAAATAGGATTTATCTAACTTTGGATAGATTTAGCCACAAAAAAAAGCATGAGTAGCTTGACCCTGGATATTCACGCAGCAAGCCCAACAAGATAGGGCGCTGTCTAAATAAAGCAACACAAGCCTTGCTTTTTAGGATGTTTTCAATCCTTTTACATTCATTCCTACTTCTACTCGCGTGGTGCCCCTCAGCATTTGGGCATCTTCAGGCAATATGTTCGTCCGGTATGAACGTTTCAAATGTCCAGACGATGGTGATAGAGATCACTGGCACACTATCCAACAACAGCTATCTGCAGCTATCTTGCGTTTTGAAGTTAGATAAACCTGGGAGCTTTTTACGCATGAAACCTTAAAGGAATGACAACGAAAAAGGTGAGGGCATAACCAGTTTGATAGAGTGGTCTTACCGACTTCTTAGAGAGCGAAGTTTTGTCGACGTTTGGTTTAATGAAGATACAAAATCTCTCTTTCTATATTGATTTAATTTCTTGATTATTCTTTAGTAATCCGAAAGTGCTTTTGAAAATTCCGAAAGGGATAACTATTAACAATTCAGGACTTTGCAGCTTTTCCTGAAGCAATTCGCTGTTTGCACCGATCAGGGTTCCTTCTTTCGAGACGTACAATTAAAACTTTTACTGAATCCAGTGCCACTCATGCATTCTTCGGGTGGTCGCTTCTTACAAAGGATCTTTATTTCCGAAAATTACGGTTAAATCAGAACATTATTGTTGTGGTATTCCACCAATGAACAAAATGCCACCTTTAAACTTCTAGCAATTTCAGGATACTCTGTCCTTGTAAGAGCAAAAGTGAAACTAGCGTTCCTACAAGAAACTTGAAACACATCAGCCTAGCTCCTGCCATTCTTGTACTTAGTTTTGTTTAACTAATTCGCTTCTGACTGCGATGTTATTATTCAGATGTTATTTATTTAGCTTTATCCAGCCTGTGCACCCGTATTGCGTATTCAAATATCTTTCAGATTCCGATAGTCAGAGAGATCAGTCGCTACTTGGAAATGACGCGTGTCGCTCAATCGGTTTCAAGGTTTGATTTGATCTTGTTGAGTGATCTTAAGTATGCAGACTACTTTTTTTTTTTTTTTTTAATTTCACAGCCTACGGCGACCTACCAGCTCAATAAGGGTCAGTACTCTCCTATCAAGTGACCTGCTCATGAGTCTGATTATCTAAACAACTTTTTTCTTTCTATTAGTTCTTTTTATTCCTAGTCTGTGCACGTAGGATTAGTCACGGCTGGTTAAAGTAGGAAGTAGAAATGAAGTCTCCAAATCTGAACCATGTTAAAAGATACTATAAAAATTAAAGGGCATGGAGAAATAAGAATAGATTTTTGCTCTGATATGTGGAACTTGGGTGTGATTTATGAAAAGTAAAACATTTGTACTGATAATAGCGCTCAGAAGAAGAAGCCTCAGCATTTTCAGACTTCCTTTTCTACAATGATCTAAGAAGCAGTTATCCTGTGAAGATACATTCGTCGTTTGCTGGTTTGATTTTATTAGGAGAACATGGGTCTGTGACCTTCCCTAACATTCCTTACAATTTAGAGAGATTTGGAGAAATTTGTGAGCTGAATGTCTCTCTTGAATCTAAAATTAGAACACAGTGTCTGCAGCAAGAAGCCCAGCTCGATTCAGAGACCAGCAGGCAAGCGAGCTATTAGAGTGAACAGTAATCCCACATTAGTAGGCTCTTATGAGATATTATTATCATCTGTTTTGATAGTTATTGATGTATTTATGCGCTAGATTATCCCTTTTATTTTTAGGTTTCTTGCAACTTTCCCTGTACCAGCAAGGTGAGTCGTCTCTACTTGGTCATGTGGACGTTTCAGAGCAAACATCAGTTTGGAACACTTTAAGCATTTGTCCAACCGGTTTTACCAACAATCAAAACACAGGAGAGAAGTTGTTATCCGTGGTGGGAAAAGGCATTGGACTTTCTTTCACAGTGCAAATAACCGAAGGTGCATCAGAAATTGCGCTTGATAAACCACAGACAGTCAATGTCCGGGGAGATGAGGTGTGCGTGTTCCAGTTCATTCCACCTCAAGGAATCTCTGATAAACAATTGGACATCACTGCCACGTCCGAATCAAAAGTTGCTGCCTATTTAAAGGTATCGCAGAACTGTAAAGAGGTCGACGTCCAGAAAGACCTAGAGAGCATAGATTACAAGAAGGAATCTCTTCGACTTTCCTTTGCAACAAAAGGACGAATAACTTTATCCAGAGTTTCCATTCCCCCTTTAACCGATTCCGTCCCCAAATGGTTCATTGGAATTGGTCTGAAGAACCCATCAAGTGACGTCAAACTTAGTGAGTCAAAAAGTGTCAAATTAAGGCTGACAAGGTCGTTTGATTATAATTATGCCGCGCCCATTTGTGCCCTATTTTTTGTATTATTTCTGGTTGGTATATTAGTGTCTGTCATTGCGTGTTTTCTCTTCGAAGAGCCTCTCACCCAGGTAAAGCCTGGTGAAGGTGATCAGTTCAATAATAATGCTGATTTAACATGTCGTGGTTTTTTTGTTGAAATGTTAAAGGTTATCAGTTATCACTGGTTTTCCTTTGGTCCAAAGACCTTCTCCTATATCACAGGTATTGTGGGTAATGTGCTTATGGTAGGCGCTTTTCAGTTCGTGTTTGCAAACTGGGATACGATGATTCAGAATGGGGACAGAGATAATTGTTACTACAACGACTTTTGTTATAGAGTTGCAAATCATGATATTCCATTTAACTTGATGTTAAGTAACTTGACTTACATAGTCCACAGCCTAATCTTAGTTGTGTGGGTACTGATACTGGAAACCAAGGTGAATGTTCGTTGCCAAAGCGGTAGAGACGCCCTGGAGGCAACAGCAATAAAAAAGAGGTACTGTTTTTCTATTGGGTATGCGTTTTCCTGGGGACTAGTCTTCGAGGGATTGTTTTCTACTCTTTATCACTTCTGCCCAAGCAGGTTCACATTTCAGTTCGATTCGGCCTTCATGTTTATCATTGCTGGTTTAACTGTGCTGTTGTTGTATAATGGCATTGAGTAGAATCGTTGTCCTTCTTCTGGAAATGCGAAACACCCAGTTGGCGCTTCTAACTTCTTCCTTTTTTTCATTGTGCCTCTTTTTACTTTTAACTACTTTGGTGTGCTATTTAACTCCGATTCTGGGCTCAATAAAGTAATGCAGGGTTTTTTCTTCGCATTCCTGATCATTTGGTGGCTTTTGATGTTTTTTTGGGCTTTTCTTAAATTAGATATCCACAAAAAGATTTGTGGTGATAAATTTAATGCGGGTTTATTCCTTTTGGGTGGCTTGATAATGCCCTGGGGGATTTTTATGTAATATTTGTTTAGCGATCTGGCTCACGTGTTTCTGTTTGCTTGCATTGCTTGTAGCGTTGTCGCAATCTTAGCTAAAGCAAAGCTTTGGGAGAAGCTTTCCAAATGTAAATGCGAGTGTGTTTGCCCTGAAACATATGCCGAGGACATCCTCCAAGGGCTTTTTATCCTTTTCACCCTTATCATTTTGGTGGTAGCTTTTGCTGTTTTTCAAGGGAAACCCACCACAAACAAAACATCGTCGCCAGAAAACTCTCGTGACCAAAACGAAGAATGTCTCATTTTTGGATTTTTCGATTGGCATGACCTGTGGCATTTTTTGTCTTCCTTTGCTCTCCTTATGGGTGCATTTGTTATCATGTTTATAAGTTCTGAAGCCGAGCAAAGCCCGAAAGGGAATAATAGGTCAGGAGCACAAGGGAAAAAAAAGGACGAAACTCCTGCATAAGAGGATTTTTCAATCGAGTGTCAATAGTGATCCGGGACTGCATCATCTTTTTTTTACTTCGGTCTGTGATTGCAGGACGAAAATCAATCGGGACTTGTTCGCTCCCGAACTCCTGTGCTTTTAGTATTTTACCTGTTGATTTCCTATTGGGTATTGATAATGTTGATCGTTGTTCATATTGACTGTTGTGATTACATGGTTTTTAGATTTTCGACAGCAATTGGAAAATGCTCTGAAAAACGTGAAGATGTCTTGGGGATCTAAATGGGAGCGTGGCGGGGTGGGGTGAGGGTGGGGGTGGTGGGGTATACACTCCTTTGCTTCTGGGATTGAACATCAGGTCTCTCAAGAAAAATATTATACTGCCCTGCTTTCACTTTCAGCACCTTTTGTAGGCTCAGTCTTAACATGTGGCTCTAGACCTTGATAATGATAAGAGGGCTAGTGGGAGGAACGCATGATAAAGTTAAAGGGCATTCTGAAATTGAAATGGAAGCATGGGGAAAATATAGTTGCTTTTAAAGCTAACATTTAGCTATTTTCATAACTTACTGGAACCAAGACTTAATCATGTGATAAAATGATCCATGTAGTAACTTAGCTAGCATTATAACCAGCTGGAATTTGTAAACGAAGTATACTGTATTTGCATTCTTATATCAAGGAATGATTTTAATACAAAGCTACAACGGTCATTTGTAATTGTCATAATTTTTTCCTGGAACGTCCGTGAAGGCATTTGTAAATGAATTTGTAGATTTTTTTCTTAAAATGTTTCGAATTGGAGACAATATTTCACTTGGTAGAATTTGCCATTTTCGCACGTACTTTGGATCAACCAAGTCAATTTATATAAAGAGACATCCTTGGTCAAGACAGCGAAAAGGGCCAGTTAAGAAACGAAAAAGAAAACGCAATCGAGTAGTGTGGTAGTTTCTTAAAACAAACCTTTCCTGAAATATTGACCACCAATAGTAGTGAAACATAACCGCTTTAAGTTGTAATCTAGGTTATACATGTAATACTAATATACAAGTTTATTGAAGTATTATGTAAGTTTAACAATACTTTCGCTTTAACTAAAGTTTAGAAGAAGTAAAATAAAAGATTCTGGAATGAACGATGCGTGGGATTGGTTATTTGTGGAGAAGGGAACAGAGAGTGAGTCAACATATCTGGTATTTGATTGGTAGAGCTATTTCCACATAAGTGTCGAAAACACTTGGGGATCTTGCCATAGATCTGTTTTTATTCGCTCTATGGTTGGCTAGAAAACTCCCGTCACCCTTTCAGCCACCAATTTGGTGCAAAAGTGAAAAAGCAGTCGTAAATTTCAGGTCACTTGCATTTCCCTGCGCTTCTAACAGTCTGCATGGCATTACTGCGGACTCTTATTGGCTATGGCCAAATTTTCCTTTGTTCTGATTGGCTGTTACGATTGCGAAACGTTTTGGTTAGAGGCCACCCAGTTTAAATGTATTAAGGCACCTGTGGCCGATATTGGATTTTGGACACTAGTGGCCAACATTGGATTTTGGACATTAGTGGCCGATTTTGCATTTTGGACACAAGTGGCCGATTTTGCATTTTGGTCACTAGTGGCCGATGTTGCAATTTGAATACTAGTGGCCGATTTTGCATTTTGGACTGGAGTGGCCGATTTTGGATTTTACACACTAGTGGCCGGTATTGGATTTTGGATATAATGGCTGATTTTGCATTTTGGACACTTGTGATCCATTCTGGCTTTTGAACACTAGTGGCCGATTTTAGATTTTGGAAATTAGTGGCCGATTTTGGAATTTGGACGCTAGAGGCCAATATTGGATTCTGAACACAGGTGCCCAATTTTGGAATTTGGTCACTGGTTGCCGATTCTGGCTTTTAGACACTAGTGGCCGAGTTTGGATTTTGGACTCTAATGGCAGGTTTTGCATTTTGGACTCTAGTGGCCGATTTTGATATTGGACATAAGTGGCCGATTTTGAAATTTAGAGACTAGTGGCCGATTTTAGATTTTGGACACAAGTGGCCGATTTTGGATTTTGGACACTAGTGGCCGATTTTGCATTTTGGACACTGGTGGCTGATTTTGCATTTTGGATATCAGTTATCGATTCTAGCTTTTGCACACTAGTGGCCGATTTTAGATTTTGGAAACTAGTGGCCGATTTTGGAATTTGAACGCTAAAGGCCAATATTGGATTCTGGACACAAGTGCCCGATCGATTTTGGAATTTGGCCACTAGTGGCCGATTCTGGCTTTTAGACACTAGTGGCCGAGTTTGGATTTTGGACTCTAATGGCCGGCTTTGCATTTTGGACTCTAGACTGGCCGATTTTGAAATTTGGACACTATCCAATTTTGGATATGGCCACTAGTGGCCGATTGTGGCTTTGGAACACTACTAGCCAATTGTGGCTTTTGGGCTGATTCTGGATTTTGGCCACTAGTGGTCTATTTTGGATTTTAGGTACTGATTCGTCTGTAATTGTGCCGAGAATTGAAGTATGTTTACATGATATTACCGACATGGATGTCTCGGAACAAACTTAGACTTAATGGTGACAGACAGAGCTTTTGGTCATTAGATCGCAACATAGTCCAGTCTCTCAGCTCTTCTCTTTCACGGCGGTTGATGGTTCAGTTATAAATCACTCTGCCAGCAACATAGGTATTATTTTGACAATAATTTGAAAATGGAACGCCAAGTAGCTGCCATTTGTAAATTCGGCTTTTTTCACATTCGCAATATTTCTCGTATTAGGAAGCTCTTGCCTGCTGAAAGCACCAAAATTTTGCATGTCTTCGTAATGTATAGATTGGACAGCTGTAGCTCTCTTTTCTATGGACTTCCGAATTACTTAATTCATAGACTTCGGTTAGTTCAGAACTGTGCGGCGCGTCAGATCTTATGTGGTTCTAAATATGACCGTATTACTCCTTTACTGAGAGAAATACACTGGCTTCCCGTGGTGCAGAGAATTGTCTAAAAAAATCCTACTGTTGACTTTTAAATTTTTAAATTATTTAAGTCCTAGCTATATTAGTTATTTGTTGTAAATTTACAAGCCAACACAGGATTTTACGATCATCAACCATGAACTTGTTACTGACAGCTAGATCAAGGTTAAAATTTTATGGTGATCGTGCTTTTTCGGTCTGCGCCCCGAAACTTTGGAATAATCTTCCATAGCATATAAATTGTAGTTCAATCTTATATCTCTTAAGAGCAACCACAAAACTTATCTTTTTAAGCGCTGTTTTAATTTGTAGTTTTACTTTGGTATTTTTCGAATTTATTATTTTTCGATAAGTTACTGCTTTAAACATTTTATTGTAAGGCGCCTGAGAGCTCTAGAATAGGCGTTATAGAAGTTTTTGTATTATCATTATTATTACTAGTGGCCGAGTTTGGATTTTGGACACTGCTGGCCGATTTTGCATTTTGGCTGCTAGTGGTCGATTCTGGGTTTTGGACACTGCTGGCCGATTTTGGATCTTGGACACTAGTGGGCGATTCTGGATATTGGCCACTAGTGGCCGATTCTGGCTTTTGGACACTAGTTGCCGATTCTGGATTTTTAACTCCAGTGGCTGATTCAGGATTTTGGACACTAGTGGCATATTTTGCATATCGGGCACTGGTGGCCGATTTTGGCCACTAGTGGCCGATTCTGGATTTTGGACACTAGTGGCCAATTCCGGAGTTTGGACATTATAGTGGCCGATTCTGGCTTTTGAACTTTAATGGCCGATTTTGGCTTTTGGACACTAGTGGCCGATTTTGGATTTTGGCTATGAGTGGCTCATTCTGGCTTTTGGACGGGTGTCTCGAACTTCTTCCTTTTTTGATCGTTCCTCTCTCTTTTTTTTTACTACTTTGGTACGCTCTTCAACTCCGAGTCTGGGCTTAGCAAACTACTACAGAAGTGTTTCTTCGCTTTTTTCTGGTTATCGTAAGACGTGTTTGTTTGAGTCAAGAATGTTTTTTTGACTGGCCCTAAAAGAACCGCCTATAGATGGAAGAAAGAGGTCGAGACTGATCAGTCACAGCTGGGTTACTCTTAAGAAACTCAAAATGCAGCAAAGTAAATTAGTTGATATGTTCTTGTACATGGATAAGTTAATATATGGTTTCTGGAGCATATGTTTCCCTTAAGATCCCGTTGGTGTTGAATTCAAACTCTAAATATTCTTCCAAGCACGATAAATTGGACGAAAACTCGCAAATATGAATTAGTATTAAATTACTTTTAAGTTTGCGCTATTTTCTGGAATCAGAGCTTGTACTTTTGGCTTCCCCCGAGGCCAAATAGGACTTTTTCTAACTTTGGGCATAATCAAAGAGCTCTTGGAGCCAGCTCATTTATGTTATGGCTTAAGTTTGCATTGATTTATTGCACCTGCTGAATATAGGCACAGTCGAATTCGGTTTATATGAACTTTCAAGACTTTTGGAATAAATTGTCTTTTATTTTTGGCGATTGTGTGATAAGAAAACTTGTGCATTCGTCGTAATGGAAATTGGAAAAAGGTTGTGTGGGCTGAAGGTGGGATGGGTAGAGGTTATCAGGCAGACGGTCCTCAGTTTTTGTTAGTGTGTGCGGGGCGGAGGGTGGGCTGGGTGGGCATAATCAGGTATCAAATGTTGCTTTAGCAGCAAAGTAGTAGTAATCCTCATCTTTCACAATCATTTGCTCTATTGTGAAATATTCCTTGCCCGTTTTTTACATCTTTTGTTTTAAACAAAGCGACCATTGCATTTGGTTTTTAACAAAGCGGCCGCAATCGTTCTTAATAGAATTTAAAGCCTTCATATATTCTGATTTTCACCTATAAATATTTGCGTAGTCACCAAACCGATGAGAGATAAAACCACCAGAAAAGTAAACAAATGGCCAGTCGCGAAAGCAACGCT